TGAGGTCGCTGTTTCTCTCTCTGATCCATAAGTATCTCGTTGTGCTTTGAAACTGTAAATATCCCATTTCTCATCAGATTTGAAAACGTCTTGATTAATTTGTTATCCGTGTGTGTCCTGAGTTTGTTTATTTACTGGGCGGGATGATCTGTGATTGAGTGTTTGTTTCGGTTACCTCTCATTCTTGAAGCGCTTGCTCACTTTCCGGCACGACAGGGAGCTCCAGGCTCACCCATGCCTGCCTGACCCAGCTCTGGAATCGACGGAGAAGCCCTGGTTCCTTAGTTGGAGAATGCTGTTTAGAAACCAAGATCTTTCCCTAACGATGCTTCTTGTTGAGGGCCTCCTGGCCCTCCATGGAGACAGCGGGGCTTCTAATCCAGTTCTGCAGGGCATTTGTTCTCCCTTTTCTGACAGTCGTGACCCTGGCTCCCATTGTCCTGGGTCTGGTTACTGAGGCCATCAGGCTTTCCGTGTGTAACAAGCCCCCTATGCCCGCTGTCACCGTGTCCCCCACATGGATGTCTTCCTCACCCCAGCATCGCCCAGTTTGGGCTCTGAAACCTGCTCCTTGTTGGGCTCTGCTCAGGGGGGCTGGAGGAGGGAGAAGGGCCTGGCAGCTTCCTGCCGGCTCCTCTTCCTTCCAGGGGGATTTGTGAACCCTGGGCAGAGGGCTCCACGCAGCTGAGACTCCTTCCCGAGTTTCAGAGTTGAATCTGGGCTCAGCTCTGCAGGGGACACCTGGCCCCCGGCTTCCTCCTGGCAGGAAGTGTCTTCTGGTCGTGGGCCACGGGTCCCGGTTGGGTGTTTCCCCATGCTTGCAGAGACCCCAGCAGCAGATGGCCAGTGCCCCTTTCAGCTCCCGGGGCTCGAGCCCCTACGGCCTGCCTTTGTGGTCAGAGACCCTGGCGGCCAGCCCCAGCTGCCGCCCACCCTCCAAGTCCCCGCTGCGCGGAGCCCTGTGCCCAGGCCTCACCAGTCCAGCTTCTCCTTGTGGTTCTCCTGGTCCCCAGGTGTATCGGCTGCTTCCTGCTCCTGCTGTTTCATGATGATCCCGTGCGCTTCCATCTTTTCAGTTACCTAGCCACCAGCCCTGTCTGTGGCATTTTCCTCAAACAGCCCTGTGCGTTCTGTCTCTAGACGCTGCGGGTCTGGCCGGCGGGGCCCCATGTCTTTGTGCTGACACCGGCGCCCTGTTTGAAAGGTGGCTCTTCCCCTTTCCGTGTCTTTCTCAGCCCCTCCCGTCGGAGTGGTATCTGGCCTCTCACTGCTGCTGTGGTTACAGGGGGTCTGCTGCTCTGATGTGATTTTCTGCTTAGGTTCTAGCTAATGCAGTCTCAATGATTTTTACCTAGCATTGTGGTATTTTTACTCTGTCTTCAGAACTATTTGCAAATATTTAGGATTCTTCAGAAATAACGCTTTCCTTCTGGATTCTTTTTAGTGCTCTTTATTTCAAAAACTAGATTTTGTTTTCATAGTTAATTTCCTATTGCTTGAGTCTTACTTCCTTTATCTTTTCAAGCTTTCATATGGGGTATTTCCATGGTTCTTTGCCTGTTTATCAGACTGGACCTGATAAATCCGTGCTCATGCATTTCAGGGAAGTTGTTCAGAGCTGTGTAGAATGTATAAACAGTGAAAATAGGTTCTATCACGAGAGTAAGAGGACAACTTGAGGAGCACCTCAAGTAGGACCGTTGACGGGGAAAGAAGAGGCGCTGAGAAAGCAGCTGGGGCTCCTCCGCCACAAGGGCCTCCCGCTTCCCTGCCTCAGCCCTCACTGCTGATGGGTCCCTGAGGAGGACGGGCTTTTGCCTGTTTTATGGAAAATTTAGTCAGAGGAGCAGATGCCTTTTCTAAGATAGCAGGGCTGCCAGGTGTCCCACTTAGAACTTGAGTCCCTGAATGTAAGGACACCAGGTCTGTCCCTGGCCCCTGCGGCTACGTGGCTGCCCCGTGCCAATGCGGGAGGGCAGGCAGAACTCGCAATGCTCCCTGCCATTCATGTGCCACTAGAAAGCAAGACAGACGCTCACACCAGGTTCCGGAGTTCTCTATGAACAACAGATGAATGATGGGTTGGCTTTTAAAAAACCGTTTAGCCAAAAGTAGGGTTGTCTATCAGATCTTTAAAGAGTTATAACTTTCTAAGCCCTATTAGTAGAATTACAGGAAAAGTGAAGTTGGTTTTATTAAAAGTAGTAATTGCTATAAAATAAAAATAGCACAATTCAGATGAAAAGAGGCAGCAGAATGGAGGCCTGGTGTTTACAGTTGTTATGTCTGACAAAGCCAGAGTAAAGTACTGAAGTGCAGTTGATTAAAAAGGATGAAGCAGATGTCATGAGATCATGAGGTCAGTGAGCAGATGTCATGAACGGATAGTTAACATCCCAGGGCATACAAACGGATATGGGAGAACATTACCTCACCAGGCATCAAAGAATCTTTTAATTTCAAAGGAAGATGAGGCATTAGTGTGGGGTGGAAGGCAGGTTAGGAACCAGATAAAATATTAGCACCCAGAGGAGAGTCCTGGAATTTCATCCTAGAAATTAACTTAAAATAGTAAAAAAAAAAAAAAAAGAAGAAGAAAGATCTGTGTGCATGAAAAGTTTATTGCAAATTTATTCATCATAAGGAAATAATTTTAAAGAATTAAACCTTAAACCTCTGCATTAGGTGGACACACAATTTTAAGTTGTGGGTGTGTCAACTTACTGAAATATTATGCAACTGTTAAAATAATAGTTGAGTGGTTTAGAAACATGAAAAATGTAAGAAAAGCAAAACATGAAAAATAGCTATACAAATATTTGCTGTGTCTACCATCAAGGGCTGGAAGGAGAACATGGGAAGTTACAAGGATTTGGGGCACAGTTAGGGGTGGAGTTGTCTTTGATGTCCATGAACACTGCTGTTGGACCTGCACGTTTATGATAGCGGCCAGCAGGCTGTGCGAGTCTCCGGGGTTTTTGCAGCAGAGTGCCGCACTGTGTGGAACCCCCGCCAGGAGGAGCGTCTGTGGGGCACACCACGTGCCAGGCTTGGCTCCTTCCCAGGAGCGCTGCAGCATCGCCTTCCTAGGCTTGCTCTCCTGCTGGGGGAGTAGGGCACATCAGCTTTGTCGGGAGTGTGTTCTTCACGGTAAAATGAAGGTACCATTTGGTTCCCCCAGAAGATGCCAAGAGACATGATGGTCTTCAGTGGCTGTTGAAGTCTGTATTTCCATGAGGATTCCTGGGAATGAATATTTTGGGTGATGTTTGAAATACATCACAAGGCACCATAGGTGACCTTTTAAGTTCTGGCTCCAGGGTTTTCTTTAGCCTTGCTTTCTGCCCCCTAAATAATTCAGGCCCAGTGGGTTCTGTTCCCTAACTTCAATGCTGATGCATATTTACAGTGGCGATGGCGGTACTTTACTACCAGCAGGAGCCAAGAACCTTCTGCTGCTCTTTGTTCCTTGGATCAGCGAACCTTGCTTGTCAAACCTTGGTGGACTAAGCAGCTATTTAAGGAGAAGATAATTGAGTTAGAGTAAGAATGTGGAGCTCAATTGGAAGTCCAGAAAAGATGAGATTTGCAGGTTTGGGGGGAGATAATGTGGGTGCACATGCAGTTATAACAGACAACCCAGAGAGAACACTCACACGTTTGCCCACCTCCCCCCAGGGGAGTGCTGGCGAAGCTGTCATCATGGAGGACCTGAAAGAGAGCTGTGGAGAACAAGTCCAGGTCGGCAGGGACTTGGGGCTGTAGGCCTGAGGGTGTCAGGGGTGTGACGGGCCAGGCGAGGGCAGGGCGGACGGTCATGCTGTGTCCTGCATCAGTGGAGCTCCCAGCCCTGGGGCTGCTCTGACAGCTCACCACCAGCTGAAGGCCCTAGAGCAGCAGAGAGTTGCTGTTCTCCCACAGCTCTGGGGCCAGAAGTCCCAAGTCAGGAGGTCAGCAGGGCCGTGCTCCTTCTGAAGGCCCTCGGGGAGAGCCTGTCTCTCCCTCTCCTGGCGTCTGGCGGCGGCAGCAGTGGGGGCATCCCTTGCTTGTCACTGAATCCCTGGGCTCCGGACCTCCGTCTTCACGTGACTCCCCTCGGTCTGTCTGGTTTAGGTCCTTTGTATGCGGACGCCAGTCATGGTGGGTTTAGGGTCCACCCCGTTCCTGTTTGGGACCTCCTCTTAGCTTGATGACATCTGCAGGGACCCCACTTCCAAGTCAGGTCACATCCACAGATGTTGGGGAGACACTGTTCAACCCGGTCCACATTCCACAGAAACCTGGCTCGTTTTCTTCTCCCTGAAGCGTGGGTGACCACACAGTGAACCTTGAGAATGGCGTGCAGCCCTCGTGGGGGCGCAGTGCTCCCAGCCCTGTCCCCCCGGCACCGCCAGGGGCTCCAGAGACTCAAGGTGGTGACTGGGAGTCGGGGAGAGTGCCTGGAGTCCCGCAGGCTGACGGGTGGCGCCCAGAGCCCACGGACCCGGCCCGCTGGGCTTCTGCTGTTCCTGCAGGAGAGTCGATCGTCCACAGCTCACTCAATGGGGAGAGCCCCCCTGCCCTGAGTTTCCCAGGGGGCCTTTGTTGTGACGGTGTTTGTTATGGCACACGTCGAAGTGTGTGTCCAGTATGAATGCCCACCTGAATCTGACTCTCCATATGTCCATGACTTTGCAGATGTTGGTGTCTAGTCGCTATGTTGTATCCAACTCTCTTGCAACCCCACAGACTGTCCATGGCATTTCCCAGGCAAGAATACTGGAGTGGGCTGCCATTTCCTTCTGCAGGCATTGAGCCCACTTTTCCTATGTTGGCAGGTGGATTCTTTACCACTGAGTTGCCAAGGAAACCCTAACAGATATTACATGTTTTAAAAAGTGTTCATTTAAAAAGTAAACTGCTTCTAAATAAAATATAATTTCTTAGAATGCCCCAATTAATAAAATTTTTATCTGTTATCAACTTAATAAATTGTTAATTTGACTTCTTTTCATTTGTAGCGAAACCATTTACACAACTGGTGAAGGAAATGCAGCTACATCGAGAAGACTTTGAGATCATTAAAGTGATTGGAAGAGGTGCTTTTGGTGAGGTAAGGTAGACTTCTTACCTTCCTCCTCCCCTCCCTCCCTCCCATCCTTCAGTTTTGCCTAGCGACTCTTATCTAGCGTTTCTAGGGTCATGTATGTTGATTTTGAGATGAGGTAATTATTGGTATCATTTGGAAAGTTCTTGGTGGATAAAATCTGAAAGATAGAATTAAGGAGAAAAAAAAAACAAAAGGTGGTACTGGTGAATTACCCTAAATATTGGCTGGACCAGAATAGTTCTGACAGAGTAAGTTTTTAAAATTATCCATTTGTCAGCTGAAAAAAGTCTTGGCAGTCATTTTAGAAAAAAAAAAGAACCTCCATCTCAGTGGTGCTCACTGTTGGTAGCCTGCCTGCCCGTCAGTCCTCGTTGGGCTGTGAGTCCAAGCGTATATGTGTGTTTCGGGGGTGCAGAGAGCAGCCTGTGCACCCAAGGTGGTCCTCGGCCGGAGCCGCTGACCTCCTGTCTCCGCGCCCAGCACCGTCCGTGGGCAGCCCACAGTGGGCCAGGATCCGGTGCGTTCGCAGGGGGCCCGTCACTGAACTGCAGTAATGCCGCTCCTTCGGTCTTGCCTCAGCACTCCTGGGCCGGGAGCCGCGCGTGTTGGTGAGCCAAGCGCTCGGTCACGTCCCAGCTGCGTGTGTGCTCTGCCCGCCGGCAGCCCCGCTGGACATGACTCGAGTGCTGCAGACTGTGAGACGGCGTTCGCCGTGCACGGCGTACACTTCACATGGGGCGAGATACATGCAGAAGGAGCAGAGTGGGGTTTAATGCGACAGCTTCTCTGCTCTGGAGTTCCTCATGACTGCTGGGGACTGGTGTTTGTTTTAGAAAGCATCTCAGCGTTTCTGATGGTTCTTGTGCTGCGAGCACCTGCCAACAGCCCTGCTGTAGCTGCAGGGCTTCGGTAGAATGCACAGAAAGAGCGTGCTTCCGGGAAAACGCTTCGGAATACCCGAGTGAGAGAGCCTGGCCTGCTAGCGCGAATGTGGGTGGCTGTGTGTCCTGCTCTTGTTTCTTCTTTGGAAACCCCCGGCCTCAGGTCAGACCCCAGCCCCACGCTCTGTGGGGGGCCTGTCATCCTCATACCTTCCTCTCCACCACTCCCCCCCCCACCCCCGCCCCCAGCCCTGAGAGCGGAACTCTCCAGGCCGCAGGTGGAGGGGGCTGCCTGCCACCGGGGGCAGCTCTGACCCGGGGCCACCCTGAACAGGCTGTGGGCTGGGGCAGGACAGGGGGTTGTTGGCTGTTGCTTTCAGATACTGAGGTGTACCTCCCCGTGAGATGCACAGATCTGGGTGACCGGTTCCAGTTATGACAGGCGTCTGCTCCTCTGCAACCAGCTCCCCAGTCAGTACAGAGCATCCTATTCCTGGGGAAGTCCTTCCCTTTTCTCCCCAGATCCCCCACCTCCTGGGAGCCCTGCCCTCCCCCAGCAGGGAGAGCTCTGCAGAAAAACAGCAGGTCTGTCTTCAAACTAAAACCCAGCTCCGTTCAGTATATCCTTCCACCGACCGTCTCCCCTGCACCAGGAGCGGGGGGTCTGCTGGGCACAGCGCTGGCCACACAGAGCTCCTCGCTGCCAGCAAGCCCTTCAGGGTGTCGGGGTGGAGGGCAGGAGGAGACCCCAGGGCAGGACAGGGATGGCCTTTGGGAGGAAAAACGAAAGCTCAGGAGAGGGCCTGGTTGTGCCAGAATAGTTGCCAGTTATTTTTAGTGCTCTTCTTTGCCAAAGAACTTAATGCAAAAGTCAGTTTCTGATTTTCAAAGAGGATAACACTGATCACCTTTCAGTTCCTCCCAGATCAAGAGAGATGCATCCTTGGAGTCCAGCCTTTGCTCCCTCTCCAGGTTTAACAGCTTCCCTGTATGAGGCACACAGTCAGCCCGCCCTGGGCCCTGTGGTCTGGGCCCCCACACCAGCCCTCCCCACGCAGCTCGTCTGGCCAAGTTTCCTGTGTCCATCAGACTCACCTGCACACGAGCGCCGCCCTCGCCAGCGCAGCCGGAGTTCTGGGCTCTGTGACTCCCCTTCCCACCACCGCCCATTGCTCCCTGGGGTGTTCTTGTCATCACGTGCCTGAAATGTGGCCCCATTTTGGTTTCTCTGTCTCCAAAGCACCAAGCAGATCGTGGAAATGAGGATGCCCTAATCATTGCTGTGTCCTGAGTGTTCTTCACACGTGGTTCTAATTGAATGATTGTTTCCTCGTGACAAACCAGGGATGGGGAGAGTCTGTGTGCAGATCCGCCCTGTGTGTGCAACTGTCCACAGACAGGTTTGTGTGCACCTTGCACAAGCAGGTGTGTGCACCTATGCCTCTGACAGCATGGTGGCACCATTCAAGAGCCCTGCCTGTAGGAAGAACTCGCAGAGTCTGCCTGGAGTGGAGTATGACCCTCTTATCTCAGAATTGTAGCAGAGCTCAGCGAAATTTCTAGGTTATTATTCAGCCAGGGCTTGGAGTCTCAGGGTGTTGGCTTGTTCTGGGCTTTGAACACATCTGTCCTCCGCTCAGTGTGGGGAGGCGGCCCGGGAGGCTCCTCCAGCCCTGTACTGCAGTCGAGTGTGGCCCACTCCCCAGCTTCCGAGGTGCGGTGCCCAGGGCCGTGGCTTTGGACGTGATGGACGGCAGGTCCTGACCATGTGCCGGCCACCACAGGCCTCACGTGGTTCCACAGGCACGGAGAAGATGCGAGACTGAGGCGCAGAGCAGGGGGCCTGGCCCCAGGGTGGGCTGTGGGGGCAGCACTGACCCCTGCCTGACCCAAAGCCCGTGTGTCCAGCCACCCTGCCCTGCTGTCCCTTGTTCCTAGGATGACTTAAAGAAGCAAAGCTTTGAAAGCTTTGTTTAGAAACAGGTTCAAATTAACAGAACAGCTGTGTGCATAGAACGGTTCAGAGATCAGTCCAGCCCTTTACTCAGATGCCCTTTTGTTGACGTTTTATCTCATTTTCTTGGTCATATTATAACTGTGCTGTTTTTGCTTGAGCTCCCTCCGCCCTTCTTCTCTGCCTCTGTGTGTGTTAACAGAACCGTTGTGCGTGTTATCTGAAAGTGGTCTGTGCCCTGGCAGGGCTCCTCTGCAGAGCCACATTCTCTTGTGATCTGTGTCTCATTCCCGCAAGGTCTGGATCGTCACTGACGCTTCTCATTTTCAGAATCTCATTCTTTCCCTCAAAGGTTAGCAGCTCTACCCAGCTTCTCAGGTTAGACCATTTCTGTACTAAGTACTACGTAGTTTTGGGGGTTTTTCTTCCACTTGATATCTCACCCAGCCAGATTATATAGTTATATAATTCCCAGGAAGAAATAGACACTCCTCACTTGATGACAGAGTGTGTGCCCAGAGTTCCTGTTCTTGGACATGTTGGAGAGCCCACTAAACATTCATTTGTTGTTGTTATTTGTTATTCTTAATTTATTCAGAGCTGTAGCAAGTTTGGTCAGTGGTTTCTAAACTGGCAGTGGACAGACAGCAGCTTAGGTGTGGTGTGAGGGGAGCAGCTCTTGGAGTGGCAGTGATGGGGTGAAGGGGGTGAGGGCCAGAGGGTGGTCATGGGCACTCGTGCAGAGGGGGCCCTGGCTGGGAGCCCAGCAGTGCAGGGCACGCACCTCCGACCCTCTGCAGGCTCTGGGAGGATTATATCTGATTGTGACCATCATTGCAAGACAGCCCTTCCCAGCACACGCCTGAGGGCGTGAGGCTCTGCCCCTTCTTGGTTGTGTTGTTTAACCCCTCTGCGCCTGCGGTGGCACACCTGTGAAGATAGGAGAAATAGCCCCCATCTAGGACTGTGGAGAGGGTGAGCTGAGAGGGAGTGGGTCCACTGCTCGGCAAGGCTCTGGGCACAGGCGGTGTTCTGTGTGTGGCAGCTCCTGTGGCCGCTGCAATGCTGTGGCTGTGTGGTGGCGATTAGAAAGCAGGGGAATACGTGGTTCACTTTCGGAACTCTGGGTCCCGTCCCTGGGTGTGGCAGCCCCTGGCAGCAGAGCCCAGGTGCAGGGTCAGCATCACTGCTTATGGTTTTGTGATGGGGACTTAGGGCAGTGAGTGAGTGAGTTATTTATATCAGGTCGGATGTGCCATATGATGGTGCAGACATCGCATCTCATGTGCCTCAATGGAAGAATTCATCTAAGGGGACCAGAAGTCCAAGAGGACTTCCTGGACGGAGTGGCATTTGAGTTGTCCCTTGAAGAATATGGCTGACAGCCAGCATTTTGAGGGCTAATAACTATGTGCCTAAGCCATCCTGAGCCATGTTGAACGTGTCGAGTCTTTTGATTCACACAGCAGTCTTAGGCTAGTCCTGCTATTGTCCATTTCCTAGTTGTAGAAACGGAGGCACAAAGAGGTGAATCTGCCCTGGTTACACCTTGGAGCCCCCTGTAGGGAAAGAGCAAATTAGCCAAGACAGTGGTGGTCAGGCTCTCTTGTCCCACAGCCTCTCACCCTGCGTTTATAAATACATGGTTATGTAACAGCTGAGATCGCATACAGCACCACACATGCGTGTCACGACGCACCTCATGGGCCACTTTTGTTCTATAAACATATATAAGCTCCACCTGAAAAGCCCTTGCAGCTACATTGTGGTCTGTGGTGGGGCTGCTGCACCAGCCCAGAGAGAACATGTCTGCGGGTCCTACGGCTCCTCCAGTTTTCTTCCAGTTTCCCCACTTGTGCCTTGCCCACACTGGGTTCAGCGAACAGTGAGATACAGCAAGACATCCCCTACCCCAGTTACTCGCCCGGAGGCGAGTCCTGGTGCATGCATGCAGGGCTGGCCGTGGGACTGAGAGGTAGGAGGTGGGTGGGTGTGCAGGGAGATGAAGCCCCAGAATGCAAGAGGGGAGCTTGGGAGCCCCTGACAGAATGCAAAGCCATCGCTATGCAAATGCCCAGACCCCAGAGAGGCCAGCAGACTGCGTGCTCCGGTGCTTCAGCTCCAAAGCGATGGGGGCCAAGCCAGCGACTGAGGTCATCCAGGCCGCATGTGGCTAGAACCGACTTTTTTTTTAATCAATTCATTTTTATTTTTGTTTACACTGGGCCTTTGTTGCTGCTTGGGCTTTCTTTAGCTGCGAGAGAGCAAGCGGCTGCTCTAGGTTGTGGTGCTCAGACTTCTCCCTGCGGTGGCCTCCCCTGTTTCCGAGTGCGGGGCGGGGGCTTGGGGGTTATCACGCGCAGGCTTTAGTTGCCCCGAGGCACATGCAGCCTTCCCAGACCGGGGATTGAACCTGTGTCCCCAGCATTGGCAGGTGGATTCTTACCCGTTGTATCACCAGGGAAGTCCTAAAGTCAAATTTTGATGCTTAAAAGGGCAAATCTTTACTTACATAGAAAACTTTACTTTGCTTAACAGCTTGTTTTCACTGTAATTAATGAAATGTGCTGCTGACCTTTTTGTGCTTCGTTAACTGAATTTTTGTTGAACTCTCATTTGTGTGACAGGTTGCTGTTGTTAAAATGAAGAACACTGAGCGAATATACGCCATGAAGATCCTCAACAAGTGGGAGATGCTGAAAAGAGCAGAGGTTAGTGTGATGCCTTGAATAAATCGGTAAACAGGCAGTTTCTCTGTCAGGAGAGGTCTGATGAAGCCCAGCAGGTGAGAGCCGCAGTCCTCACACGTCTGGGTCTTCCTTCCTTCTGTCCGTCCTTCCCTCCTCTGTCCGTCCTTCCTTCCTTCTGTCTGTCCTTCCCTCCTTCTGTCCGTCCTTCCCTTCTTGACGAGAGTCGCTGCTTTCTGTGGTCAGGACCTCAGCCCCTCACACCCATCCCTCTCTGTGTCAGCTCCTGACCAGCTGCCTCTCTCTTGAGCGCCCCCTCGGGTGTGTCTGCAGGGGCAGCGACCAGTGGTTAGGACTCCTGAGCTTCCACTGCCCGGGGCGTGGGTTCAGTCCCTGTCCGGGAGCTGAGATGCCACGTGCCTGGTGCAGCCAGGAAAAAACCCTCGGGCGTCTTGTCTCAGTTCTGCTCCTCGTGCAGAAGGGATTCTTGAATCTGGGAATGTTTTGCCATCCCTCCTCTAGGGAGGGGAGGTTAGAAGTAAAAGTAGGTGACCGCTGCACGGCAGCCTGTTTCTTTCTTCCTCGTCCACTTGGGTGGCGGCTGTTTCGTGCCCCTGGCCTCGCTCTCCCTGCCCCCCCCATACCCCCAGAGGGCTCAGGCTCCCCACTGGCACTCATCAGACCCGCCTCCTCTGCACCCAGGCCGCGGCTGCCCTTTGTCTGCCCCGGGCACTCCCCTCCAGAACCACCACCTCCTCCTCTGCAAATTCCTTCTCATCCCATCACTCTGAGCCCTCCTGGTCACTCCAGGTGGCCCCTTCGCCCTTTCCCTGGATGTTTACCTGCCGACGCTAGTGGCCACGCTGTGTGGACAGTGCACACCGCTGCTGACGGCCACGCGGCTCTCCTGAGCGCAGGCCGTCACACCCTGCTGGCGTCAGGTCCGTCCTCTTAAACCACATGTGACTTCTTGCCTCCCCTGCCCACACTGGTGTCCTCTTTCCGGCTGCAACACCCATCACAAGGTCTTACACATGTCATTGTTCAAATGTGTGTTGGTTGATTGCGTTGTCACTGATGTTGTGGTCACCCAGACTTGAAATGCAGGCGTCCCATGACTCGGCCTTCTCCGCCTCCTTCCTGGCCCCGCCCCGTCCACTCCGTGTCCCCCCGGCCCCGCCCCGTCCACTCTGCGTCCCCCCCAGCCCCGCCCCGTCCACTCCGTATCCCCCCCCTCCCCAGCCCCACCCCGTCCACTCCGAGTCCCCCCCTCCCCACCCACTCCGCATCCCCTCTCCGTCTTCACCCATCACCGACGGCCCCAGCAGCCCTCCTTCCTGTCATTGCTGGCAGGTTGGCAAACACAGGAAAATCATTGGAGCAGTTCTCGGAGGGAAAAGCTACTGTTACATGAAAGTTATGGGACTGAATAAAGTGCTTGGGGAAAGAAATACTAGTAGCAAATTCTATTGAAGTTTAAATTTTTACGGAAGTGATTGATTTATAAAAGATGCTACCTGGGCCATATGTAATGTAACTTGTTATGTTAATCTTGAGTGAAATGTGCATGTAGCATAAACGTTAAAAATTGTAAAAGCTTTAGGGGGAGATGACTCTCACCTTATCACACTAGTCATGGTGCATGAGCACATTTAAAGAGTTGAATATTGTTTTTTAATTTAAACCTGGTTACACAGAACCTATGATTGGCATACTGTGCACCAAATCCAAGTGTGAGCTGGGCTGAACCTCACATGTTGGCCCTGGAAGGGGCGTATGGAGGGGTGGGTGCAAGCCCCCTGTGGGGAGGTAATTTCTCAGCAGCCCTGACACTCTCGGGGTGGGGCCACAGGGGCAGGAGAGAGCAGAGATCCCGCTGCTGCTGTGGGCGCCCAGGAGTAGGTGGGAGCCCTCGTGGGGAGATGCCACGCGCCTGGTCCCTGTGTCCTGGAGGGCGGGGGCCGTGGCCTCGGAGCCTCTGTCCACTCAGATCCTGCGTCTGCTCAGATCCTGCGTCCACTCAGAGCCTGTGTCCACTCAGAGCCTCCATCCACTGCAGGGCTGGAGGGCGGGGGCTGTGGCCTCGGAGCCTGCGTCCGCTCGGGGCTGCACCCTCAGGCGTTTTCCCAGTGGACACAGCCTGGCTTTCTCCCCACTTCCTCACAGACGGCCTGTTTCCGGGAGGAGCGTGACGTGCTGGTGAATGGGGACTGTCAGTGGATCACCACGCTGCACTACGCCTTCCAGGATGAGAACTACCTGGTAGGTGTGGGCCCCGAGGTCCCTGTCCCATGACATCAACCAGGGCTTCTGACTCCTGTGTGCCGCCGCTGAAAACGAGTACGGGTCTCTGGGACTGTTGCCTAAGTGTGTGTGACGGTAAAACCGAGGGCTGGTTTCAGCGTGGTCATCAGGTGGACTTTTTCTCTCTGATCATTAGATAACGTGCTTATTTTTTTCACTTGGTTTTTTATGAAATGGGGGTTTTCTATCTTGAATTATATGTAAGAATAAGAAACTCTGTGGAAATTCAGAACGTTGGAACCTTGGACCGAGTGGCTTTTTCTGTCGCGTTTCCTGACGGTCACATCGGGCGGCAGGTGCTCTTTGCAGCCCTCCCCGCTGGGGCTGCTGGCGTAGGTTGGGGCGTGACTCTTGGTCCCCCTGTTCTTATCATCTGTTCTGACTGGAGCTGGGGCTCACTTGCCGTGTCAGCTCATCACTTGGTGACTCGCGCGTGTGGCAGAACAGGTGCAGAAGACACACGGATGGCTGACGAACACGTGAGAAGATGCTCAACATCACTCGTCATCAGAGAAATGCAAATCAAAACCACAGGGAGGTACCATTTCATGCCAGTCAGAACAGGTGCTGTCGAAAAGTCTACAGACAGTAAATACTGGAGAGGGCATGGAGAAGAGGGAACCTCTTACACCAGTGGTAGGAATGCAAACTAGTACAGCCACTATGGAGAGCAGTGTGGAGATTCCTTAAAAAACTGGAAATAGAACTGCCATACGACCCAGCAATACCACTACTGGGCATACACACCGAGGAAACCAGAATTGAAAGAGACACGTGTACCCCAGTGTTCATCACAGCACTGTTAACAATAGCCAGGACATGGAGCCAACCTAGATGTCCATCGGCAGATGAGTGGATAAGAAAGCTGTGGTACATATACACCATGGAATATTACTCAGCTATTAAAAAAAAACACATTTGAATCAGTTCTATTGAGGTGAATGAAACTGGAGCCTATTATATAGAGTCAAATAAGTCAGAAAGAAAAACACCAATACAGTATATTAATGCATGTATATGGAATTTAGAAAGCTGGTAACGACAATCCTATATGTGAGATACCAAAAGAGACGCAGATAAAAAGAACAGACTTTTGGACTCTGGAGGAGGCGAGGGTGGGATGATTTGAGAGAATGGCATTGAAACATGTATGTTACCATATGTGAAACAGATGACCAGTCCAGGTTCAATGCCTGAGACAGGGTGCCCAGGGCCAGTGCACGGGGACCACCCAGAGGGATGGGATGGAGAGGGCGGGGGTAGGGGGGTTCAGGATGGTGGGGACACATGTACACCTGTGGCTGATTCATGTCAGTGTGTGGCAAAAACCACCACAATATTGTAAAGTAACTAGCCTCCAGTTACAATAAATTAATTTTAAAAAATGAACAGGAAAGGGCAACCAGTTTGGAGTGAAAGGTAAATCAGACCTTTGGCTCGGGCCCCGAGTGACTCATGATGGCTTTGTTAAGACTTTTAACTCTGAGAAGGACTTTCCAGCTTTGCCTGAACCTGGGAAACCGGTCTCAGCCCAGCTCCTCCGCCTGGGGAGCAGCCGGCACATTTCCCCAGCAGCGGCCGCACGGGGCTTGCAGGTCAGGGCCTCGGGTGACATGTGAGTTCACTCTCAGTAGTGGACTCCCTGTGCTTCCAGGAAGTGGGGTCATGTAGAATTTTTTTTTATCTTAAAATAATCTCTTTCAGACCTCAGAGAAATCCCTTAGATTCAGTAGGCCAGGACTAGGTAACATGGTATGTTAGACTCTTTATTTAGAATTGAAAACATACATGTTTGTTTTGAGGGGGGACAGCTGGGGTTTATTGGACACAGCCTGTGGGTTATCAGTCAGTCTTCCCAGTGGCCAGGCGAGTCAGGCATCTGTGGTTTTTCACCATTGTATGAACAGTTTCTGGGGCAAGGGGAGAGGACATCACTCATCCCAGGTTACCACACAGATCCAGGGTCGGTGCTGGGACCTGGTCCCTACCCTCTGGCAGGAGGGGGGCCTGGGGCCATCTCTCTTATCAGCCCCTGCTTCCAGATGAGTGTCACTGCTTCAAGTGGACTGTCTCCAGTTCACTTCCTATTTTGTTAAGAGCTGAATGAAGTCTCTAAGGAGTACTAGGAAGAAGGAAGACCACGTGCTTTTTTTCCCCTAATACTTTTCCTGCAACCAGCACAGCGTATTGCCGGCTTACTCTGAGTCATGATGGCCAGTTAGGGATTCCGGGGGAGTGTGGGGGGCTGCCCCTTCCAAGGTGCAGGGAGGGCCGCGAGATGAGGCAGGTGGGGCCCGGGGCTGCCTGCTGGGAGCCGCGGGCTGCTGGCCAGGCTTGGCTCCCGCCTCCGCCGCGCAGCGGTGCTCTTCACGAGCAGTCACTGCCTTGTGGGGAGGATGTGAGGAGGAACAAGGTGGGAAGCGGGCAGCCTGAGCCCCGCTGGGCACGAGGGGTCTCGTGATGGGGAGACCGCCTGCAGAGCCCGTCCGTGTCACAGCTTCTGCTGTGGGCATCTAAACTGGGCATTTCCTAGAAATTAAAGCTGTTTCACCAGTCTGAAAGGGTGTTGCCTTGTTGACTGGAGTCAGGGTCCTATGTTACGTGACAGGTGAAATAGCCGGTCGCTTTCTCTGCTTCCAGAAAGGAGTTTCTAGTCGCCTGCCTATAAGCCCTTGCAGGTTCCTTTTCCTGTAAACTTGTTTTCCAGGAGCCCACCAGTCATTTCTGGCTCTGCTGTGATACACTTTCTGACTTTCTCTTCAGATTTCTAGGTGGACAGGGAAACATTGGAGGCCCGGCCAGCCATGGCGCTGCCTGCCCCCACCGGTACCTTTAGGGACTGAAGGTCCCGGCCGCTCATTCCCTGCCTCTGCCTCACCCCGCGTGTCCAGCCACAGGTGCCGTGGTCTTTTCCCGGGTTACCTGCCCTCTGTCGGGTGGTCTCCGCTTCCACCCTCCCACGCGCTGTCAGCCTCACCTCCTGCCCAGCCCGCTCTGGTCCTGCTCTCCTCCCGCCGGTCCACGCACACAGGGCAGCCAGGGGAAGCCACGATCTGTGTTGCTCGGAGTGGGGCCCAGCCTCCCCCCTGCACACGCCTCACTCGCTGGCTCCTTTCTCTCAGACCCTTTGTCTGGCAGGCAGCCCCTGGCCGGGCCAGCTCCCTCCTGCCCTCAGACCCCCCTGCCCCCAGGATCTGCATAGGGACCCCTGTGTGGGTAAATACCGGTGGGGCCTCTGACACCTGCAGTTGGGTTTCTCCTGGCCTGTCGCTCTGAATTCCATGTTCCCCTCCCTCCGAGTGATGCCAGCCCCATGAGGGACCCGTGGCTGAGCAGGTGCCAAGTCTGCTGCTGAGACGGGGAGTGAGTGGACGCCACGCTGGTCTTTCTGTCGCAGCCAGGGTGTTTGTCTCCTCCATGTGCTGCTGCTCCTGGAGAGCCGATGTCTCCTCCTGTGCTGGCGTGTGCGCCTCTCAACGTTATTTGTAAAGTCCGTCTAATTTTGGAGGGGGAGGATTTCTCACAAAAAGTTTCCTCTAGGAAGTTGTCATTCTGGTCTATCTTCTGAAGAAGATTGTCTGTTTTTCATAATCAAAGAAGTTTGTTATTTCCACATTTTAAAAAAATGAAGTTGGCGTCTTCTGCCCGTGCCAGTTTGTGGTCCGTTCGAAGAGTGTCCAGTGCTGGGCGTCCTGTCGCCCTGTCCCCGCATACTTGCTCCCCTCCCTGCACTGTTCACAGCTCTTAACTGCCCTTGGCCCTGGGGGAGTTGAATCCCCCATGGAGTCCAGAATCAGGCAAGTCACCAGCAGCAGTTGGTATAATTCCTGCTGGCATCACTCAGATGAGCTGTGACTGCCCCCGAGGTTCCCAGGCAGAGGAAGCAGGTCAGGTGCAGGCGACAGAGCTTCCCTGGCATGGTGACCGCTCAGCTCACCAGGGAGCACAGCCCGTGAACAGGCCGCAGCGTGTGCTGAGCCCATGTGGGGCCGGAGCCCGAGGTGCTGTGTCTCACACAAATCGTCCTTCACTCACATGTGGAAGCACCAGCCCCGCATGGAGCAGACCCTCGGGAGACGGAGGCTCAGCTCGTGCCTGTGGGCTGGGCCCTCCAGTGAGACGCTGTGGATGTGTGTCTATCTTCTCTTACCTCGGCTGCCTTTGCTGTAGGGGGAATTTCCATAAACACTTTTCTTTTCCAAGTTTGTATCTCATTAGACTCTCACGTTATCTATGAATCAAAAACTATTTTAATTTCCAGTTCTTTATAACATATGGAACTTCCTTCTCTTTTAATTCTTCAGATATTTGGCAAATATTGTTTACTCTTCTTTAACCCAGTTAAGAAATGGGTGGAAGAACTGATTAGACATTTTTCCAGGGAGGAAATGCAGATGGCCAACAGGTACATGGAAAGATGCTCTTCATCTCTAGTCATCAGGGCAATGCAAATCAAAACCACAGCGAGATGTCACCTCACACCTGTCAGAATGGCTGTCATTGAAAAGAACATACATAACAAATACTGGCGAGGTTGTGGAGAAAAGGGAGCCCTTGTACTCTGTTGGTGGGAATGTAAACTGGTGCGGCCACTATGGAGGACAGAATGGCAGTTGCTCAAAAACTAAAAATAGAAATACCACGTGACCCAACAGTTCCCCTTCTAGGTATATATCCGGAAAAAAGCAAAACACTGATTTGAGAAGATAGACCCACCCCAGTGTTCATAGCATTTTTCTACAATTGCCAGCGTAGGTGTCCATCAGCAGATGAATGGGTGAAGAAGATGTGGTCGTGTGCGCGTATGTGCTCGCTCACTCACTCTCTCACACACATGCACGTACACGCACAATGGAATACTACTCAGCCATAAAAAAGAATAAAATTTTGTCATTTGTAGGAATATAGATGGACTTGGAAGGTATTATGCTAAATAAGTCAGAGAAAGACAAATACTGTATATGTCCCTTATATGTGGAATCTAAAAAATACAATATAAACTGGTAAACAAAACAAAAAAGAAGCAGTCTTGCAGAGAACAAACCAGTGGTCACCATTAGGGAGAGTGAAGGAGGAAGGGTGATAGAAGAGTAGGACTAAGAAAGGAAGTTTTCATGAGATTATATGTATGTAAAAATGTATGTATGAAATTATATGTATGAAACTTGAAACTTGTGAAGCACTATAGAATAAAAGAACCATTCAATAAAAACAAGGGATTGGGGTAAAACATTTCGAAGAATATGAAAAAAAGATTTGTACAAATCAGTAATAATACACTGCTAGTTTGCATAGGAAGATGTAGCGATATCAAGAAATCAACAGTCCTCTCATCAATTTGTAAATTGAGTGTGGCTTCTCTACTGATACCATCCGGTTGTGTTGTGCAGGCAGAAATTTTATTGGCAAGAATAGATACTTACTGCGCTCTGTTCCCTGGCGGATGTGTCACTTCGCACCTAGCAGTATCTCAGGGTCCACATTCCGGGGGCGCGTGTTGGGCAACAGGAGCCACTCGGGAGCCGTCCCTCCAGACCCTGCGGGTCCAGAAGCTCTGCGGTGGGAGCGTGGCCTCTGATTGTTAGGTCTGGTGGTGATGGGTGCTGTCTTCTCTGCCCATTTGCAGTACTTGGTCATGGATTACTACGTAGGTGGCGATTTACTGACCCTGCTCAGTAAATTTGAGGACAAACTTCCAGAAGATATGGCAAGATTCTACATTGGTGAAATGGTGTTGGCCATTGATTCCATCCATCAGCTTCATTACGTGCACAGGTAATCACCTTGTTATGTGTTTTATGGAAACCACCATTAACATGTTAAAGCAGAACTTTCAGAGCCCCAGCGCCAGGCTCTGTGGAGAGTTTGGGAGGTTGGGGTCCTCCCTTTGGCTGCCACGATGTGGGGTGCCTTCCCAGGTCGCAGCTCCGTGGCCGCTGCTGTCAGCTGAGGTCACCTTGTCATTTGGTGTCTGCCTGCCATTGGCTCGTGCTCTGCCCTGCCCGCCCCCCAGAGCTCGTTTCCTGGTCACCCACAGAACATTAGGGGGGTTGAGTTGAGGGGGCTCCCATCACAGCAGCATAAAGGACTCAAACGAGTGTAACTGCTCCTGCGTGGCAGATGGGGGTGGCAGCGTGGAGCAGGCCCCCTCCTGCTCGCCACACGGCCCCTGCCCCCCGCCACCAGGACAGCAGTCCTAGTCGTTGCCCAGCCTGCACCTCTGTGTCCGTCTCATTCTGCTGTTTAAGACGGGGATTCAGTCCTGTGGGGTTGGGGGAGGGGGCGGGGGTTGTTGGTTCTGTTTTACTTCTTTTCATCAGAGTGTTTCATGACAATAGTTTTAGAAATTCAAATAGTTAAAAAAAAAAAAAAAAAAAGAAATTCAAATAGTTGTTACAGGGCTTACAGCAAAACATGAGTGTTCAGTCCTGCCCCACCCTGACGCCCCTGCCACAGGTAACTATCGTCAATTTGTAGTTGTTTCTTCTGGTATTTGCTTTCATATTTACAACTAACAGAAATGTATTTCTGGTGCTGCTGCATATTGTGGGGTGAGGGTCTTAGAGCATGTCTGTTTAAGTGGAGGTTTGACTCTTTTACATAAGTACATCCCTCTCATCCCTCCTTCCCACCTGGTCCCAGTTAATGTGTAGTTCCCCCCTTGAACACCGTGAGTGTGAACTGCACAGGTCGCAGATTGTACACCGGCTTCTTTCACTAAGTACTTTCTATGCCTCTGAGTTTGTCGGGGATTTTCCTGACCAGATGCAGTTCGTGCTCCTGGGGTAGCGATGCGATGGTGCCCAGTGTCAAAGGAACAGCCCTTCAAGTCCTGTCACGAGTGTGACCCTGTTGCCCTGGGAGGGGGCGGCTTGCCAGGGACCATGCAGTCCTGCCCAGGGCGCAGGTCTCCATGTCACGGGCAGCCCAGGGTGCTGCCCCCATAGCAGGTGCTGCTTTAAGGGCAGTGAGGTTTGGGCCAGAGTCACTCTTCTCTTTCCTGTGTTCTGTAATGTCAGTATGCCTGCTTTTATAACAGTCACTGTTCTTGTTTTCAACATCAGATTTTATACTCTTCTTGATGGAACTTTGCTTAATTCACTACAGAGAGATTTGTAGTTGTCACAGATCTCCAGGGAAATTAATTTGACTGCCTTTTGAACAGTTTATTCTTTCCTATTTTTCCCTAAGTAGATAGCTTTCTGCTCATTTTCTTAATTGGTTGTGTAGAAGCTTTGCTCTATCTTTTAACTTTAGGGCATAGTAGGAAAATTAAAATACATAATTTGACGTTTTTTCCCTTAAAGTCAACGCAATATTCAGACTAAGTGCTTGAATGACCTAGTCTAAAAACAGAAGAGCTCGCAGAGTTAGATAGTACAGGAAGTCAGTCCTACCCCCACTTCAGGGGTGTGCCTGAGTAAGTTAAGGCTGCCTGTGGTGGGGCCAGAAGTGAGTGACTCCCATCAGAACCATGGACATGATGGGCAGGTTCAGACCGTAGCTTTGGGCCCCTTTCCTGTGGGAGGATGTGGGCCACGGCGACTTCTTCAGGCAGTGCCCACCAGCCCGGCTCCTGCAGACAGGGCTGCTGCGCCCCAGCCTTGGCAGCTGGACCCCTGCGAGGCCCGCTGCAGGAAGCAGTGGGGACCTCTGACCCAGAGCCGAGCTCCCCGGTGGGCGCTGCCCTTGCAGGAGGTCAGCCTTGGAAAGCAGCAGAGTGGAAACCAAGAGGCGCAGGCTCCCAGGGGTTGCAGCCAGGCAGGGTTTTGTTTTTAATTTTAACATTTCCATTCAACTGTTTGTTTAAAAAAAAAAATTATTTACTTGGCTGTGCCAGGTCTTATTTACGACACGAGGGATCTAGTTCCCTGATCAGGGATCGACCTCAGGCCCCCCGCATTGGGGGCCCAGAGTCTTAAGCCACTCGAGGGAAGTCCCACGGGCAGATTTTTTAAACGTGTTAAATTTATTGGTTGTTTTCTTCTAATGGTTTCATTTTTTACATAAACTCCATTTGGAGTTTGTTCTAATATAAAGAATGGATCTGATTTTATCTTTAATTAAAAGGCTGTTCAGTTGTCCCAGCACAAACTTAATTTATTTGTCTTTGCCCACTGATCTGAGGTAGTGTCTTTAATGATATGCTCAGTTTCTGTATGTGTTTGGTCTGTCCTGGACATTCTATTCTGTTCCGTTGTCTTTCTGTCTCTGCTCTGGGACCACGTCATGGAGGCTTGAAATTCCATGGGGGCTAAGTCCCCCATCACACCTCTTTCTTTTCAGTGTTTTCCTAGCTATTCTAACATGCTGGTTGTTCCATATCAACTTCAATATCAACTGGTCTGGCTGCAAAAACAGCAGGACACTTACTTACTTATTTTTAAATTTGATGGGCCCTTCAGTCTGCAGATTCAGGTTTCTTTTTTTTTTTTACTTCTGGAAAGTTGTCCTGGGCTCCAGCTTCAGCTGTGATGTTTTATTGTTTTGGTTCTTCAGGGCTGTTACGTGTATGCTGTGCCGTCTCTGCCTCCGTCTTCCGTTTCAGTCTTCAGCTGCTTTGTCCCTGGCCGTCTTGAATTATTTGTCCCATTTTTACCTCTTTAGCTCTTTTCCTCCATTTCTTCAGTGCCTTTCATTAGATTTTTTTTTTAATTTTTTAAATTTATTTTTGGCTGTGCTGGGTCTTGGTTGCCGCACAGGCTTCTCTCTGGTTGGGGAGCGCGGGCTCTAGGGCGTGGGGCCTCAGGACCTGCGGCGCACACACAGGCTTCGTTGCTCTGAGGCCCGTGGGCTCTTTCCCACAGCAGGGATTGAACCTGTGTCTTCTGCATTGGCAGGCGGATTCTTCACCTTGAGCCACCAGAGCAGCCCTAGATTTTTATTTAAATTGACTCTTCTTTGGCATCTTCCACATTAGTTTTCATTTCTGTTAAGATTGTCTTTTTCTTCTGTTTCTCCCCTGGGTTAAATCAAGTCTCTTTTCTCTTCTCCTTATTTTTGTCTAGGTCTGTTCTTTGTTTTGTTTTGCCACGCCGCGCCGCATGTGGGATCTTAGTTCCCTGACCAGGGATCAAACCTTTGTCCCCTGCAGTGGAGGCGCAGTCTTACTAGAACACCAGGAAAGTAGTTTTTATTTTTCTGACTCATTGAGGGATTCTTTTTTTTTCTTTTTCATATTCCTGAGTATTTATTTAAGATTTATTTCAGTTTGGAGTGCTTTGCTAGAGGTTTTTTTTTTTTTTTCCTTGCTTTGCTTTTTTTGAATTAATCATCTTTTGCTCACATGTGTTTGTGAGACCTACCTGTGTTGTTGGGAGTAGCATTCTGTCAGGCCAGAGTGGCCCGGCCTCTTTGTCCATTCCGCAGGTGGACTTGAGGTGGTCCAGGCTCAAGCCCCCTGCAGAATGTGGGTCTTGTCACAACCCCTCTTGGCGGTTGTTACCAGCTGTGCTGCTGGGAGCATCCTTGGCTCTTCGTGGTGAACACCTTCCTTTTCTTTTGTCATGCTGTCCGGTCACACACACTTACTCTGCCAGGAAGGAGGACTAGTCCCTTGACGTCCACCACACCGCCCCGCACTCCCCGCCCAGTGTTGGCCAGCACACACGACAGCCGGTAGCATGGCGGGTTGAGTGAGACAGAGCTCACTTTCCTGCTGCGGGGTAACCGGCAGACTGCTCCGCTCCGAGCTTCCCTGTCGTCGTCTATGACATGCATTGTGGGGCGGGGCCCGGGGTGCAGGGTACACGTAGGACGCCGACCGTCTTGCCCCAGCTCCTTGCCCGACTCTGTTAGGCATCACGTCCCGCTCAGGTGTCTCTTCTTGGGTCCCGGCCGCCGGGCCCCCTTCACACCTGTGCACGCAGGGCTGCCTGCTCTGCTGTCCCTCTGTTTCTTCGCAGCAGCTGCCGCACGGCTTGTGCTCTGTGATCGATGCCGAGACCCTGTGTGGCATGTCTTGTGTGTTCATGTCCCGATGTCCTGGCCGGAGGGAGGCTTCCTGAGCACAGGCGGTGTGGTCTAGCCCCTGCCTGGCCCCGGGTCAAGAGCAGCGCCTAGCACGGGGGAGGCCTGGGTTGGCGGGTGGGGGCGGGTGGGTCTGTGGCTGGGTCCCAGCGGTAAATGGGGGGGTTCACCGCTGCTGCCCACATACCAACCACCGCAGGGGACGCTCTCCTGGGTCCTGCCGTGACGTACTAGCGCTTCCTCTGGTGATTCTCTGCTAGTGAAGGGCTGTGACCTACCTAACGTGTTGCATGGAAATCATTAATTTGTGTGTTTATTCTACTAACAGAGACATTAAACCTGACAATGTCCTTTTGGATGTAAATGGTCATATCCGCCTGGCTGACTTTGGATCCTGTTTGAAGATGAATGACGATGGAACTGTAGGTATTTTTGTTGACACTCTTCCATTTGGTCTTGTGGTTTGCTTGCAGTTAGAAGGGGCTTATTTACATTTTCAATTTGAGATACAATTAAGAAACCAAGTTTATTAATGTAAATTAAGAAGGTAAGTCCATTTAGAAAACAGTTGAAATTTTCTATTTACAGTTAAAACATCTCGATCGCTTTTTGTGTTCGAGGAAGTGATATGTGTGCCTTCTGCAGAGGGGGGTCAGGTGTCTTCAGACCCCCAGGCGGCCCCTGGTGTGCCAACCCGCGGTGAGGGAGAGGCAGCCCCGGGTCCTCCTGAACCGGGTGTCGATGCCTTCTCGTTCCTGCCTGGGGCAGGACTTCCTGAACGGGGGTCCTCCATACCCCCTCTTCCCAGGGCCAGTGGACACTCCCACTGCAGAGCGGGAGGACGCCCCTGGAGTGGCCGTCAGGGCCCAAGGAGGCTGGGCTTGGGCTGGGTCAGAGCCACCCTGGCCGGGTGGCCTTGATACCCGCCCCCCGCCCCACACTGGCTCCAGCACGTGGCTCTGCTCGTCAGGGACTCATCCGCATCCTTCCTGGTGGCCCCGGTCGCAGTTTGAGTTTTAGGTGTTTGGGGAGTCTTTTCTTTAAAATCTACACGCGTCATAAAGTCTACTGTCACTGCTTCTCCAGAGAGAGCAGCCCCTCCCCCACTCCTTGCTGTAGGTTTTCAAGCCTCAATAAAAGAACGTAAAGCTGGCAGCACTTGACGGTGTTTTAAAAAGAGTGAGTCGGTTTACTCACTCTCTCTCCACAAAGCCAGTCTCTTATTTCTAATGTGATGGGTCTGTTGGTGCTGTCCCCAAAGCCAGTCTTCTAACGAGGGAGCACGGGCCTTGGTCCGAACCCTCAAGCTGGGCACCTTTCTCAGGGGCTCACCCGCCTTACCTCCCGGTAGCTGTCCCCTGCTGTCCTGTCTGCCTCCTGAGGACTCCCCGCTGAGTCCTGCCGCCGGGCCCTGGGCTGTAACTGGGGAGAGGCTGGCCTTTTCGAGGACGGGCCTTCTTGACTCTTGTCGCGTCTTGCTGACCCCCAGTCCTGTAGACTCCACGTGCTCTGAGGCCGGTCTGTGACCCACCTAGGGCGTGTCCAGCACCCAGCTGATACCTGGACCTACTGCCAGACGTTCCAGTTTGGAGCTTGAGGGTAGGGTGTGGGTGAGCAGCCCGAGCTTCCCCTGGGAGCATGTCAGAAAGGCAGCGTCTTTAGGATCTCTGTCTTGCAAGCGCGTGGTGTCTATGCACGTACAAGTCCGAGGAGACCTGGCCTGGATGCACGGGGTGCCCGGACCACACTGTGAGCCGCGATGACGGATGTGGGGCTCCAGTGCCCTGTAGGGCCGGGTGGGCATCTAGGGACTGAAAAACCCGGCGGGCAGGAGAGTCTGGTACATTCTGGAAACTGCCCGGTGTTTAGCGCTATAAATATAGCTCTAAGTTGTGTCTGACTCTTGCGATCCCATGAACTGTAGCCTGCCGGGCTCCTTTGTCCATGGAATTCTTCAGGCAAGAATATTGGAGTGGCCTGCCATTTCCTTCTCCAGGAGAACTTCCCTATCCAGGAATTGAACCCAGGTCTCCCGCATTGCAGGCAGAGGCTTTACCGACGGAGTTACACGGGAAGCCCTGGTTTAGTGCTATAGGAACATCATTTGCATTGAATTTTTCATTATGAGGTTTTTAAGTCATGACCATGTGCAGGTTTATCCTGTGACGTCCTTGGGTTCCCCTTCACCCTGCCCACCCTCTCCCCTAAGGTGCAGTCCTCCGTGGCCGTGGGCACCCCAGACTACATCTCCCCAGAGATCCTGCAGGCAATGGAGGACGGCATGGGCAAGTACGGCCCCGAGTGCGACTGGTGGTCTCTGGGCGTCTGCATGTACGAGATGCTGTATGGAGAGACCCCGTTCTACGCTGAGTCCCTTGTGGAGACCTATGGGAAGATCATGAACCATGAAGTAAGCTGTCGCACTCCCCCGTGTGTGTCCAAGTCCCTGTGGGAGAGGGACCGTGGGGCAGGCTGGGTGGCCCAGACGGGTGTCCGAGCAGGCTGCTGACCCGGGAGAAGACGGCAGCGGGGGTGCTGCCACTCCCTGGTGGAGGGGGGCGGGAGCAAGACGCAGGTCCGTGTGGGGCCAGGTGGGTGGGAATTGCCCGAGGGGGCTCTCGGGCCACTGTTGCCTGTGCGCCTGCCCCTTCGTTAGACGTCGGCTCTGCCGCTCCAGCCTGCTTGCCCCGAAGTCGTCGTCATGAGTGGGTCACACGTCTCAGCACAGTAGTGCTCTTGGTCCTTTGTTGAGCCTGTTTCTTTCCCTCCTGCTTTTCTCCCTTTACCCAGCTATTCATTTTTCACGTCTATTTCCCTCATTTTCTGTTTATTAATTCTTCTTGTGTCTAATGTTTTTGTCATCTGTGTTTTTTCTTTTTACCCCTCTTTCCCCACATCCTTCTGACGCCAGGGTCAGCCTCTCTGCCTGTTGACTCACGGCACCCTTCACCCCTGCTCGGTCACTCACCCAGACAGGTGCTCACTTGTCTGCTGTCTTCCCCTAGCCTGGCCCCCCAGTATTTGCTCAGATAAGGAGCAGATTAACATTAAAGTCCTAAAGCATCTTTCGTTTAACTCTAAATCAAGGAAAGTTACGCCTTAAAAAAGTTTTTTTCAAAGTAGAAATACATATTTATTTATAAATTAATACATACTATTAAAAACTTCAGACATGCCGAAGTGCATGCAGTAAGTTGATAGTGAAAGTCACCCCGTGAACTTCTGGTGATGAGCGTGGTTAAGGTAACAAGTGGGACTTGGTTACATTCTAAGACCTGCGGTCCCTGAGAGCCTGCCACCTGTGGGGCCCACCTGGTGGTCTCCGAACACCATGAGGCAGCGCTGCTGTCCCTTCTAGAGATTACAGGTGAGGCCTGGACCGCAGGGGCGGCTCGGAACGCAGGTCCGCAGTGCCATGGTGGGTGTGTGGCCTTGTGAACCTCCTAGCATGTGGGAGCTGGGGACTGTCTAAATAAATGGTATCACGGTCACATATGGGCAGGGTTCCAGCCATCTTTCTACTCAGTGCTCAGAGGCAGACCTTACGATGTGTGTGTGTGCACTGTATCTTGTTGTAACAAGTCCCTCTTTGATGAGCGTTGAGGTAATTTTCAATTTCCTTGGTCAGAGTAGAATGGCGTCACGAACATGTCGTGTTTTCTCACTGATACTGTTGGCAAAATGCGTACTGAAGGAAGTGCCCGTTTTTCTCCCACCTACAACCTGTTGTCGGTGTTCTTTGCCACCTTGATAGATGAAAATTTATCACCATTTTAGTTTACATGCAGCGTGGTAACAAGGCTGCCATGAGTAAAACTGGCGAGTCTAAGGGTTTTCTGGAATGAAGCTTCATTAGCTTCGGTTGCACTTGGTTACTGGGACATAGAAAGTGACTGTGGCTCTGGAGCTGTTGTCTCTGCTCTGTTCCCCATGATGTCTGTGCACCTTGGAGTCCTCTGACTGCCCCCCTCCCCCCCCAGGAGCGGTTTCAGTTCCCTTCCCACGTCACAGACGTGTCCGAGGAGGCCAAAGACCTCATCCAGAGGCTGATCTGCAGCCGGGAGCGTCGGCTGGGGCAGAACGGGGTGGAGGACTTCAAGAAACACGCCTTCTTCCAAGGGCTGAACTGGGAGAACATCCGGAACCTGGAGGCGCCCTACATTCCGGACGTGAGCAGTCCTTCCGACACGTCCAACTTCGACGTGGACGACGACGTGCTAAGGAACATTGTAAGTTTGGCGGCGCCCTGTCCCCTGCGTGTGTCACAGGTCTGCCTGTGCACGGCTTGCTCATCAAGGTGGTGAATCTGAGAACTGTGCCAACTTCCAGAAACTTTGGCGGTTGTCTCAAGGAATGCACCTCTCATTCTAGCCTTCAGCTTGGTCCTTAAAGCGATGGCTTACTCAATTTTAAATAGCTGTTCTGTTTTAGGATTCATCAGAATTATTTTGATGCCTTGTGCCTTTTCTAACAGTGTCACGTGCACTGCCGCATCAGTGTCCCTTCTGCCCTGTCCCCCTGCCAGGAGCCTGCCCGCGGCCCCACGGTGGTATGGGTCTCTGGATCTCCACTCCTCCTCACTGTCCCTGTGCCCGAGGACACATCCGCTCTTCTGCCGTCACGTGTGTTCAGCATGTGCGTGACCGTTTGCTCACACGGCTGAAGGTCGGGAGCAACAGGGATGCGAGGCCAATTTTGAGGCGCTGATGTCTCAGATTGTGGGTTTTCCACATTGGTCGCTGGCCGAGGGGCCCATCTGGTATCTGACCTGGTCTCACGGGGCCGCTGATAAGCTCGTCATTGTACCTTTTGGGCCCAGAGAGTTTTTGCTCATGCCTTGTGAAATTATTTTGTTCTCATCAGACTCGGCATTCAGTACGCATTACTCTGTACATGAGTCTTGGGGATAGAGAAACTGAGGTTTAACCAGGGAAAAGAAAAATGTGTTTGATTTAGAGGCTTTAGAGGCTCTTTCTTAGTAAAATAAGAGTGGAACTTTAGATGATGTGAGGAAAGACTGAGGAAAGTGTTAATATTATTGTTGAAAGGATTTTTCCTGAACTTCAGATAAACGTGTTTCCACACTGAAATTTACCAGATAAATAACTTTGCTTTTATTTTTAATAGAGAAGGATCCTCAAACTGAAAAATAGCAGTAAACCCATGTGAAATAGTCTCCCTTTGGGTTCCAGACCCCGCTTCTGCCTGTGGCCTGTTTCAGGGCAGGAACCCAGCGCCCCTGCCTCTGCCCCACATGCCCCTGCCTCTGCCCCTGCCCCACGTCCCCCCTGCTCAGGGTCATGGTGAGCGGCGGCTCCTGCTGCTTTAGAAGGTTCGCAGTTACCTGATCGCAGTTCAGCCTGTGCGTGGCTGTCTCAGAAGCAGTGTGTTTATCCCCTTCACGGCCCCGTGCTTTGGTCAAGCCGGGAATGAGGAGGGAACCAGCCGGCACCCGGCCCCACGCGGGCAGCGTTCTGGGAGGCCCCGTGGGGCTCCCGCTGCGCCCTGGACTCCCCTGTGACCCTCTCCCCTCCTGTTCTCCGCTTGTTTGAACATGATCTCACTCGTGTCGTGTGTTCTCTTGCAGGAAGTGTTACCTCCGGGTTCTCACACGGGCTTCTCTGGATTGCACTTGCCGTTCATCGGGTTCACATTCACCACGGAAAGGTGCGTCATCTGCCTTCCCCACAGGCAGGGGTCTTCCCGTGGGGTGGGTGAGCTTCCGTGTGGGGCCGAACCCCGTCAGAGCCGGGGACTCTGACGCGGTCCGTGCTTGAGGGAGCTTCTCCTCTAACAACCCGTTAAAAATGTAAAAACTGTTTTTACCTCAGACTTGAGGGGGTTCGGCCGCAGGCCCTCGTTTGCTGACCCCTGACCGCTGCAGGCCATCAGCTGGGCAGGGTTTGTGCGGGTGGGACACCAGGGGCCGTGGCCGGCGGCGGCGGGGTGTCTGGTCACACCCGGCTGAGCGTGCCCTTCGTCTGGGCTCTGCTGGCTTTTGTGGGGATTTTCGCTGCAGCTCCAGGGTTTCCAGGGGAACAGGGAGGGGCTGTAGATGAGAGCCGAGCCCTGCCTGTGAGCACAGCCCTGGGAGCCCCGGCTGGGGGTCGTCGGGGGTCGGAGACAGACTCCGGCCTGTCTCCAGGGGGGTCTCTGGCAGAGTCGTGGTGCCCGTGGTGCTCTTAACTCGATTTTAAAAGGACACTGCAAAAATAAAAAATAAAAATAAAAGGACACTGCGCCAAGAAGAGGGGGCTAAGGAAGAGAGGCAGTAAAATGAGACAAATGGGGCTGCCTCGGCTCCTGGAGCGAGGTCACTGAGCTTGATTCCTGGCTGCTTCCAGCCACGGGTGCCTGAATTGGTATAAGTTTCTGCGGAAGTGGCCTACTTCTGCTCGAGCCTGTGAAAGTGCTCTTCAGGTGTGAGATGCCGGAGTTAGTAGCACTTAGGCCAGAGCAGTGGCGGATGCCTTCTAGCCCAGAGGAGGCATTCTGGGTGCGCTCGGCATGTTGACTTACTAGCCCCTCTGCAAGGCTCTAGACCTTTCCACCGCACTCGGCGCACGGCGTGCCTGTCACACCTGTGGGCCCTGGGCCCCCAGCGAGGCTCCAGGTTTGTCAGGTTGACCCAGGGACCTCTTCCTGAAACAGACCCCAGCAATGCTGGCTGGCACAGCACCCTTGGGCCACCTTTGAGAAACACCAGCCAGGCCCTTCTGTGAGAGAGAGAGAGGGAGTGTGTGTGTGTGTGCATGTGCGTGTGTGCACACGCACTCCCTGTGAAGAACTCAGAAACGCCCCTGACTGCCCTTCTGTGTGTGTGTATGCGTGTGCACACACTCACTCCCTGTGTGGAACTCAGAAACGCCCCTGACATTGTCATCACGTTAAAAGCAAGAGGAGCTAAGTGGATTGTCCCCAAGTTCAGCTCTTGACGGAGAAAACCTTCCTTGGCCTGAATCTATGCATCAGAGTGCGCTCGAGCGCAGGCGCGTCGTGAGTCGCTGATGGCTGCTGAGGACCTTGGCCCTGGTCCAGGGGCTGGACCTGAAGGAGCCATGTCGGGTGTCGACAGTTTGCGGGGGACGGCCAGGGCAGAGCCAGCACACCCTCACCCCTCACCCTGGGGTGAGCCTCGGGGCACCCCTGCCCGCAGCCCCGCCAGCCCAGGTCCTCGTGCAGGAGGCCTTCTCCTTTCAGGGGTGACTTAGAGATTACACTGCGTCATCACAGTGAAGTGAATCCACGTTGTTTGTTCAGTCACTGAGTCACGTCCAACTCCTGCAATCCCACGGACTGTAGCCCACCAGGCTGCTCTGTCTATGGGATTTCCCAGGCAAGAATACTGGAGTGGGTTGCCATTTCCTTCTCCAGAATCAACTGTACTTCAATAAAAAAAAAGAAAGGGAATTATACTTCCCAGCTCTCCAGAGGTGCTTTATCTGACCAGTCCTTTCCACTGCCCATTGTCACCCAGTGGTTTGCAGTAAGGAAGGCTCTTGTCTAATTTGGGCTCCATAAACAATAGTCTTTTTCACAGCTGATTTTGTTTGCCAATTTGAAAAGGCTTATCTTTTACCCCAGGAAGTTTCTAAACGCTGATGAAGTCCCTGTAAAGTCTCAGTGGGTGAGAACATGCTGTTGCTTTATCTGCAGCTGCTTCTCTGACCGGGGCTCTCTGAAGAGCATCCTGCAGTCCAGCACACTGACCAGAGATGAGGGCGTGCAGCGCGATCTGGAGGCCAGCCTGCAGGTGGAGGCTTACGAGAGGCGCATCCGGAGGCTGGAGCAGGAGAGGCTGGAGCTGAGCCGGAAGCTGCAGGGTGAGGGGGCGGGGCCTCCGCGCGGGGACCGCCCCCCACCCCCCACCCCACGCTCACACACGTCTCCTCCCCAGAGTCCACACAGACTGTCCAGTCCCTCCACGGCTCAGCCCGGGCCCTGGGCGGCGCAACCCGGGACAAAGAGATCAAAAGGCTGAATGAAGAGATCGAACGCTTGAAGAATAAGATAGCAGGTGAGTGTTCTAAGGTCACCCTGCTTAGTCTCTTCTCAGATCTTCCTTTCTGCAAAGAACATTCTCGGAGTCCTTTCCATTGGATGGAAAAGCAGGGGTGGGGAAAGTTAAAGTTTAGTAAAGAGTTCTGGTGTTTTGCCACTTTATTTAAAATTATTTCTCTAACGTGCTTAACTTTAACACTGTAGGAACTGGTTTGAGCTGTGTCTATATAATCAGTGCTTTATCTATGACCTCTCTGAGTATTTACATTTTTCTCTGTTAATTCTCCTCTTTGTCACTCTGAGACAGAACTGCCGTAACTCCTCTCTTTCTGGAGCTCTCACCCACGGCTGGGTTTCCTCTTCAGTGTTAAAGTGCTAGATCTGGTGTCACCAGAGTGCATGTTCTGTGGCTCCCAATTATCAAAACTTCCAGAAGACTCAAGGCACCTATAAGTCCCAGCCCTTAGCCTGACACGTGGGTCGGTGCTATACCTGACTCATCTCAAATCAAACCCGAGTCAGTGGCCATCTCTCTGCCTCCTTCTGGGACCCACCACCCTGATCTGAGAAAAGGCTGCCATTGATAGCATTACTCACCGGAGCCCCCCTGCACCACCCAGCTATGCTCGTTACACAGGAGCCAGGGCGGGAGGGGGCTTACGTCCCCAGGGAGAGCGTGTGGACACACGTCAGAGCCCAGTCTGCTGGGTCTGTCAGGTGTGCCGGTGGCCGTGCGTGTGCAGGGGAACCTGACTTGTTTCCTGTTTTGCTCAGATTCCAGCAGGCTGGAGCGGCAGCTTGAGGACACGGTGACTCTCCGCCAGGAGCACGAGGACTCCGCGCAGCGGCTGAAGGGCCTGGAGAAGCAGTACCGCGTGGTGCGGCAGGAGAAGGAGGACCTCCATAAGGTAGGCGGGCCCGTCTGTGGGGAAAGCGCGTGGTTTCGCAGAGTATGCAGTTGCGTTCATGGGGGTGTCGGAGACTTGCAAGCCTCATCTGCCTCTGTGATCGTGTGATGACACGAGAGATGTCGGGACTCCCTCGGCAGACAAGCCTGGTGCCTCACGGGGGCTCCCTGGGCCCAGGTGGCCTTCAAGCTGTGCTGGGGCTGACAGAGGGCCTTCCCGGGAGCTCAGTTTTCGGGGCCGAGGCTGCAGCCTTTCACCAGCATTTGCTGTCACTTCAGCCCCTCGCTACAGCAACAGGTGACGCTCCTCACCTTTGGTCCTTGTTAGGCAAACATAACAGCCTGTAATTCTCTGTGTTCAGCAACTGATCGAGGCTTCCGAGCGGTTGAAGTCCCAGGCCCGGGAGCTGAAAGATGCCCACCAGCAGCGGAAGCTGGCCCTGCAGGAGTTCTCGGAGCTCAACGAGCGCATGGCCGAGCTGCGCTCCCAGAAGCAGAAGGTGTCGCGGCAGCTGCGGGACCGGGAGGAGGAGGTGGAGGCAGCCATGCAGAAGATTGACGCGCTGCGGCAGGACGTCCGCAGGGCCGACAAGGGCCGGAAGGAGGTAGCGTCTTGGGGTGTCGGGGCCGTGTTGATGGGGCACCTGGAGGGTCCCCATAAGGTAGCTTTGAGAGCTCAGGCTGCATCCCGTAAATCACTAGGAAGTTAAATGGATCTTAAATTTCATGTGAAGCCAAGTAAGTTGCTCTGCCAAGTGTTTCTCTTGTGGTTCTCAGCCCTTCATACATATTTGTGGAATTATTAAAACAGGTCCCTGTAGTAGTAAAATTTTAAAGTAAAGCAGAGGGCTTTGTGCACGAGAAGTACCATAGAAACACGCCGTGACATGACGTGGCCTGGCTTCCGAGAACTGAAGGCTAGAAGCGGGTGGAGGGCCAGTCTCAGCCCAGCTCACCTCAGGGCAGTGTCCTGAGACTGACTCTAGGACCCTTGACACGCAGAAGGTCACCAAGGCCCCAGAGATCTTTTGTGTATGTGGTTATGGGCCTTAATGTTTAACAACTTAGGAGTTAAAACTGAAAAATGTTCAACATAATCACAGACTGATTCAGTTTGGTTCATTTCAGTCGCTCAGTCATACCTCACTCTTTGCGACCCCATGGACTGCAGCACGCCAGGCTTCCCTGTCCATCACCAACTCCAAGAACTTGCTCAAACTCATTCCATCAAGTCGGTGATACCATCCAACCATCTCATCCTCTGTCAGCCCCTTCTCTCATCTTCACTCTTTCCCAGCATCAGGGTCTTTTCCAAGGAGTCAGTACTTCCCATCAGGTGGCCAAAGTATTGGACTTTCAGCTTCAGCATTAGTCCTTCCAATGAATGTTCAGGACGGATCTCCTTTAGGACTGACTGGTTGGATCTCCTTGCAGTCCATGGGACTCTCAATAGTTTTCTCCAACACCACAGTTCAAAAGCATCAATTCTTCAGTGCTCAGCCTTCTTTATGATCCAACTCATATCCGTACACGACTACTGGAAAAACCATAGCTTTGACTAGATAGACCTTTGTCGGTAAAAGAATGTCTCTTGCTTTTTAATATGCTATCTAGGTTCGTCATGGCTTTTTTACCAGGGAACAAGCATCCTTTAATTTCATGGCTGCAGTCACCATCTGCAGTGATTTTAGAGCCCAAGAAAATAAAATCTCTCACTGTTTCCATTGTTTCCCCATCTATTTGCCATGAAGTGATGGGACTGGATGCCATGATCATTTTTGTGCATTTCTTTAATGTCTGATTTAGTAAAAAGCAGCCAGGTTCTCATATGTGTTCTCGTTGTCTGTAGTGATAACCTTTTCTGTATAATTTACATGAAGAAAACCCAATTCCTAAGATAGGGAATTAGAGGAGGAAGGCGTTGCAGACCTTCAAGGGTCTTAGGACGCCACTTTGAGAACTGCTGTCCTAGATGGTTCCATATGTTCTGCTCCTAACAGGCAGCATATTTCCTGCAAGCCTTCCTGTAAATTTCTGTTGGGGTCCCCTCAGTAAGCTGCCAAGAGGACCTGGAAGTACCTGCTCTGTTCCATGCATGTTCAGGGCTCTTAGTCCTTTGGCCTCAAGATGCCTGTGTTTTCTTCTTAGACAGCTGGTTCTGCAACCCCAGGACATTTGTGTTAATAATCACAGCCAACTGCAGCTCTCTTCACTGAACCCCTGGTTGGGCACAGCCCTTCGGTTCTGGGGGTAGCCCTGCAGCCAAAGCAGCTGGGCCCGGGGCGCTCAGCTTGAGGCGGGGTCATGGTGCACAGACCTCATTACTCTCCACGCTTGTGTGTGTTTGGAATCTCCCATTTGGACAATGAAGCTGTGTTCTGCAGGCATCAGAAGTCCCTGTTTTCACAAACTTGTATTTTTTCTTGAAATTTAGTTTCAGTGTATCAGTTTAAATTAGAATTTAAGCTAACCAGCCATTCCAGTTAAGTCCGGAAGTGTATTTCGGAAGTGTATTTCTTTCTCAGCCATTAATTTAGGATGGAATCTGAGGGAGCGTGAGGAATCAGGAAGCTTTCTGGAGGCTTGGTTCCTTGGAACGTGCCCGCCCCGGGAAGGGGGGGCGCCAGCCGCAGTGGGCCCAGCAGGCGGCAGTGAGCAGCTCTCTTCTCCCTCCGCAGCTGGAGGCGCAGCTGGAGGATGCGGTGGCCGAGGCCTCCAAGGAGCGCAAGCTGCGGGAGCACAGCGAGAAATTCTCCAAGCAAGTGGAGGGCGAGCTCGAGGCCCTCAAGGTAGCGCCGCCAGTCTCCCCACCGAGGGAGCGGGGCCAGGCGTGGTCCTTGGCGGCCGCTGGGCGAGAGTCCCGGGAACCCGGCGTGGAAGCTTGTGGGAGTTTTTCGCTTTTCAGAACCAGAACCTTCACTTGACCTCCTAGAGCCAGCCCTCGTACACCAACCCCTCTTGCTTTCTCTGTGTCTTGGTCTGTGAATTCAGTGCAGGTCATTCTGGAAGGGCTCCTTACAGCCCAGGTCCTGCTGGTCGTCCGCAGAGGGGTGGGGAGGGCTGTAGGCGCTCTCTGTTAGCTGGGAGACCTCAGGGACGGGCCTCCACTTCCTGAGCCTGTCTCCTCATCTGTGAAGTGGAGACGGCGGTCTCCTCTCCCTCACAGCTGGCCCTTCGCCTGGACTTGGCGCCGTGACCGCGTCTCCCTGTCCCTCTCTTCACCTCTGTAGTCTGCCCTCTCCAGGCAGCTTGTCACTCCAGACTCGGAGCCCGTTGGGTCTCTGCTGGCCGCTGATGGCTGCCCCTGGCTCTCTGATAACCCAGCCCCTTCCTCCAGCCTCCCCAGCGCCCTCCTGCTCTCCAGCCTCCTTCAGCTGCCCCCCACCCCCACGCTCAAGACCCTCCTAGCCTGACAGCTCAGTGCCCACATCACCGCCCATGACCGCAGAGGCCGCGTGACCCTGTTAGCGGGATGCACAGGGAGACCTTGAGGGCCATTCACGGCAGACTGTGAGGCAGGGCCTCAGCGCCCCAGGCAAATCTGGACTCGCCCTTTCCAGGGCGGAAGCCCCCCCACCCCCCACAAAGCCTGCCCTGCAGCCGTCGGAAGGATCAGTGCCCACTGTGTCTGCCGAGGGCGGGGTGAGGTGGGGCCCTGGAAGAGGAGTGTGATCTGTCCCAACCTTTGTTCTCAGATGAGGCAGGGGGGCCGCGGGCCAGGTGCTGCCCTAGAACATCAGCAGGAGGTTTCCAAGATAAAATCTGAGCTCGAGAAGAAGGTCCTGTTTTATGAAGAGGAGCTGGTGAGACGCGAGGCCTCCCACGTGCTGGAGGTGAAGAACGTGAAGAAGGAGGTGCACGACTCCGAGAGCCAGCAGCTGGCCCTGCAGAAGGAGGTGATGGTGCTGAAGGACAAGCTGGAGAAGTCCAGGCGAGAGCGGTGAGTGCGCGCGCGGGGGCGGGGGCGGGGCGGGGCCGGGCTGGGCTCGGGGGAGGTGGGAGCGCTCGCCCGCGGGGGCCCTTGACGCCTGTCTGCGTCCTCAGGCACAGCGAAATGGAGGAGGCCGTGGGCACCGTCAGGGACAAGTATGAGCGGGAGAGGGCGATGCTGTTTGAGGAGAACAAGAAGTTAACTGCCGAGAACGAGAAGGTGCTTGAAGGGGTCTGAGCTGTCGCTCTCCGGAAGCTGTCGTTCTTTTCACTCTTGAGTCTTAGAAGTTGGGTGTTTTAAGTAACTTAATTTCTAAATGATGGAATATATTTGCTCTTTAAAGGGGGATGTTTTCATCTAGTTCCCAGCTGCTGATTACCTGAAACCACTAGCTCTGATCACTTTGACACTCACATTTGTATTGAAACGGGGCTTAAGTTACCTATGGCCAGGAACCCCACTTTGGAAGTTAGGTTGGCAAACCCTCATGATGGGGAAAGAAAATGTGAAGACCCTTCGAAAGAGCCTGCAGTTTGCAGTGCTGACGTCACGTGTAAACGAGTAACGAGTCGTGTGTCCCGACCGTTTCACTCCAGCTGTGCTCCTTTGTGGATAAGCTCACGGCTCAGAATAGGCAGCTGGAGGACGAGCTGCAGGATCTGGCAGCCAAGAAGGAGTCGGTCGCCCACTGGGAGGCGCAGATCGCGGAAATCATCCAGTGGTATGTGCCCACGCCCCGTCACGGCTCCCCAGCCACCACCCCCGCCTCCACACCTCACGCTGCTCCTCTGTGGCTCTGTACCCAGCTCACCTCGGTCTCCCCCAAATCGGTAATGTCTGGGGGCCGCAGTTCGGTCCAGTGATAGTGAGATGGGACTACAGGTGGGAGGCAGCACACCCATGTGGTGTGGGTTGGGCTGGCCCCTGCTTGCAGAGCCGGAGCAGATCTTCCAGAAGCCTGGAAGCCCGGAGAGTGAGCTGGGACTGTCCTGACCAGGAGTCCGTGGTCACGGTGCCTGGGGTGGCATGGTGCTGAGCCTCCGTGTCTTTAGGAGGGACAGCGGGCAGTGCTCACTCACAGGACGGCCCTTTCCCCTCTAGGGTCAGCGATGAGAAGGACGCCCGGGGCTACCTGCAGGCCCTGGCCTCTAAGATGACCGAAGAGCTCGAGACGCTGCGGAGCTCCAGTCTGGGGTCAAGAACACTGGTAGGTCTGGGTCTGGAAGCCGCATTTGTGTTGCTGTGTGGCTTTAATAATTGATGGTTGTGTGGGGTCTTTGTTGAGATGCAGGCTGCTGTCTCGTTGTGGTGCGTGGCTTCTAGTTGTGGCGGGTCTCCCGTGGGGCTTAGCCACTCTGCAACAGGTGGGGTCTTCCCAGACCAGGGGTCAAAGCCATGTCCCCTGCATTGGCAGGTGGATTCTTTACCACCTGCAGCCAGCACCTTGTCAGTTGTCAGGGGATCACATTGCTTCGCCACCATACACGTGTTTAGCGAATCCCTGTTGAGTTAGCAGGGTGAAGTTAGGACGGGACTCCGCCCTTAGAGAGGGCGCTTGGTTAGTGTGATGATCCGTTGTCCGGTGGCCTGTTTGACTCTGCGAGCCCAGAGTGTGGCCAGTGCCAGGCTGGTGGTGCTGGTCCCTCTCTCCTCCTCGGTCCCCCTGGTTAAAACATGCACGTGTGACTTATCTTGTGAGAATCGCAGAGTAAGAGTGCAGGGAAAGAGGAACAGCTTCATTAGAATTCCAGCTAGAATTAGGCTTTGTAGACCCACAGTTTTATTCCGTGTTCTCCTGATTTTAGGCGGGGGCCAGGGAGACTGAGCTGCCTGTCCTAGCACACAGAACCTGCAGCACACCCGGCCCGTAGACTCGGAACCTCGGGAGTCCATCCCGGACGGGTTCCAGCACATCCTCACCTCTCACTCTTCTCATGCTTCCATCATCAAAACACAATACTTTGGAAAACATTGATGGTTCATAATCTTATTGAAGGAAAAAAAACAACTGTGTTCTTTGTGATTGGAAAATATATTTATGTTTATAAACACCAATTAGAGTAAGCAATTTATGTTCTTCATTTCTACTTTTTTCTTCCCATTGTGTTTACAAATTCACTGGTACTTAGAAAACTTCATTTATATACATTTTGTGCACAAACTTCATAAAAGATGAAAGAATATTATCATAGCTTATAGCAAAATGGAATTGTTGAGATTCTTGTTGCAAAATATTGTATGGACAGTTCTTTGTGTCTGAGGACTCACTTGATGAGAAAATATTTCCTTTCATTCTTCAGTTCTTTTCAGTCGCTCAGTTGTGTCGACTCTGCAACCCCATGGACTGCAGCATGCCAGGCCTCCCTGTCCATCACCAACTCCTGGAGTTTACCCAGACTCATGTCCATTGAGTCGGTGATACCATCCAACCATCTCATCCTCTGTCAGCCCCTTCTCCTCCTGCCTTCGATCTTTCCCAGCATCAGGGTCTTTTCCAAGGAGTCAGTTCTTCCCATCAGGTGGCCAAAGTGTTGGAGTTTCAGCTTCAGCATCAGTCCTTCCAGTGAACACCCAGGACTGATCTCCTTTAGGATGGACTGGTTGGATCTCCTTGCAGTCCAAGGGACTCTCAAGAGTCTTCTCCAACACCACAGTTCAAAAACATCAATTCTTCGGTGCGCAGCTTTCTTTATAGTCCAACCCCTACATCCATACATGACCACTGGAAAAACCATAGCCTTGACTAGATGGACCTTTGTTGGCTAAGTAATTCCCTGCTTTTTAATATGCTGTCTAGGGTGGTCATAACTTTCCTTCAGAGGAGTCAGCGTCTTTTAATTTCGTGGCTGCAGTCACCATCTGCAGTGATTTTGGAGCCCAAAAAAGTAAAGTGTGCCACTGTTTCCCCATCTATTTCCCATGAAGTGATGGGACGGGATGCCATGATCTTAGTTTTCTGAATGTTGAGCTTTAAGCCAACTTTTTCACTCTCCTCTTTCACTTGCATCAAGAGGCTCTTTAGTTCTTCTTCGCTTTCTGCCATAAGGGTGGTGTCATCTGCATATCTGACGTTATTGATATTTCTCTTGGCAGTCTTGATTCCAACTTGTGCTTCATCTAGCCCAGCATTTCTCATGATGTACTCTGCATAGAATTTAAATAAGCCGGGTGACAGTATACAGTCTTGACATACTCCTTTTGCTATTTGAAACCAGTCTGTTGTTCTATGACCAGTTCTAACTGTTGTTTCCTGACCTGCATACAGGTTTCTCAAGAGGCAGGTCAGGTGGTCTGGTATTCCCATCTCTTGAAGAATTTCTCACAGTTTGTTGTGATCCACACAGTTAAAGGCTTTGGCATAGTCAATAAAGCAGAAATAAATGTTTTTTCTGGAATTCTCTTGCTTTTTCGGTGATTAAGCGGATGTTGGCAATTTGGTCTCTGGTTCCTTTGCCTTTTCTAAAACCAGCTTGAACATCTGGAAGTTCACGGTTCACATACTATTGAAGCCTGGCTTGGAGAATTTTGAGCATTACTTCACTAGCCTATGAGATGACTGCAGTTGTGCAATGGTTTGAACATTCTTTGGCATTGACTTTCTTTGGGATTGGAATAAAAACTGACCTTTTCCAGTCCTGCGGCCACTGCTGAGTTTTCCAAATTTGCTGACATATTGAGTACAGCACTTTCACAGTATCATCTTTTAGGATTTGAAATAGCTCAACTGGAATTCGATCACGTCCACTAACTTTTTTCGTAGTGATGCTTTCTAAGGCCCACTTGACTTCACACTCCAGGATGTCTGGCTCTAGGCTGAGTGATCATACCATCATGATTATCTGGGTCATGAAGATCTTTTTTTGTACAGTTCTTCTGTGTATTCTTGCCACCTCTTCTTAATGTCTTCTGCTTCTGTTAGGTCCATACCATTTCTGTCCTTTATTGAGCCCATCTTTGCATGAAATGTTCCCTTGCTATCTCTGATGTTCTTGAGATCTCTAATCTTTCCTATTCTATTGTTTTCCTTTATTTCTTTGCACTGATCATTGAGGACGGCTTTCTTATCTCTCCTTGCTATTCTTTGGAACTCTGCATTCAGATGGGTACATCTTTCTTTTTCTCTTTTGTTTTTCACTTCTCTTCTTTTCACGGCTATTCGTAAGGCCTCCTCAGACAGCCATTTCGCTTTTTTGCATTTCTTTTTCTTGGGGGTGGTCTTGATCCCTGTCTCCTGTACAGTGTCATGAACCTTCATCCATAGTTCATTGGGCACTCTATCAGATCTAGTTCCTTAAATCTATTTCCCACTTCCACTGTATAATCGTAAGGGGTTTGATTTAGGTATTACCTGAATGGTCTAGTGGTTTTCCCTACTTTCTTCAATTTTAAGTCTGAATTTGGCAATAAGGAGTTCATGATCTGAGCCACAGTCAGCTCCCAGTCTTGTTTTTGCTGACTGTATAGAGCTTCTCCATCTTTGGCTGCAAAGAATATTATCAATCTGATTTTGGTGTTGACCATCTGGTGATGTCCATGTGCAAAGTCTTCTCTTGTGTTGTTGGAAGAGGGTGTTTGCTATGACCCGTGTGTTCTCTTGGCAAGACTCTTATGAGCCTTTGCCCTGCTTCATTCTGTACTCCAAGGCCAAATTGCCTGTTACTCCAGGTGTTTCTTGACTTCCTACTTTTCCATTCCAGTCCCCTATAATGAAAAGGATATCTTTTTTGGGTGTTAGTTCTAAAAGGTCTTGTAGGTCTTCATAGAACCATTCAACTTCAGCTTGTTTAGCATTACTGGTCGGGGCATAGACTTGGATTACTGTGATACTGAATGGTTTGCCTTGGAAACGAACAGAGATGATTCTGTCGTTTTGAGATTGCATCTAAGTACTGCATTTTGGAGTCTTTTGTTGACTATGATGGTTACTCCATTTCTTCTAAGGGATTCTTGCAGTAGTAGACACCATGGTCATCTGAATTAAATTCACCCATTTCAGTCCATTTTAGTTCACTGATTCCTAAAATGTCGACGTTCACGCCATCTCCTGTTTGACCGCTTCTAATTTACCTTCATTCATGGACATAACATTTCAGGTTCCTATGCAATACTGCTCTTTATAGCATCAGACTTTACTTCCATCACCAGTCACATCCACAACTGGGTGTTGTTTTTGCTTTGGCTCCATCTCTTCATTCTCTCTGGAGTTATTTCTCCACTTTTCTCCAGTAGCATATTGGGCACCTACCGACCTGGGGAGTTCATCTTCCAGTGTCCTTTCTTTCTGCTTTTTCATACTGTTCATGGGGTTCTGAAGGCAAGAATACTGAAGTGGTTTGCCATTCCCTTCCCCAGTGGACCACATTTTGTCAGAATGCTCCACCATGACCTGTCTGTCTTGGGTGGCCCTGCACGGCATGGTTCATAGTTTCATTGAGTTAGACAAGGCTGTGATCCATGTGATCAGATTGGTTAGTTTTCTGTGATTGTGGTTTCTGTCTGTCTGCCCTCTCATGCCCTCTCTCAGCCCCCTGCCATCTTACTGGGGTTTCTCTGACCTTGGACGTGGGGTATCTCCTCTTGGTCACTCGCCGCTCCATCCTTAAAAGTGTGTTACCTACTTTCTCGTGGGTCTGGTCACCTGAGCCTCCTCGTGGCTGGTCCCTCTGTAACCACTCGGTGGCACCCCGCTCTGCTCCTCCTCCCCCTGCCCCCCACCCCCGCCGTCTCCTGGCTGTCTCCCTCACTCAGCTTTCTCCTCTTTCCTCCTGCATAGGAAAAATGAAAAATTCTTAGCTGTTTTCAATGAAAACTTAAATAAATGTCTACCAAGACAGTCTCTCCAGATTTCTGTTATACTCTTGAAAGTCAGTGAAATACATCTGGCATCTCAATGAGAAAGAATGCTGTCCTCAACTAGTTTATTCCACTGTAGCTTCATCCTTCAGTTCATCCCATCACTCTTCCTTTCTCTTATTATTTTAGTCTTTTAATGATGTAATTACTAAGATGATAACATGGCACAGTGTTTCAAGATGTACAAAAATAAGAGTAACTGGGACCCTAGAATAAAGCTTAACTTGGTAAAAGAGTGTAGTGGAGCCATGTAGAGAAATTACCCTGTCAGGTCAGTTTAATTTTTAAGAAAGTAAATTTTATTCTTTAGAAGACCTCTAAGAAAGAAGTCACAAAATACCAAAACTAAAATTGGGTCCCATGGACAACATCCAAGAGTTAATATTTAAACATAATAAAAGTCTTAAGATTCAGTGAAGATAAATTACCTGTTAGTGTTTATGTTGGTCAAGGAGCGAGTTGGTTCAGAATGTGTTCTAGCATCTGAAACCACCTCTGCAGGACCCCCTCTGGAAAGTTCGCCGCAGTCAAAAGCTGGACATGTCTGCGCGGCTGGAGCTGCAGTCGGCGCTGGAGGCGGAGATCCGGGCCAAGCAGCTCGTGCAGGAGGAGCTGAGGAAGCTCAAGGACGCGAACCTCTCCTTTGAAAGGTGCCCGCCAGCCCGGGGCCGCTGGGACGAGCAGGGCGCTGTTGCTGAGCTTGGTGCTCAGGCCCGGGGCGCGGATGTGCATGTTCAGGGTTTTCAGGACAGAATGGGCGTGTGTGAGTCTGCAGTTCTGAAGCGTCTGTGTCTCTTCTGAGTGTGAACGGGGTGCTTGCTGCCCTGAGCTGGGTGACAGGACCCACATGTCTGTGGACACCTCTCTGGCCTTCCTGTCTACCTCAGGCCTGTCCACTTCTTCAGCTTAGCTTTTTTCTTTAAAAGCTAAACTCAGCACACTAAAATATTCAGAATTTTTCCCCCACCTTCAAGCAGTCATAGAAAACACTGACAAGGCAGTGAATTCAGCAAACGTTTGATGAGAGCCCACCGTCTACGGGTTGTTTTCTTCCCTCAGGATCTGTAATGAGCTGCAACCTTAGGAAAGCCGGGCCGCCCTGCCTGCGGTGGACCTGTCCATGTGGGTGGCTAAGCTCTGACATGTCTTCATGGGGGTGCGGGCGGAGACCTGGAAGAGCTGGTGTCACTAACAGGACAGTGACACTAACAGTCAGTTAGAGGCTGAAAAACTGATCATGGTAACAGCTGCTATTTAAACACACTGCCTCTGTGCTTGGAGCTGCAGTGAGACCGTTATTCTATGAAAGCACATGACCCTTCCAGCATCCCTGAGAGGCAAGCGCGTGTACCACCCCCAACTTCATGCGGTGGGGGGGGGGGGGGGCGGGATGAGGGGCGGCGGTGAGGCGGTTCTCCTGGCGTCACCATGGTCAGCACAGGGCTCTGAGCGAGGGCCGTGCCACTCGCCTCCTCACCAGGGTCCACCGGGGCCTGGCTCTGGCCCCTCCTCGAAGTGCTGGGAGCAGAGGCCGCGCTGCTCGGGCAGTGGTGTGGCCCTTTGGTGCAGCCCGCTGTCATGCTCTTTTTGGGGAAGACACTTAGGGCTCTGACAGCTGAGTGATTGAGCCGCATGTCCTCAGAGGACGCATTTAGAAACAGATGGGGACCGTCAGGGACTCCACTAGGCCTCGTGAGATACACTCTGTAAACTGTGACTTTAAAGTGAAGATCATGTATCATCCATAATGCAGTGAGCGGCAGCTGATGCCGAGAGTGGGCCTGAGTGTCTGTCTAGTGGGTCTGGGTGCTTTCCCAGACCCCTGGGATAAACACCGACCCCGACCACCCCCCACCCCAGCACTTACACACACATACACACACACACCCAGGTGCTTTCCCAGATACCTGGGATAACACACACACACACACACCCCCCCCGCCAAACACACACAGACACCCGGCTGCTTTCCCAGACATCTGGGATAAATCACCCACCCACCCACACCCACACCCACAGATACACCCTACTACCTACTTTGACACTCTGAGCCAGCACAGAGATGACCTGAGTTCAGGGCACTTAAAGCCTTTTATTTTGTATTTTAGCAAACTAAAGGATTCTGAAGCCAAAAACAGAGAACTACTAGAAGAAATGGAAATTTTGAAGAAGAAGATGGAAGAAAAGTTTAGAGCAGATACTGGTAAATTAGGATCATAAGCTTCTGAATTGTTTACATATAAAGCTTTTTTAATGAAATGGTTTTATTTTAGATTTAACTTATTTTAATTTTAATGGTTTTTAGTTCTGTAAGGAAAGCACTTACCCTAATCCCAAAGCCCAAATTCTGAAATAGGGTATGTCCAAAGATGCCTTCCCAAAAAGGTAGCCACAATTTTCCGTGCATTCTTCCTTTGTTCCATCGTGAACATATAAAGCAGGTACCTGTGTCTGTATCATTAGGCCTCACAGAGGCCTTTGCCTGGCACAGGTCCTTCGTGCAGCCGGCTCGGCACAGCGCCCGCTGGGCATCCTGCTGCTCCGGTCCCGTGCCGCGGGGCGTGCTGCGTGTATGTGGCATTTGCTGCGGGGCTGCTGGTGGAGGGTGAGCATGTGCACACTCGGGCTCAGCCGTGCCAGGTCTGGGTTGTGCTCCTGGGCGGTGGGTTTGTGTCCCCGGCACCGGGCAGGCGAGGGTCCCTGCCCTGCAGCCTCGCCCACCAGGGACGACCTCGCTCGGAGTGGGTGAGATGTGGCGCCACCTTCACATTCCTTACAAGCGAGGTTGCACCTCTCTTCATGTGTTTGAGGGCTATTTGTGCCTCACTCTGTGGTTCATAGATATGTATTTTCTACCCATTTTTAAAAGTTCAGATTGTGGCCTTTTTTTAATTCTTAGAAGCTGTTTATATATTGAGGACTAGAGTCTTGTTTGATAAAAGTTGCAAATATTTCTCCTAGTTTGTCTTTTTGTCTTTTTACTTTGCTTTTTTTGTTTTAATTTTTTCTATTCTTGGCTGTGCTGGGTCTTCATTGCTGCGTATGGGCTTCCCGTTGCTGTGGCTTCTCTTGCTGTTGGGCATGGGCTCTTGTTGCGGTCCCTGGGCTCTAGAGCACAGAGCTCGGTAGTCGCGGCACACAGACTTGATTGCCCCTCGACCAGTGGGATCTTCTTGGATCAGGGATCACACCCGTGCCTCTTGCATTGGCAGGCAGATTCTTTACCACTGAGCCATCAGGGAGGCCCCCTAATTTTTTTTTTTTGCCAAGCATTAGGTGTTTTTTTGGTTACTGTTTTCATTTTGTTTTATTATTTTAATTTTTGTGTGTCAGATTTGTTTGTTTTTTCCCTTTTTTTAAGTCATAGGGAAATATTCCCCAAATCCCCAGTTGTTCAAGTAATTCACCCATGTTTTCTTCAGATACTTCTAAGGCTTCATTTTTAAAATTTAGATTACTGATCCACTGGAAAGTTACTGTGACATACAGTTTGAGGAGGACCCATTCTGCCTTTTTTCTGAGACTTGTTAGTTGTCTGATGCCAGTTATTAAAAAGTTACTCTCGGTACTGACTTCAGATGTCAGTCTCACCACAGATGAGATGAGTTGTCGTGGGGGCTGGGGGCTATTTCTGGGTTTCTACCTTGTTCAGTGTCCATGGCAGGACCCATGCTTCTAATTAGAACATGTGCTTCAGTGAATCTGCCTTAGTATTTGGTAGGTCTCCTCCCCTCCCACCCCCTCGTTTTTAGAGACTTACCAGGTACTCTTCCTTGGTTACTCCAGATGTCCAGCTCTGGGGCAAGTCTAATGGTATTTTTACTGTAATCGCGTCAGATTTATCAGTTCACTTACAGAGAATTGCTATCTTGATAATACTGAGTCTTCTCATAAAACTTAAGAAACAGTCTTAAATTTTGTACCTTGACAAGTCTCGTTTTATTCTTATAGGACTCAAACTTCCAGATTTTCAGGATTCTATCTTTGAGTATTTCAACACTGCACCTCTTGCACATGATCTGACATTTAGAGTAAGTATTTTTTTAAGTGACAAATGAATTTATGATAAATTAGAAATATTGATAGTTTAATATGGTTTGGCTGCTTGTGACCACAAACATACCAGTAAGTTAACATGTGACAGTTATCTCAGCTGTTGAACAGGGATGCTGAATGTGTGAGATTTGAAACGGTTAAGGTTCGTGAAGTGTACCTGGAGAAGTGTTCCCACTTCCTCAAATCACATGGGGTGAAGGAAGTGCTCGGCACCTTCAGGGAAGAGACCCCCGCCAGCCCCTGCCTGGGTAGCACGTGTTTCAGGCAGTTTTTAAAACACACATTCTCCCCCTGCAGCCAGTCACGTTACCCTTACAGTGGCTTCTGTGTGGACTCGCCGATGGATGGAGTGGGTGGTAGGGAAGAACAGCCCGGCTCCGGGCCCCCTATTGAGGTCCTGGTGAATCAGCTCAGCGCCTCCACTCGGGGGTGACCGAACTGGAGGCCGCCAGAGCCCCCGTGGCGCAGGAAGCAGCTCCTGGGAGCAGTTGGCCCATCCTCCTCGGCCTCTGAGGCTCTTCACGGCACCCGTTGGAGGTGGGGCAGTCGGTCCATCTTCCTCCAAACTGCAGGGTGGACCCTTCCTGGCCACCCCGAGACAAGCCAGTGAACATAGTGACGGCAAGTCTCACTAACGGGACCTCTGGTGTGTTTGTCACTGCTTTTGTTTGCGTTTTACCAGAAAACTTTAAACCTGCAGGAAGACTTGAAAGTAACACAGTGAACATACACGTGCCTCTCGCCTGGCATTCTGCCCATTGCTCTCCCTGTGTGTACACATGGCGCTTTTTGAGCGTGAGTTGCAGGCATCATGACTCTTGGACACCAAACTCTCCGGTGCTTCCTTCCTGAGGCCACTGAGCACAGTGCAGCCCCCCGCGGGGGCGGTTCACACAGCTGCCGCCCCTCCGCCCAGGAGCCAGCGCCTCTCTGGTCCCCTTCCATCTGGACTCGCACCCCCACCACCCCCCACTTTTATAACCCTGATATTTTTGTAGTGTCCAGACTGGTTGTCTTATAGATTGTCCTCCACTCTTCCTCTTGATCAGACATGGGTTGGACGTTTTGACGTGCTCTGTACCGGAGATGGTGTGTTCCTGTGAGTGGAGGCACTCACAGCACTGGGGATGCTAAGCTTCTTGGCCCTCAGGTGGACGTGGTGTCTGCGGACCTGCCCCAGAGGGACTCAGGAGGCACCAGTGGTCATCCTCGGGTTAGCAGACCACTGTGATCCTAGCCTAGACCAGTTGTTACAAGACCCAAGCAGAGCTGTGTTGCTCACAGTGTTCTGGGCACCCACCTATTTACCTGCACCTGTCAAGGGGTTTTTGTTGAATCTGTGATATCGCCTTTTCCCTTAAGTCCTCAGTTTTTAAGAAGCAAATACATGTAACTGTTCACGTTGGCGGCTCTTCCAGACACCCGCTGCTGGTCAGCCCCGTGCCTCCTCCCAGCGCCGCAGAGCCAGACAGACTCCCGAGAGGCTGAGACTCGGGTCGTCGACAGGATGGGGTGGCCAGAAGGCAGTGGCTTTTCTCTAGAACTGGTGGATGGTAGCAGTCCCTGGGCCAGGTGGTTTCTAGCATGTCCCTTTGTCCCCGGGGGTGGCCAGAGGAGCAGGCTGCGCATGATCCCTAGACCCCGTCCCCTGTAGCCAGCACTCCTGCCGTTTTTCACGTTTAATTTACATCCCTCACTACCCCGTGACTTAACTGGGAAGAACAGTTACTGATGAAAAGGAAAACTCCTTGGTCAGAGTCAGATGTGTTAGGAGGGTTTGCAGGCCTGAGAATCTTCTGATAGAAGCTCCTGGTCTGCTTTCCCCATGTGAAGCTGCAGTTTATACTAAAGTGTTGGCCACAGCACTGAATCAGCAGATTTTCCTGGAGGTTTGCATCGGGTGCGAATGATGGTTTTCACTCCTCCCGTCTGTCACAGTCGAGGGTTCTGTCTCCTCCCACGGGTCCTCTCTGCCAGCCTCTTGAAAAGAAGTCAGTCACTGCCAGCGTCAGGCCCGCCCTCATCGCCTCCAAGTGCGGACCCCTCCCCCATCCATCTGCATCCTTTTGATTAGTTGTCTAGCTAAATGAAACTAGGGAGGCTGTTCCTCAGCTACAGTTAAATTACGAAATGTTCTTTTGCCCTTTGTTTATCTAAAAATGCAGCTCTGACCCATTTGTATACCTCGTTTATGGGGGAAAGTTGCTTGTACTTGTGGCTGGTTGATCTGGCCTTTCCCTTACGCGTTTGCTTACAGGTTCACACATTGCATTACGTAGTCGCGCGTGTGTCTGTGCGCGCCCTGCCTTCTCGGGTGAACTTGGCTCCCTAGGCAGCAGCCTGACTCATTCAGGCCGTTAGAAAACGCTTCTTGGATGTGGTTTGATGGGGTTTCGGTGTGGAGCTACCTGCCCAGTCACTCTGGGTCACCTGTTGATGCGGCTACATAAATTGTGTGCGTTCGTAAAACATAATTGCTGGTGACGAGGGAACGTTCGAGTCGGGAGCAGTCCTGACGTCATCCGTAGGTGGTTTTAGAATGCTGCTATAGCTTCAGCTTGTGAAAGTAATTTGAGAGTCTTGAATTCTTAGAACCAAGCATTGCTTCCCTGTGTCATGGAACTTAGAGGGAAATTCCTCCTTCTGGTCATAGGTCCACAGCCCTTTTTGATGTTAGAATTTATTTTCGGTCCCAGAAATGAGGTTCTGGAGCGCATGGCCACTTCCACTTAGGACTCCCGGGTGTAGAGTGGGTCACGGCCTGTGAGCTCAGAGGGCGGGAGGGCCAGGCTGCGGTTGGAGAGTGAGGCCTTGGTGGTAACCCTGCCTCACGGTCACCCCCCACCCCAGGACGCTGAGGGCAGTGGTCTCGGGAAGGCAAGACAGTTGTGAGTGAGGTGGGGTCCATGGCGGGACATTGCAGGACTGAATCTGAACTGGGACCCCAGGCTGCCAGTGAAACGCACTTTTTAAATGAAAAATGTTCAGTTAGCCTCTGACTTCCCTTATCCCCACAGTGTTTCTCTGCCTTTGTTTTCAGACCAGCTCCACTAGTGAGCAAGAAACACAAGCTCCAAAGCCAGAGGTGTCCTTAGCGGTTTCTGTGACCACAGGCGCAGAGCCGCAGGAGGTGAGCATCACCCCGTCAACCCTGGAGAGGCGGGATCTGCCCACCCCCCGCCCCCCGCCCCGTGTCTGCGCACCTTGCGGACCCTCGCAGACACTACCCTGACAGCTTGTCCCTCTGAGGCTGGCTCATTTGAGAATTCCTGTCGGGGCCTCAGCCTGCCCAGGGTGGCTCCACGACTGTCCCGATAGCGCAGTATATCAAGACCGCAGAACCGTTCCTGCTAATCAGTGTGCTGAGTGAGGGGCGTGCTGAGCTGGACTTTGCTTACCTGTCCCTGCTTGTCCCCAGGACATGGCCCGGGCCCCTCAGAGGCTGCCCGCCACACCGCTGCCCACCGCACAGACCCTCACTCTGACAGGACCAAAGGTAGGGGCCTTGCTCTTCCCTGGGGGGAGGCAGGGGTTTCTTGCTTTTAGGCGACTTCTTTGTAAACAAGCCGAACTTAATATTTTCATTTACACAGTAATGTTTTGTTCTGAGTAGCGTGTTGAGCCATAAAGGGTCAGGACCCTGTGTTTTCTTAATTAAACCAGTGACACATGAACGCATTTTAATTGGAAAATCTGAGTCTGGTCTCCCTGGTCCTCTTCCCTCACTCCCCAGACCGTGTTTCCTTCCCCGGTCATGTGCCACTCCGTGTCTGTTCAGTCCCTGCTTCACATGTATCCCCGTGTATCTGGCTGCACTTGGAGCCCTAGAGAACCATGTGGTTTATGGGAGGCAGTTTTCCCTCCACATAAATGGAAAGCTGCTCAACGTGCCACTTCCTGACTTGTGTTGCTCGTCACTGTGTCGTGGAGAGCTGAGCCCGACGTTCAGGGTGTGACGTGGTTCTAGGTTCCCAGCTCAGCAGGCGTCTGGCCTCCTCATGTGCTGGGTGCTTTTCTTCTTTAATGTAGGCATGGCCTCTCTTAAGGCTTCAGCCGCAGACAGCCGTGCCTGCTAGAGATAGGGCGCTTGGTTTCATTTGAGACTAGCCAACAGCCAGGCTTTGGGCTTGCAGCTCTCAGGGAGGCAGAGAGCAGGCCGGGCTCTGGGTTTTGTGCTGGTCGAGCCCTTGTTCTGGCAAATGGTCTACATCTCCTGTGGCCTGAAGGGAATTGATTGCTCCTCTTTGCTGCTTGAGCTTCATCAGCGCTGTGGGTCTCACTCATTATCCGTGGTGTCCCCTGTCCGCTCTCCCGATGAGTATTCAGTCTTTCCAGGCTCTTCCTGGGAGGAATGAGCTGCTGTGGGGGGCTGTGCACACCAAACCGTGGCCCAGGCCAGCCCTGGAGCCCCTGCAGGCGAGGGCCTCGCGCCAGTGTGTTATAAGCGGTGTCTCTGCGGCCCGCCAGCCTCGCTAGTGTGGGCAGCGAGGGTGCTCTCTGTGGGAGGCGCATGTGGACTCGTTCTCTGCGTCAGCCTCTCCATGGATGGTGCCCCTGGGAACAGCGTACCTCGTGGTGAAAGCACGCGACTCAGCCTCTTGAGGTGGCGCCTGGGAGGTTGAAACGTTTGCTCACGAGCAGGTGGCCCCACCCCCACCTCCTTGTCTCACCCTGGACATCCTTCCTGCAGCCAAAGGCGCACCAGCTGAGCATCAAGTCCTTCTCCAGCCCCACGCAGTGCAGCCACTGCACCTCCCTGATGGTGGGCCTGATCCGCCAGGGCTATGCCTGCGACGGTGAGTGTGCCCACTCGCCCGCTTTGAGGGCCCAGGGGTGGGTGTGGTGAAGGCCTGGAGCCCGGGGCGGCCCCACCAGGAGGGGGCCCCCCAGGTTCCCCTGCAGGCTGAGCCGGGCCCAGCCAAGGTTGAAGTGCTGCTGCCACGGACAGTGCGCTGCTCTGGGGCGGCCAGGGCACCTGCTCACCCCTGTTTGTTGTAAAATGTAACATCCACGTCTGTTCTCCGAAGTAAGGGAAAGCAGGGTAAAAACTTGAAAATATTTCACTACCAACTTGTCTGGAGAGAAGCGCCGCCCTGTGTGTCTGTTCTCCCGGGTCTGTCGTCACTAGCCCTTTATGGCTCCGAGTTGTGTGCCTGCCCCGGGCTGGTGCGGGAGTGTGTGGAGACGTTACTCGACACCCACGTCCCCGCGTGTCTGTGGGAACCGTTCCCTTTGGGGGTGCGCACACGTCCCCCGTGACCACTGCTTCGGGGGTGCACGTCTCAGGCATGGCCTGTGCTTTTGCAGTGTGCTCGTTCGCCTGCCACGTGTCCTGCAGAGACCGCGCCCCCCAGGTGTGCCCCATCCCACCCGAGCAGTCCAAGCGGCCTCTGGGTGTGGACGTGCAGAGAGGCATAGGAACAGCCTACAAGGGCTACGTGAAGGTAGGACGTGACCCACGGCCCTGCTCAGGCGGGCGGCCAGCCTGCTGACCACAGCCACACCCGGCAGCACTGGAAATCCTTCTCTTTGCCCCATGTGCCCGTTCCGGGTGCCCTGCCCTCCTGAGGTCCTCAGGACCCCACAGAAACACTCATCCGAGGCCTCTCGTCCCACCTCCTGGGCTGATGGGCTTTAAGCCCAGTGCCATTTGAAGGCGCTGTGCCAGGCCCAGCATTCCATGACGCTCCACGTCTGCTGTGAACTTGCCCATCCGCTGAGTCACCCACCTTGTCTCCTGCAACCCCTTCGGTCATGGGGGCCTCTCCCCAGCGGCGTCCTGAGCTTTGCTGGGCCCAGACACAGCTCTGCTACCAGCCTGGGCCGGCCGAGCAGCAGCAGGGGAGGACCCCAGCACGGCAGCCGCCTCCAAGAAGTCTCCCGGGCCTGCCCCTCCACTGTGAGTGGCCGGCGCCCTGGCGGACATGGTCACTTTGATCTGCAGATCCCCAAGCCAAGCGGGGTGAAGAAGGGGTGGCAGCGAGCCTTCGCGGTGGTCTGTGACTGCAGGCTCTTCCTGTACGACCTGCCTGAGGGCAAGTCCACCCAGCCCGGCGTCCTGGCCGGCCAAGTCCTGGACCTCAGGTCAGTGTGCGGCCGCTCTCGTTCGGGGGTGTCCCCTGACTTGTCGTGAGCGGGGGTTCGCTGCTTGGTCGTCGTTAACCTTGTTCGTTCCTTAACCTCCTTAGTCGTCGTGCCACTCTGAAATGGGCCCGCTAGAAACCTTCCTTCTCTGGATGTTTTTGCCCTGAAAGATTTGCCAAACAGGCATCTAATGAGAAAACTCTGTACCCCACAGCAAAGAGAGCACACCCCACGCGCCGCGCAGCCTGGGGTCATCCATGCGCTCTGTCTCCGCGAGCCCTTGACTCCCTGTGGCCGCAGCGTCCGCTCAGCGGCGCCTCTTGTAACTCCCTTGTGTCTCATCAGGACCTTCCTGCCATCGACACGTAAAGACGTGGCACCCCCCTCCCCCCAACGTGGTTAATGTCTCGCTCCTTGAAATGGGCAGAATACCAATGCTTGAGGCCCGGGGCTCTGGGAGAACTGAGCCAGTTACGAGGCAGGGCAAGCTCAGCTGAGAGCCTGGGGGTGCAGCTGCCGCGGCAGCCACATCCCCCACGCGGAGAGCCACCTGCTCTGGCGTCTGCCCTGGGGCCCCCTCAGCAGCATCGGTTCTTGGGGGGCCCGTGGGGCAGGGTAATGGGGTATCTGCAGTTTGGAGATGTCCCCAGGTGGCTGCCACCCCCCCCACACGCACGCACACGCACACACAGGTATGCCCAGCCCAGCCGTGCTGAGGATGTGCTGGGCGTCCCGGGCGTCTGCTGCTCGCAGCCCAGGGTCGAGAGCGGCTGGGGTGACTCCCTGGCTGCTGCAGCAGACTTCATTTCCCTGTTTATGGCCAAGCAGAGGACAGGGCAGAGACGTGGCATGTGCACCTGCCGAGTGGCCTGGCCCAGCCAGAACAGTGTGACTCAGGGAGGGGTTTAGTCCCGGACACCCCGCACCATTGAAGCACACGCGAGATTCTTACTCTTGGCCTTGTCAGTATCAGCGTTTCTTATCCAGGTGGAGGCAGGGAGCCGCCATTGTGTTCTGGAAGGTCGTCCCAGAGGTGTCCTCTCCCATCATGGTCCCACAGGTGGAGGACAGGCCCCTGTTCTGATCGTGTTATTTCTTACAGAGATGAAGAGTTCTCTGTGAGCTCCGTCCTGGCTTCAGACGTCATACACGCCTCACGCCGAGATATTCCATGTATATTCAGGGTACGTTTTCTTCCTGGTTTTTCAACATGTTTCATTAATCATTAAAGAAGTGCATGTGGTTAAAATGAAAGGGTTGTTAATGAGCATTTCCTAGTGTGATAGCAAGGGGCTCGCGTGAAGGGAACTCCTGTGTCTCCAGACTGTCAGCCTCTCTGCTCATCCATCCACTGCACCCCGCTCCCCCCGACCAGTCCCCCAGTGCCAGGCCTTCCAGCTCCATCCTCATCCTCGGTCAGTCTGTCTTAGCTCCTCCACCCAGGGTACTGGACGCTGAAGCTGCCTCACGGGTTGGCTCTAAAGGAAACGGTCCCTTTAGTCTCCCTCCCAGGGACTCACTGGCCATTAACCTGAGCAAAGCAGGAAAGAAATTGGTTGATGCTGCTGTCAGCAGTCTTGTTGGCAGAGGCAGGGCGCCTTCCACTGGGCACCCCCTGCTGGGCTGGTGGTGGGTGCTGTGGGTTCAGGAAGCTTCCAGAAGACTGAGTTCCCCCTGCACTGGGAATTGTCATAGCTACAGTAAAATCTGGTTGACCACAAAACCAAGACCACGGATCATTTTCTGTTAAATCACGTCTTTGTTGAGAACCTGCGTCTGTGTATGACACAGAGACTCGCCGTCACTGTGCGCCCAGGTGGTTCTGTAGCAACGAGAGTTGTGCGCGTTTCCTGGCGTTTGGGCAGCACCCAGGGAGGTGGGTATCCGGGGGGTCCATTGTCCATGGATGGTTTTTCCCCCTTTTTGTCTTTTTTCTTTGCTTTGGCTGCACCGTGCAGCTTTTGGGATCTCAGTTCCCTGACCTAGGGTTGAACCTGGGCCCCTTGGCAGTGAGATTGTGGCATCCTGAACACTGGACTGCCAGGGAACTCCCACCCTACTGGACACATTCTGAGAGTGGGTTTCCCGGCTGTGACAAGAGCAGTTAAGAGTGAACAGTCAGCCGGTTTTGGTGAGAGTGGAGTGCCCTGCACTCAGAGGTCAGGCTACTTGCGGCCCCTGCGGGCGGCTGTACCGGGACCCCAGCGGCCCCTGGAGGGTACGCTCCAGGCAGCAGCCTCGTGCTCACCCCTCCAGGCCGCATGGCGCTGGCTCCGTGTGCCATTGTTTTATGACTCGTTTGTCTTGTTTTCTGTCCTGAAGGTGACGGCCTCTCTCTTAGGTGCCCCTTCTAAGACCAGCTCGCTGCTCATCCTGACGGAGAATGAGAACGAGAAGCGGAAGTGGGTGGGCATCTTGGAGGGCCTACAGGCCATCCTCCAGAAGAACCGCCTGCAGAACCAGGCGGTGCACGTCCCCCAGGAGGCCTACGACAGCTCCCTGCCCCTCATCAAGGCCGTGCTCACGGCCGCCATCCTGGGTGTGTGTCCTGTGCAGGGGGCCGGGGCGGGTGGGCAGTGTGGGAGCTCGTAGTTACTCTGGAGACAGAGGATCGTGACTTCCTTTGTGTTGTCTGCAGACGGGGACCGAATCGCCATTGGCCTTGAGGAAGGGCTCTACGTCATAGAGGTGACCCGGGATGGTGAGTGCACGGGGCGCTCGGGCCGTCCGCAGTGCCGCAGGCAGGGTCAGCATTTTGGATGCACGGGCATTAATATGGGTTCCCTGGACGGCAGAGTCCAGTCTCTGTGTCAGCTTCACAGAGGAGAGGAACAGGCCACAAATGAGGCAGGTGGTGGATAGCTGTCTGACACTTGTCCGCCTGCCCCATGGGCTGCAGGCGGGGTCAGCCTGGTCCAGTGAGACGCCGAGAGTAGCCTCGAGAGTCCTCCCGGGGAGGACGGGACGAGAGGAGACGGGTCCTTAATTCCCGGGCACACCGAGGCCTTGTCAGACAAAACACTCCTTTCTTCGCTTCACATTTTGACCTTTCATTCCTCCCAGAAGCAGCAGCAGGAATATCCCCAAGTCTTCTGGAAAATTGCCTGGGCCTGGCTCCGGGGGTCCCCCCGGGAACAGGGGGCAGCCCTGAGGGGGCAGTGGCCCCTTCCCCGGAGCCTGGGATCTTGGCACTCTGGCCCCAGGGAAGAATGGGGAGCACGTGTGGCCCTGGGGTGGCAGCTGCTCTTGCAGAGCTGCTCCCCATCGGGATCCAGACCCAGGGCTCTGACTCAAACCCCAGTGGTGGTCCTGACCTCGGGAGGGTGTCGAGGGTCCTGGGTGGATCTGGGCCCCTAGGAACAGGTGGCTGCATCCCTCCCGTGTGTGTATCTAAGGCTCCAGTGAAGCTGGAGACAGCCCTTTGTTTTCCAGATGCGGGGTTTTGAGTTCAGGGATGAGGGGGGATCCAGGGTGCATTCTCAGGGCCTCCCTGCACTCAGCACCTCCCAGCCAGGGTTCTGGGCCAGGGATGTGAGACGACGCAGTAGCGGAGACAGAGGGGCGTGTGAACCAGGAGGGCTTCCTGGGGGGGGGGGGGGTGTCCGCAGAGCCCTGGCCTCACACTCCCGCCCCATCCCGCAGTGATTGTCCGTGTGGCTGACTACAAGAAGGTGTACCAGATCGAGCTCGCCCCCAAAGAGAGAGTCGCCGTCCTCCTGTGCGGCCGGAACCACCACGTCCACCTCTGTCCGTGGTCCTCCTTCGATGGGGCAGAGAGCAACGTGGACATCAAGCTTCCAGAGACAAAAGGCTGCCAGCTCATAGCGACCGGGACGCTGAAGAAGAGCAGCCCCACCTGCCTGTTCGTGGCAGTGAAGCGGCTGGTCCTTTGCTATGAGATCCAGAGAACTAAGCCTTTCCACAGGAAGCTCAGCGAGCTTGTGGCCCCTGGCAATGTACAGTGGATGGCCGTGCTCAAGGACAAGCTCTGTGTTGGCTACCCTTCCGGGTTCTCTCTGTTGAGCACCCAGGGAGATGGGCAGGCTCTAAACCTGGTAAATCCCAATGACCCCTCGCTCACGTTCCTCTCACAACAGTCTTTTGATGCCCTTTGTGCTGTGGAGCTCAAAAGTGAGGAGTACCTGCTTTGCTTCAGCCACATGGGACTGTACGTGGACCCACAAGGTCGGAGGTCACGCGCTCAGGAGCTCATGTGGCCTGCGGCGCCCGTTGCCTGTAGTATGTATATGTTTTCTGTTGCCATACCCCGTCACCGCTGCCGCCCGCCGTCAGCACGTGTCCTCTTTGTCTTGGTCTGTCCTCCTGCCCCTCAGCCGAGTGCTCGGGGGGGCAGCAGGAGAGGCGGACTCCCCAGCTTGCTGCGGGGGACAGGGTGGGCCCAGGGCCACTCCCTGGCCATCCAGCTGGGCTTGCCCACCCCTCCCTCGGGGGGCCCTCAGCCGAGGAGCCGAGCAGACGACTGGCCTCGCGGGGGGGAAGGCAAGGTAGATGGGAGAAGGACCTGCGTTGTTTTACTCTTTAAAAGATGTTCTTGGTGACGTGTAAACTTTACACGGTCATGACAACAAGCTAAACATTTCTGTGGGCAGAAAGCACTCGGCCCCGACCTCTGGGCCGGGGTCCTCTTGGGACAGATGCCAGGCTGCGGGCAGGAGCTGCTCCGGGTGGCTCAACCGAGCGCCCTTCTGACAGGATGACAGCGCCGGCCGCTAGAGTCTGTGCTCCGTGCCCTGCCGGCCTGCTGTCTGCTCTCATGTCAAAGAGCCTAACCTCAGATTCCACCTGCTCAATACAGGGTGTAGCAGCTGGTCTGTGTGGTCACCCGTGGGTCACACGTCAACTTCAAGCTGGCAGGGTGGGAGGGGGTGTTCTGTTCTTCCCTGATTACCTGAAAGTATCCTCCTGAGTCTGCCTTGTCACTGGCCTCACCAAACTGGCAGAACACCCACAGGCGCTGGGACCAGGAGCCGGGGCCCAAGGGGAGCTGGCTGTTCCCCGGCCTTGTTCGTGCTTGGCTGGGGCCCGGGCACGGTGCGGGCAGCCATGGCCTCAGCGCCTCCCCTCCTGGTCTCCCCTGCTGCGCCCCCTCATCCTCGTGGGCGGCCGGTGCAGGAATGGGCTTGCGGCCACTTGGTAACTCCAAGGAGGCAGGTCGCTGGGGCCGCGCGCTCTGATCTTGGCCATGAGGGAGCTGGCACCGAGGTTGCTGCATTCTCTTCCAAGTCCAGCCCTCTCTCGTTCTCTGTGCTCGGTTCATCTGCATGCACAGTACAGACACCAGCTAGTTACAGAGCAATCAGGAGCTCTCAGGGTGGAGAACTAGCACTGCTTCCTGCTCATCGTGGGCCCCACGTGAGCACGCGTGTGTACACACTCACACCACCCCACCCCGGTCATGGGAGCCCCATCCTAAGGAGCAGCCTAGGAGCCACGCGGGGAGGTGACCTGCCCACCACACAGCAGGGGCCTTCCTGCTGACTTAACCAGTTCTTTTAACTGGGCAGCAGAGTTTACCAGTCCGTTGGTAAACTGTCTGCAGGCGGAGCCCCGCGTGCTCCCGCATGAGGAGAGCAGCCCCCGGAGGCTCCATGTGGGCGAGGCCTCCGAGCTCCTTCAGGGCCCTCTGGCCTCTTCATGTGTGGCGCCAGGAGGCCTCCGGTTTGTCTGAAATGCCACTTCCGGGTCAGTCTGGCCTCTTCATGTGTGGCGCCAGGAGGCCTCCGGTTTGTCTGAAATGCCACTTCCGGGTCAGTCTGGAGACTGGTTTCAGCATGTTTTGTTTGGTTCCTGAACCCTATTGTATTTTCTTTTTTGTGCTCCAAAGAGCAGGTGTGATCAGGCAGCCCGTTTGGAATCTAATAGCAACATAGCAGAAGGTTTTTAGAAATTCGGTTAGTTAAGTGCGACATGGTGAGGAGTAACTCTCAGCCCTGGGACGTGAGAGGAGAGGAACCAGGCTGAGTCGGGGCCCCACCTCGCCGCGCCCTCCACAGTGCGCTGTCTGGGCCGGCTCCCTCGTCCTCCCTGCTGTCCTACGGCGGGATAGTCCCCATGGACCTCAGGTGCCAGAGGGCCCGCGGGCCTCCGTCTCCCAGCCCTGGTGTCCCAGGAGGGTTTTCCATGCAGACCTGCGGCGGCCCATCCCTCTGGGGAGGGGAGAGCAGCAGGTCCCCAGCCCGTGGCAGGAGAGTGATCGTCGCCTCCGCGCGTGTGTTCAGGAGGGCGGCCTGCACACACCTTAGGGGAAGGCCAGCGCCTCGCCCGGAGCATAGCGGTAGTTTCTTAGGGGAGATTTTAACTATTTACTCAGAAGTCTGACTTGCCGGCATCTCTCAAAGAAGGAGTTTGCTTTAAGGAAAAAACGTTAGGCCCCTACCTGGATTTGCGGCGCATTCTGCCTGAAGTAACAGTAAGAAGTTTCTGCTGTAGCTGTATAGTAAGCAAGCTAAATGAAAAACGAAGTTTTGAGCAGGTCGTCACCAGCACTTTATAGGCGTGGTGTTTAAAACGCTGTCAGGTGTCAGGGGCGGAGGCTCCCTCCGCAGTGGTGCCCCGTGCACGTTCCCTCCGCCCGGTGGGCGGCCCGGGCTCACCCTTCTGCTCCGTCTGCGCCAGGTTGCAGCCCCACGCACGTCACGGTGTACAGCGAGTATGGCGTGGACGTCTTCGACGTGCGCACTATGGAGTGGGTGCAGACGGTCGGCTTGCGCAGGGTAAGGCTCGGGGTGCACGTGCGGTGCCCGCGACCCCCGAAGGCAGCCACCTCACCCATCTGGTTTCCAACACAGATCCGGCCCCTGAACTTGGAAGGCAGCCTCAACCTCCTCAACTGCGAGCCTCCCCGCCTGATCTATTTCAAGAGCAAGGCCTCAGGTGAGCCCTTCTTGCGGAGGGAGCGGAGGATGGAGGGGGGTTGGGGGGGACTTCCTAGGAGTCAGCAGCCGTGCGACGCTTCCCCGGCCCGCAGGAACAGTGCTCAACGTGCCCGACACCTCGGACAACAGCCGGAAGCAGATGCTTCGGACCCGGAGCAAGAGGCGCTTTGTCTTCAAGGTCCCGGAGGAGGAGCGGCTGCAGCAGCGGAGGTAGGGGCCGCGAGGGCGGGGCGGGCCGGCGAGGTGGGGCGGGGCCTCACGCTGCCTTCCTCTGCAGAGAGATGCTCAGAGACCCGGAGCTGCGGTCCAAGATGATCTCCAACCCCACCAACTTCAACCACGTGGCCCACATGGGCCCGGGCGACGGCATGCAGGTGCTCATGGACCTGCCTCTGGTGAGCCCCGGACGCCCCACCGCTCCCCTCCCCATGCGCCCTGAGGGTCTGGCCGTCTGTTACCACGTCACGAGGAAATCGCTGTCAAAAATGACTGCCGAAACAGCGCAGTAAGGGCAGGTAGCATACTTGGCCCTCACTCACTGCCAGTTCTTGGGGCAAAGCTGACCGACGTGGCTGTCCAGAGGGCCTTCCCAGCAGTTTCCCTACCGAGGCCCAGGGCCCCCTCCTGGTGCTGCTGCAGGCTCTGCACGTGGCCCGTGAGCTCTGCCCGGGGCCTGGCTACCCGCCTCGGGCAGCTGGTGCGTGTTCCTGAGCTGACACACTCCTCTCTGCGCAGAGCGCCGTGCCCCCCACACAGGAGGAGAGGCCGGGCCTGGCCCCCGCCAACCTATCCCGCCCGCCTCCGCCCAGGAACAAGCCCTACGTCTCCTGGCCCTCGTCAGGTAGGGGCCACAGTGGGGCCTGGAAACGGGGCCAGGGCTTGCAGCTCTGCTCGCGACTGTTTCCACCAGGGTGACGGCCATCTTCACTTTGCAGGGGGATCTGAACCTGGAGTGTCTATGCCGCTAAGGAGTATGTCTGACCCTGACCAGGACTTTGACAAAGAGGTGAGGTTCACCTGGTGAAGGCGGAAGCCCCCCAGGCTTGAGGCTCCGTCTGCCCTGGAGCAGCCGCCTCGGGCCTCCGCAGCCCCCAACCCCCCAGAACCGCCCTCTCTGGGCTGCTCGGGCTGTGCCCAGAGCGGGAGGACATGGGCTCTGAGGCTGTGAGTCTGTCGGAGAAGGACGAGGGTTCTCCCCGCTGCGTCGTGGCCTTGGGAGACCGAGGCCTCCTTCAGGCCCGGCTGCCAGTGGCCTGGCCGCCTGGCCTCGCTGAGGACGGTGCGGCCAAGGGCTCCTCCTGGGCACTGCCTGGGCGGGCGGCCGGATGTGTGGAGCATGCAGGGAGGCTGCTCCCCTCAAGACGTTTCCGCGTAGTCTCACACACAGGGCTGGAACCCCAGGAGGTGCACAGGTGGCCTCGTGTGTCCTGCCCTCTCTCCTCCACCTCCAGCAGCCCCGTGGGATCAGTGTTGGGGGTCACTACGGGTGTTCTCGGGGGTCCCACTCCAGATGGCAGTGTCCTCAGTCCCCCCGTGTGGTGGGGGGAGGAGAGCAGGAGGCAGCGTGCTGAGGGCTGGGCCCCGGCAGCACTTCTGTGACGGGAGGCCGGGGGCGTAGGGCTGCCGCAGTGACAGCAGAAACAGGGCTCCACCAAGAGTCCCTCACCTTCCTGGCATGCCCAGAACTCAAGGCGTGTGGTCAGCCATTTCCAAGTCCACCTCTGCACACTTCACCCGGCTGCTCTTGAGGGACTGTCTCCTCCTAACTCTTCATAGATTGTGGGTGTTACCTGCTGCAAGTACTTTTACCAGTATCACTGACATTTTAATTTTGTCTTTATTGTAAGGGTGTTGTCATATAGAACTATAACATGTAGAAGTTTTTAGTTCTTGTATAGTCTTATCTTTTTCAATTAAGACAAATTCTCTTTGAGAACCTGGGACGCTTTTCCTTTCTGTTCACCGTGTTCTGAGGGGTGTGAGAGTGTGTCTCAGCGTGTGCGGGTGAGGATCTGAGCCGCTTTCTCTCTGAAGCACATGGCACCGCCTCCTCCCCTCCATCCTGTCCGGTTGCCCGTTAGTGTTTGTTGCCTGCTTTTGTCTACATGTTTCTATTCCTGGAGCCTCTGCTGCAGCACCTGTAACCTGCGGGAGCACAACACATCTGTTCGTTCCCCATTTTGAGGACAGTTTCTTAGCTTCTCCTTCAGACTGACTGATTTGTGGCTGCGCTGGCTCTTGGTTGCTGCCCGGCTGTCTCTAGTGAGTGAGTGGGGGCTGCTCTCTCGTCATGGTGTGCAGTCCCCATCGCGGGGGCTTCTGCTGTGGAGCATGGGCTTAGTTGGCCGCGGCATGTGAGATCTTAGTTTCCTGACCAGGCATTGAACTCATGTGCCCTGAGTTGGCAGGCGAGTTCTTAACCTCCAGACCACCAGCGAAGTCCCAGCAGTACATTGTGAAGCAGTGAGTTTGGGAAGTGTGATGCCTCCAGCTTTTTCTTAGGCAGTTTTCTTTTGACTCTTCTGAGTCGTCTGCAGTTCTATGTGAATTTGAGGATTGGCTTTTCCAGTTCTGTGCCTGCCCCAAAAAGTCCGTTAGAATTTTGGTAACGATTGCATTGAATCTGTAGGTTGATCACAGTTGATGCCATCTTAACAGTAGTCTTCCAATCCATGAACATGCGATGCCTTTTGATTTATTCAGGTGATCTTTTTAAATTTTTTTCAGCAGTGTTTATAGTCGTCGTATACAGATCTTTCGTCTCTGGTTAAATTTGTTCTTGGATATATTTTATCCTTTTGGATGCTATTGTAAATGGAATTGTTTTCTTAGTTTCTTTTTCAGATTGCTCATTGCTGGTATTTAGAAGCAGAACTGATTTTCGTGATGACCTTGCATTCTGCAGCTTTACTGAATTCGTTAAGCGCTTTAGTGTTTTTATCCCTACAGAGCTGGGTCAGCTGTGAGCAGAGATGCTTTTACTTCTTCCTTTCCCTGGTGGATGCGGTCTTTACTTGCCCAGTGGCTGGACCTTGTAGCATGGTATTGAGCAGCAGTGACGGCAGCAACCTGGCCTTGTTCCTGCTCTGAATGGGGAGCTTTGCCTTTCACCACTGGGTGTGAAGTCAGCGGGCTGCTCACTGACACCTTTGTCATGTAGAGAAAGTTCCTATTGTTCCCTGAAAGAGCCGCACTTCTGTGACCTTGGCCCACTTGGTCGCAGCACTGCCTGGGTTCTTCATGGCAGTTACTCCTTTTGGTAATAGTTACACGAGTCTCAGGGGTGGTGGGCCTTGGATTGTGATCTCCTGCAGGGACCACTTGACAAGCCTGTAGAGAGTGTCGCCGTAGGAAGGAGACGCCCGGCCCAGACAGCTCCCCTCCGTGGTGCTTCTCACGCCCTCCCCATTCTGTCTTCACAGCCCGATTCAGATTCCACCAAACACTCGACTCCATCCAACAGCTCCAACCCCAGCGGCCCACCAAGCCCCAACTCCCCCCACAGGAGCCAGCTGCCCCTCGAAGGCCTGGAGCAGCCATCCTGCGATGCCTGAAGCCGTCAGCTCCCGCCACAGGGCTGGGGGCCCAGGTGGTCTGCAGTGTCAGTGCCAAGACTGAGCTGAGCCTCCAGTGTTGTCCAAGGAAATGTGCACTCGACGTGTAGATATGGAGATGAAGAAAATGCTTTATTATAATAACAATCAGTTCCGTGCCGCACTGTCTGGCGGTAGACCAGATCACCCTCTGCACAGCTGTGAGGCGACACAGCTTGTTTGCACATGAAGGATGCCCCCGGCCCCTCCCGCCCACCCAGGGCCGGCCGCGGCCCCCACGGATGCAGGCAGCTCAGGACGGCCTTGGGGCCGCGTCCGGCCCTGTTCCCTGAAGCCGTTTCCTAGGCGCTTAGGAGCATCGTAGGAAGTTGTATATCGTTCCCAGTGTCACTAGAGTCTTGAAGACAGGAAACGTGGAGGTTAGTTCGTGGCCTTTTCGTTCATTTAGCCCATACATGGAGGTGGAAGTCCTCCTGCCGACCTTGTAGCCGTGGACAGACGCCCTCTCGGGTCAGTCCGTTCCCGTCACAACCACACGTGTCACGTCTCTACTACTGTGAAGTCAGCCGTGCTCTGCGTCCTGCTCGCTTCCACAGCTCAGCCTCCGGCCCTGAAGCCAGCGGGTGGCGGGTGCTGGGCCCCGTGCCCACGGGCCGAGAGGCCGTGCCGGGGGCGCCCCGCCCCGCATGGAGCCCCGCGATTCGTGCCCTCTACTGGATGGTGTAGACGCCGCCACACTCCACCCCCAGCACCCCGCGCGCTTCTGCCTCCCCTCCCGGTGCGGCCTGTCTCTGAAAGCTTGCCGGGAGCCGCCGGCAGGCTTCCCTCTGCCCCTGCCAGCTGACGTCCTCGCCACGCTGTGGAAGACGTGCGTTTCCCGTGAGTCGGCGCTGAGTGACGTGGGCACCACGGCCTGCCCGTGCATGCCACACACCCAGCACCTGCCTGCCCGCCCCCCGGGCCTTCTGCGGGGGCTGGCACCTGCTGGGGGTTCTGGTTTTTACTTTTTTAATGTAAGTCTGAGTCTTTGTAATTATTGAATCGTGAGAACATTTTTGAACAATTTACCTGTCAATAAAGCAGAAGACGGCAGTTTTAAAGTTCTCGGTGCTTTGTCTGAATGGACTTGTAGTCAGCTGGTGCCTGGGGCCCCCAGCACCAGAAGGCCCCCTGTGCTGGAAGAACCATCTTGCCTTGCAGTGGTGGGGGGCGGAGTCCACATGGCAGGAGCTGGAGGCCAGGACCTCTCACCTGCCCAGGTCCCCGGGGGCCTCCGGGGATGCCCCGGATTGGGGTGGGCTTGTGGCTGGAGGGAGGGGCTGTCTGGCCAGTGTCCCTGCTAGGCTTCAGAGAGAGAAAACAGGACTGCCTGACCATTCCCAGGAGGGGGCGCTCACGGGGAGGTTGGGTGGGCACATGGCACTCAGGGGCTCTGGGGACCCAGGAGCCTGTGGCGGGCTGGGTACACTGACCCGCAGTAAGCTCTTGGTGACATGCGGGCAGGGGGCGCTGAGGATGGACAGGATGCAGAGAGCTGGCACACAGTTCCTGGGGAGCATCCCAGGGCCCCTGCAGCTCCGCCAGTCAGTGCGGCCAGTGGCCCGCCACTGCTCCAGGGGGAGCAGGAGCCGCACGAACCGCCTCCCCTGCCGTCCCTACACAAGGTACAGGCAGGCGCCCCCGAGGCAACGTCCAGCACCTAGAAAATGCAAGTGCAGGCCCACAGTGAGCAGGTGGTGGGCAGCGGGGTCAGAGAGGGCGTGGGGCATTGCCCCCCACCCTGCCCCACCCACCCAGACGTCTGACCCACAGGAGCACCTGTTTCTGGTCTGAAACACAGGTGCTCAAGTGTGAGCCATTCTTAAATGAAATACTAGCTATTATAATAGCACCAGGAGTAACCACCACCCATGATGTGGCCGAGCTTCACAAGGTGCTGGCCGCAGAGCACAGAGATGGGAGCGTAAGAGAGTGAATTCACCGTCAGCAGGTCACCAGCAGTCACCCTGGGGGCAGGTGTTCCCAATGCTGGGCACAAAGGTGTCCCTGACAGTTCAAGCTGGTCACGCTGTCCGTACAATCTCACACACACATCACCGTCCCACTGCCGGCCCATCATTACCTACCAAGTCAGGGTCCTACCCAGAGCGGCTCAGCCCTCACCCACCGCGGACCTCAGCTGCCCACAGGAGGGGGGCGCGGGCCAGTCCTGGCCTCAAGGCCTCCAACACCAAAGAGCCCCCTCCCGGCAGGACACACGCCAGCATGCAGCCACTCTCGAACACGGTAAGCTGGCAGCTCTGTCCCCACCTGCAGAGGGGACAGACCCACTGTGCCGCTGGGCACCCTAGCCCCGCAGAAGTCCAGGCCCAACTATCTGGCCCCGGTGCAGCCCACGCAACCTGGGTCTGAGCAGCTGGCAGCCTGCTCCGCCACCCTCTTCTGCACAGCCCCCGAACCCCCCTCCCTCAATAAGGGCTTTCTGGGCTCCTCCGGAACACGGCAAGCCGTCCTGGCTCCGGGAGGGCCTTCTCAGGCCGGAAGCCTCGGGCCGCCCCAGCCTACAGGCACACCCAGAACTGCCCTGGGTGGCTAGGCGCCAGCGGGCACGGGCTCTGAGGACCACCCCTCACCATCCGACCTGGCCCTCCCAGCTCCGACCAGGCAGGGGCAGACAGGCGCAGGATATGCGCGAGGTGTCCACGCTGACAGCAGGTGCAAAAAATCGCTTTATTGGGCTAGGCCAGCAGAAGGTGGGGGATCCCGCGGGGCCCGCGATGCCCCCTGGATGGGGCTGGGGTCGGGGTGCGACGGGTCGGTCACGCGGCCGCTCAGGCCTCGGCCTCCGCTTCGTCAAACAGCGGATTAAGGAAGTAGCTGCGGCTGGAGCTCCTTTGGTCCGACTTCGGGGTCGGGAGCTGCGGGAGCGCAGAGTCAGGGAGCCCGATCGCGAAGAGGTCGCGCACCCCCGACCCCGGGCGCCCCTCACCGCCTCTGCGGAGTCCGCCGCGTAGAACACCGGGTTGTGGAAGCCCAGCGGCGCCGCGGCCCGCGCCTCGTCGCGCCTCCTCCACCTGGAGCAGGGACGAGTGTGAGCCCGACACACCCGAGCCCCGATCCCCCGCCCCGCGTCCCCGAGCCCCGCGAACCTGAGCCTCCCCTCGCGGCGCAGCAGCAGCGCCCCCGCCAGCAGCGCCAGCAGCACCAGGAGCCCGGCGGCCGCCAAGCCGCCCGCCAGCCCCGCGCGCGCCGGCGCGTTCAGTCCCGCCGCCGAGCCGCCCCAGACAGGCGCGCCCGACTCTCGAGCAGTCGCCGAGAGGATTCCGAGGGCCTCGCCTGCAACGGAGGGCGCCGGCTCAGAATCCCGGGGCGGGACGAGACCGGGGCGGGAACTGGGAAAGGGGCGCCGCGGTTACCGTGCTCCGCGATGTCCGCCAGGAGGGCCCGGGCCAGGCGCCCCACGCTGCCGGTCTCGGGCCCGGCCTCCACCAGCACCACCTGGATCTCTGTGTCCGCCTTCGCGCCTGAGGCTTCGCGGAGCCTGGGCGGGCGCGGGACCTTGGACACGGCCACTTGCAGCCCTTGGTACTGGGGCTGGAGAGGGGAACAGAGTTGGCCCGGGGACTCCGTCCCTCGGACCTGAGGGGACGAAGCGGGCAGAGACAAGCGCTTTGCAGGCGGAGAGCGAACGCATCAAGGAGGAGGCGGAGGGGGTGTTCCCAGACCCCGGCGGCGGAAGGGTGGGGGCCGGGCTGGGGTCGCGGCCGCAGTACCAGAGACAGGAAGGCGTGCAGCAGCCGCGCCCGGTACCGCTGCAGGTCAAAGGCAGGGCCGTGGGTCAGCGAAACGACAGCTCCTGCAGCAGGAAGGGAAGAAGGAGTCAGCCCCGTAGGTCCGAGCCCGGCAGGGAAACAGGCTGGGGCGAGGCCGGGTGGCCGCGCCGCCCCAGCTCTGAGGGGCGTGGCGGGGCGCTCACCGCAGAGGTCGCAGCATTGCCCTTCGGGCCGGAGGGGCTCCAGGCAGGCGGCCTGGGGGCAGCCGCCACCCAGGGATTGAAGTAGCGCGGCGCAGATCCACGGCTGCGCCTGGAAACGGGAAGCTGGGGTGAGGGCGAGGGGCAGACCAGGAGAGAGCGCCGCGCGCCCGGGGAGAGAGCGGGGCGAGGCGGCGGGGCGCGGCGGCACAGCCCCGACCTCCCGCCACTCCAGCCGCCCCGCGGGGGGCCGCCCTCACCTCGGCGTTGCCGCAGACGCAGCCCGACGGGTCCGTGCAGGCCTCGGGATCCACGCTCAGAGCGCCCGGCCCGTGGAAGCGCAGGCGGCCCGCGCGGGACGCCAGGAAAGCCGCCAGGTCTTCCTCGCGCGCGAACGTCTGCAGGTGGCCGGGTGAGCCCGGGAACCGGCCGGAGCACGAGACCGCGTCTGAGCGCCCGGAACCGACCAGGCTAGCAGGGTAGGAGGCGCTTCGGGGAGACCCGCGCCCGCCCCCCCGCGCGCCCGCCCCACCTGGCCCAGCGCCTGGACGCTGCGGACGCGCACGGTGCCGGCGCCCGGGCCCAGGCCCACCCGGAAGGAGGCGTCGGAGGGAAAGACGACGTCGTCGTGGAGGCAGGGCACGCGCTCGGCGTCCACGGAGAAGAGGCCGCTCGCCGCGTCCCCGGGGCGCCACAGGAGCGGGTCGAGCCACAGGAAGCGGTCGGGGTCGAGGAAACGCGCGCGGGCGCCTGTGCGAGCGCGCAACCCTGAGCTCCGCCGGGAACGCGCCCTCCCGGCCGGCCGCGCCCCCCGGCGCGCCCCCCTCACCTGTGCCACAGTCCGGGCGCGAGCCGGCGTCCGCGGCGCCGAATCCAGCTCCCGGGGCCAGGACGAATTCCCCGTCCAGCGGCAAGAGCTGCGGGAGGCACGGGCTGAGGCGGCGGGTGGGCACTGGAGGGTCCGGCTGTGCGCCCACCCCCGAGCCCCGTCCCCGTGGGCGGGAGAGTCTAGGCCGCCGACTGGGCCGCTGAGGTCGGGGCCGGGGGCACCTCACCCCGGCTGAGGGTCCGCTGGGCCGAGGGAGGGGGTACTTTGCGGCAGCGTGGCTCTCGTCAGGGCCGCCGTTCCCCCGAGAAACTACAATTCAAGGGCGCGTCGGCTCCACAAAGCCGAGCCGCCGGGGCCCCTGGAGCAGCCCTGACCGTGAGGGAGGGCAGAGGGGCGGCTGGGGAAGCGGGAACCGGGCGGCGGGGCCGCGGGGCCGCGCGCCTCCTTCCCGCGCGGGCAGCTCCTTCTCCACAGACGCCCACGACTCGGGTGTCAGAGGCCGCGTGAAGGCGCGGAGGGGGGCACCGCCCGCCCTCCCCCGCCGCCCCACGCCCAGCCCGGGGATCCCACCCCACCGTGGGGTCGGGGCGGAAGGTGAGGGAGGGACCGGGGGGCTGCTCGGTGTGGGGGTCCCCGACGCTTAACAAGTCGGGGGAGAGGCCCCAGCTTGCTCCACAGGCTCTGCTCTTCAGCCCCCCAGGCACTGGGCCTGCTCGGCAGGCTGACGCCGGGCAGAGTGGAGGTCACTGGCCAGCCTCGTCCGCGGCTGGGGGTGAGTCCCGTGCCAGCCAGGCAGAGCCCCCCGCAGGCGCCAGGGCCGAATCCTGGGGACCGAGGGGCGCAGGCGCCTCGAGAGGGGCGGTGGGTGTCCGCAGTGTGACGCTCCAACAAGAACTTGGTTTTCAACCGAACCAAAGCGGGAAGTGTAAATAATACACGATGAATGCCGCAGTTGAAAGACAGCAGGAAAGCGCCGAGAGAGAGACCAGGAGCGGTGGGAGCTCGACACGCGCACCAGCCCTCAGATACAAGGGCAGGGCGCGTCTCAAGAAACGGTGAGGAGGAATTCTCCGCATCTGAGCAACGCTGGGAAACCTCCGGTTGAAAGGTCTCACTGGGTACTTCCCTACCCAGTACTTAACCACCGGACAAGCCTGCTTCCAATATAGGGGCTGGGGTCCAGTCCCCGGTCAAGGAACTAACACACAGCACTGCCGATTATGTATGTAAAAAAGAAAAAATATTTTTAAAAGGAAAGTCTCATTGAATGCCAAATAAGGAAAAATCACAGAATGCTATGTTTGTGAATGTCAAAGACAAGAGAACACTGTAAAAGCGGCAGAGGGAAAATCACCCAAGAAGGAAAAACATTCAAGGATTGGGTTTCTCAGCGACAACGCATGCAGACAGCAGAACAGGCTGCCTGAAGACATCCCAAGTCTGCAGAACAGACACTGCCCTGGACATGGTTCTGCCCCCCGGAGTAGTGTGTCATATATTAAAGGATAATAAAATGATCTCTAAGCCTGAAAGACTTCAGAAGGATTGCCACACAGAGACCTACCCTGAAAACATGCTTTGGAGGAAGTAAGGAAAGAATCTAGATGCTAAGAAGAGAAATGGGAACGAGGGTGATGAAATACTTTTGTGAAATACTTTCATGATGAAATAACAAAAATACTTATTGCTGTCTCTTAATAAATGTTTAAATCAAGGACTAAAATGTGTTGGGGGAGGGAGAGACCGCAAGGTCATGGACATAAAGACCTCACTTGTTCAATGGAAAATACAGATGCTGAAAAGGTTAACAAATCAGTAAGACTGCCAAAAACCTAGATGAAATATACCAATTTCTAGGAAAGTTTAAAATATCAAAATTGATGCAAGAGGCAATAGGGAATTTGAACTGACAAGTAAGCATTAAAGAATTTTAAATGTTAGTCAAAGACCTCCTATTCCCCAAATTCCCAGTCCAACCAAGGGTTTTATAGATGAGCTCTACTAAACCTCCAAGGAAAACTTAATTTCTTCTTCCCGAAGTTGTTCTGGAAAACAGAAAAAGAGTGAAAAATCACCAGTCCATTTCATGAGGCCACTGTAATCTTCATTCCAAAACCAAATGGAGGCACTTCCCTGGTGGTACAGTGGATAAGAATCCACCTGCCAATGCAGGGAACACAGGTTCGATTCCTGGTTGGGGGAGATTCCACATGCCACGGAGAACTAAGCCCATGCACCACAGCTCCTGGAGCCTGGGCTCCACACGAGAAGCCACTGCAACAAGAAGCCCATGCGCCACAACGAGGAGGAGCCCCCCCTTGCAACGAGAGAAAGTCCACTCGGCAACAGAGACCCACGGCAACCAACAATAAATAAACCCAAACCCAATGGACGACGGAGTGAAAAAAAATTATAGGCTCAGCTGACTTACAAACAAAAATGTGCGGATTCTAGAGAAAATATTAGCTGATTGGATCCAATAATGTATCACATCCCAAGAACGCAGGAAGGAGGAAGGGATGAGAAAAGCCCCCATCCCACGTTCTCTGCAGTGTGTATGACGGTGTCCCAGCAGATGGCGGTGGGGAGTCTCGTGCCACCAAAACCAGCGTGACAGGGAAGGCACGTGTCGAAGAGGCGCGCTTAGACCTGCACCTGAAGGAAGGTGCCAGGAAGACGTACGTCTCACAAGGACGGTTCTGCCTCAGAAAACCCCGTTAATAGGCTACAGGACGGGGGGCTACATCTCAGTCAATGTAAGAAAAAAAACAACTGGGAAGTTCAACAACCCATTTATGACTATTCAAAAAGCTGCCCGCCAACTAGCAATAGATTAGAATTTCCACAATTAAAGTTATCTACAAAACCCTACAGCAAACATTACACATAGTGGAGAACCATGACATGTCTTCTGTTTGATGCTGGAACAAGACAAGAATGCCTGTTTTTGTCACTTTTGTTTAACATAGGGGTAGATGTCCTGGACAATGATATAAGGAAAGAAAAAGAAATAAAAGGAGTTGGGACTGACTGGAAAGGAAGAGGAACAGTGGTCATTATTTACAAAGATAACCACATAGACAATATCATTCTTAAAAATAGGGCACCATTCACAATAGGAACCAAACTATATAAAGGATTTATAAATCAGTCATTACTACACAAAACCTCAACAAAGGTCCGTCTGGTCAAGGCTATGGTTTTTCCAGTGGTCATGTATGGATGTGAGAGTTGGACTGTGAAGAAAGCTGAGCACCGAAAAATTGATGCTTTTGAACTGTGGTGTTGGAGAAGACTCTTGAGAGTCCCTTGGACTGCAAGGAGATCCAACCAGTCCATCCTAAAGGAGATCAGTCCTGGGTGTTCATTGGAAGGACTGATGCTGAAGCTGAAACTCCAATACTTTGGCCACCTCATGCGAAGAGTTGACTCATTGGAAAAGACCCTGATGCTGAGAGGAATTGGGGGCAGGAGGAGAAGGGGACGACAGAGGATGAGATGGCTGGATGGCATCACCGACTCGATGGGCATGGGTTTGAGTAAACTCTGGGAGTTGGTGATAGACAGGGAGGCCTGGCGTGCTGCGATTCATGGGGTCGCAAAGAGTTGGACACGACTAAGCGACTGAACTGAACTGAACACAAAACCTCTATGTGCACCATTTTAAGACTCTAGTAAAGAGTTCTATGGCCGATGACCTCAAATATTTGAAGAGAAAAATCCATGCTCTCAAGTGGATGACTTGCATATATAAAGTTGTCATTCATTCCCAATCAAATTCCAGGGTTTGGGTGGTGGTGATGTTACCTGATAAACCTACTCCTTGATTTCTCTGCAACAGTCAGATCCACAAAGAACTAGTCAACCTTGAACCAGAAGGGTGAGGGTGGTGCAGGGTGGGTGGTTTCCACCTAGGTCCTCTGAGGGTTGACCTCTCAGAGTGGAGGAGAGGCAGGGGAAATTGACCCAGTGGGTTTTAAGACAACTCACAGAGCCTCAGAGTGGGGACACTGTGGTGCTGGCAGAAGAACAGGCAGAAAGACCAAAGGAACTGCAGGCAAAGCTGGAAGAGAACCCCCACCACACCTTGGGCAGCTGGTGAACAGTGACCCCAGTGCCGCAAAGCAAGGGGCAAGGCTGGTGGTTGGAGGAGGACATCAGAAACCAGGCTTGATCCAAGGAGAAGAATATAGCTGGTTCCCTAGTTAGTGTCCAACTCAGACATGTGCCCCTGATGGGAAAACCATGAGTGGACAGACATAATCTATGGTTGATTATGGTTGTGACTGAGAAGCAGGGAAGAGATGCTTAAACAAAACGGAAAACACAGGTATAAAGCAACCGATCTTGCATCTGATAGATTAATAACGGGGGCTTCGTATCAGCAAAGGGAAACACAGGCAAAGTCCATAGTGAGAAGACATTTGCAGTAACTCGACAATTAATGGGTAGAAAATAATAGATTCCTGGGCAATCTGCCCAGAAATGGGAGGGGAGGTGTTCAGGAAGAGAAAAATCCCAGGGAGAGAAGTTCCAAACCAAAGTGAAAAGTCAAAGTGCCAGTGACTAGTTGTGTCTGACTGTTTGCGACCCCATGGACTGTAGCCCATCAGGCTCCTATGTCCATGAGATTCTCCAGGCAAGAATACTGGAGTGGGCTGCCATTTCCACCTCCAGTGGATCTTCCTGAACCAGGGATTGAACCCCGGTCTCTTGGATTGCAGGCAGATGCTTTACCGCCTGAGCCAGCAGGGAAGCCCTCGTCCCACACCGAGAGAAATGCAAATTAAATGCCTGAGTTGCTGTGCCCCCTAACAGGCAGCATCTCAGCAGCTGGACTGGGGCCCCACGGTGGGGCTGGGGGAGGGCCCTCAGGCCACACTGGGTGCTTTTGGGCCGTCTCTGTGCCCTGGGGCTGTTCCCAGCCAGGACCTCCGGGGGCTGCCCTCTCGCGGCAGAACATGGGCAGGGGAAGTGAGGGGGGCACCCCACGGGGCGGTGCAAGGGGTACAGATGTGTGGGGACAAAGAGGAGGGCTGGCTGGGCCAGGGGAAGGAAAGGGCAGAAAGAGGGAGTGAAGAATGAATGAATGCATGACTGTTGTCTCTTTTGAGATCCCCAAGCACTCTCCAAGGAGATCATCAAGGCAACTAAGATGGCCAGAAGGGACCTCCAGGTCCCAGCACCCCCCTCTCCAGCTGGCTCCTCTATACACGGGTTCCCGCCAGTTCCAGGCGCCCCCCCCACCCCCCGCCTTCTCCAGGCCCCTGTCTGGTTGCCACGGCCTCCAGGGCTGTGGGGGGCTCCTGGGTGCAGCTATTAGGCCCCCCTCACTGCCCCCTCCACACCTTAGTCTTTGGGTTGGACGCGTGGGAAGGGTGTCTGGACCTGGGATCTATAGGAACCAGCACATCCTGCCCGAGGCCCCCTTCCCGGGCTGCAGGTGAGGGCTGGGGTCTCTAACTCTCCTGCCCTGTCCCCAGCGGGGCCAGGCTCCCAGAGTTGATGCCGCTTTCGAAAACCATCAATTAACCGAGCTGCCTCCAGGTGGTGCCTCCAGGTGGAAATAAGGAGCACACAGACCCTGCATCTGGGCAGCAGAGTGAGTGGTGCCCAGGCCTCCTAGGCCACCGGCGGCCCCCACTCACCCACAAAGTCCAATGGCCTCCGGGTGAGGACCCCACCCTGGAACTGACACTGTGAATCAGTTTGAGAAAAAGGTCCCCTGAGTTCTGATGCACAGGCCAGGGAAAGGCTTTGGTGGGGCAGAGAGGGGGGCTTCCCTGGGGCAAACCTTAGCGAGGACAGACTCCTGGGCGACAGAGCCCAGAGGCAGGGGCAGGAGGGACAGGGGGCGCCCGCCACACCCCTTCTGAGGCTGGGCACAGCCTGGGCTGCGACTGTGGGGCCAGTGTCCCCTCCCATGTGGTTCCCCACCCTTCCAGAAACCCCTCCACAGGCTAAGGGCCGGCAGATTGTAGGGTCCACCCCCCAGGTGGATGCCAGTCAGGAAGCAAGAAAGAGGCGTCAAGTTGACCAGGACAGGACCTGCGGGCCCCCTTCTGACCCGGGGTCCATTCCCAGCCCTGCTCACCATGTCTGAGATGCTGTGACCTTCTCGCACCAGGACCGACACCGTCTGCAGGCAGAAGGGACGTCAGCGAGTGCCCCCCTCACTGGGCTCCTGGGGCCTGGACCACGCGGGGACCCCCTCACGGCCCCAGGAGTGGGGTCAGGCACCTTGTCCGCGGGGAACTCAACAGCAGCGCCTGCGCATGGGGTCCGGTTCTGGCTCCAGTTGGTGGCATCATCAAAGTTGGTGTTGGGAACCCAGACTTTGTCGGCGGCCCGAGTCAGGGCTGGGGAGGGGACGGCTGAGCACTGGGGTTCCCGCCCGGAACCCCCCGTGCCCAGGAAGGACGACCTTATCCAGAGAGACCTGGAGCTGGAGGGTCCAGGCATGGGACCAGACCCTGAGGGAGCCTGGCCGCGGGCTCCCCAACTTCTACTGAATCTGCACAGCCCGTAGAAACGCGCCTTCCTCAGGGACTCCGCCCCCGCAGATCGCCTCCTCGCCCGCCCCCAGTTCACCCTGCCAGGATGATGGCGACCACGGGACAGAGGCCATCGGGCAGGGAGGCCTCGGCCCAGTGGAAGGAACTGGGGTCCGGGGCGGGGGGCGGGCGGCAGGCCGGCTCTGTCTGGGAGCTGCGTCTGGAGGGGTCGCCAGGGGCTCAGAGAGGGGCCCGGGGACCGGGCTGCAGTTCTTACAAGCTCGGGGGAGTAGGGGGCCGCTTCGAGGACACGCCCCCGCCTAGGGGCCACGCGGGGGTCAGAGGCGCCCTGGGGCTGGGGGCTGGGGGGTGGGCGGGGCGGCGGCAGCTTCCGGCGGGGAGCGGGCGCAGCCAGCCGTCGCTCTGGCCCGGGGGCTCCGAGGAGCCCCCTGCTCGGCCCCGCGGGCGCTGCGCGAGGAGGGGCCCGGCGGCCGGCCGGGTTTCGCAGCCCACCACGCTCCCGCCGCGCGCCCCTCGGGGACATGGGTCTCCGGGTGCGTCGGGCCCCCGGCGCAACCCCCACTCCCTTACCCAACAGCTGCAGCCACAGCAGGACCCGGCCCGGCGCGCCCATCCCGCCGGACTTCGGCGTCTCGGACCCTGAGACTTTGCCCCGCGGGGCCCACGTGACCGGGCGGGGTGGGGGCGGCCGGGAGGTTTACACATTCACCTCCGACCCGCCCGCAGCGACTCCTGGGCCCCTCCCACACACCCAGCTCCAGGACCTGAGGACCTTGGGCGCTCAGAAAGGGGGCTTGTGGGGACCACTTCCCAAGGAAACGGTGCGTTGGGGGCGGGGCGCCTCCCTGCCCCAGATGCAGCTGGGGCTGCACCCAGCTGCCTGCATTGGCCGGGTCCAGGCAGGGCCCTCCTGCCTCCTAGGCTGGTGGACTGTGGATGGTGGCAGACGGCCGGTACCTGGTGTCCGGTGTGTGCAGGATGGTGGGCAGGTGACCCTGGATGCATGGTGAGTGGTGGATGGTATTGTGCTGGCTCCTGGATGGATGAGGAATGGACTGATGGGAAATGGTGAGTGAATGAATGAGTGGACAGTAATGGAGTGATAGAGGGTGGAGAATGAGTGGTGTGTGATTGATGAGTGTTGGAAGGTAGAGAGGTGCATGAATGACTAGATGGTGGATGGTGGACAGAGGCTCAGTGGTTGGTGGTGAACAGATGTGAAGAGTGGCAGGTGAGCTGTTCCAGGTTCCGGGCAGACGTGCACAATGTTGGAGAAGGCAGGGAGTCAGAGTGGGGGCTCCCCGGAGGCCAGTGGGGTAACTGTCAGCGACATTCAGGAACTGATACGGCGCAAGGAGGAGATCGAGGCCCAGATCAAAGCCAATTATGAAGTGCTGGAGAGCCAAAAAGGCATCGGGATGAACGAGCCACTGGTGGACTGTGAGGGCTACCCCCGGGCAGACGTGGACCTGTACCAAGTCCGAACCGCAAGGCACAACATCGTCTGCCTGCAGAACGACCATAAGGCAGTGATGAAGCAGGTGGAAGATGCCCTGCACCAGCTGCACGCTCACGACAAAGAGAAGCAGGCCCGGGACCTGGCCGAAGCCCACAGGGAGGCCCTGAGCCGCGGCCAGAGCCAGGGCCTCAGCCCTCCTCAGGCCTTCGCCAAAGTGAACAGCGTCAGCCCCGGCTCCCCCGCCAGCATCGCAGGTCTGCAAGTGGATGATGAGATTCTGGAGTTTGGCTCTGTGAACACCCAGAACTTCCAGTCACTGCAGAACATCGGCAGTGTGGTCCAGCACAGTGAGGGGAAGCCCCTGAATGTGACAGTGATGCGCAGAGGGGAGAAACACCAGCTTAGACTCGTGCCAACACGCTGGGCAGGAAAAGGACTGCTGGGCTGCAGCATTATTCCATTGCAAAGATGACTGTCCCTGAGGAATAGAAACAGGAAAGCATCTTCCTTTGCCCCAGACCTGGGTCTAGTGGGCATTTCCTCCTCTTCATCTTTGCCTGAAGTTCGAGGATCTCAAAGAGACTGGACGCCTGAACTTCTAGGTGGTGGAAACACTGTGGCCTCTCATTTTAATCTCTTGGGATTAAGGCATTGTTAAAAACTTGATTTGTGTTTAGCATTTTTTGCAGGTTAGGCCATGACCCTAAGTGAGACTCCTCTGGATGGTGAGGAAGTGGGCGGGAGTTATTCTGGCAGGTGCTGATGTGACTTTATTCTTCTAGAAATCTTTTTTTTCCAAATAAAACCCAGTTTTACAGTATTGATATGATCATGTTATCACCCCAGTTGAATTCCCTATGAACCTCTCAAACCAAAACTCAAGACAGGAGTTAGAGCCTCCTCATAGAAAGTTGGGCAGAACAAATCAACAGTTGTGCTGAGATCAAGGTTTGGCTAACAATCTCTCTGGAACATGATCCTTTAGTGAATGGGGTTTCCAAACACTCAGGCTGCACCATCTGCTCTTGCATTGCAGCATTGCTGCTCTGGCTACAGAAATTGCATCCTCAGCATTTGAATCTCCAGGGCCACAGCTCCCTCTAAGATTAAGGGAAGCCAAGAAGTACGCCTGGTAGCTCAGTATAGTGTCAGCTTCCTTTCCATAACCCACCTGAGAGCAGAAAGGTCCTTTTCTGGAATAAAAGACCCTGCAAATTAGCCCCTAATGACTTTTCATAATTGAACCTCCTAAGGTGTGTTGACATTACTGATGAGAATCAGCAGGGTGTGCAGACCTGGTTTCTTGAAAATGCTGATTCCTCCTGCCTGCCTTTTCTTTCTTGAACATGGCAGTGTGAGTTTCAGTGATACTTAGTGACTCCCTGTTTTACGTTCCTTCTCGTCACCGTATTACAATGCTTATCTCCACAGTTACTGCCAGACCACCTTCTGTTTCAGAGGGCATTGGCACATTCTGCTGAACACATGTTCGGGTTCCTCAGGACTGGATTTGCTTGGCTTGGATACAGATACCAGGTCGTCCTGACAGGAGTCAGTACTGGGTGTGCTCCTGTCCATGGGCACTCATGCTCAACTGGAAAGACCTCCTATTGAGTACCCCAAACTGTGTACCCTAGCCAAACTTCCACCTGGATTTCCCCCCTTGTAGCCACAGATGTGCTGTGTTTACCAGTGTTTGCTGTTTAAATTGTTTTTTCTAATTCCATGTGTTTTCCAATCTCTTTTTATAAACCCTAGACTATAATAAACAGGTTTGTCCCAAAAAAAAAAAAAAAAGAGTGGCAGGTGAATGCAGATAGCTGTTCACGGGTGATGGATGGCTAAATGGATGATCACAGACGGTGGATGGATGGATAGAGTAGACTGGAAGATAGGTGATGGATGGTGGATGGTCGCTGGATGAAGAATAGTGGAAGGGTGGAAGGTAGAATGGTGATTGGATAAATGAATGGTTGGTGGGTGAAAAATAAACTGTCAGTGTTAAATGGATGTGTTTATGTATGGATGGCTTGTTGACCTGGATCAATTCAGTTCAGTTCAGTCGCTCAGTCGTGTCCAACTCTGCAACCCCATGGACTACAGCCAGGCCTCCCTGTCAATCACCAATTCCCAGAATTTACTCAAACTCATGTCCATCGAGCCGGTGATGCCATCCAACCATCTCATCCTCTGTCGTCCCCTTCTCCTCCCACCTTCAATCTTTCCCAGCATCAGGGTCTTTTCAGATGAGTCAATTCTTGGCATCAGGTGGCCAAAGTGTTGCAGTTTCAGCTTGAACATCAGTTCTTCCAATGAATATTCAGGACTGATCTCCTTTAGGATGGACTGGTTGGATCTCCTTGCAGTCCAAGGGGCTCTCAAGAGTCTTCTTCAACACCACAGTTCAAAAGCATCAATTCTTCCACGCACAGCTTTCTCTATGGTCCAACTCTCACATCCATACATGATTACTAGAAAAACCATAGCTTTGACTAGACGGACCTTTGTTGGCAAAGTAATGTCTCTGCTTTATAATATGCTGTCTAGGTTGGTCATAACTTTCCTTCCAAGGAGCAAGCGTCTTTTAATTTCACGGCTGCAGTCACCATCTGCAGTGATTTTGGAGCCCCCCAAAATAAAGTCTGACACTGTTTCCACTGTTTCCCCATCTATTTGCCATGAAGTGACAGGACCAGATGCCATGATCTTAGTTTTCTGAATGTTGAGCTTTAAGCCAACTTCTTCACTCTCCTCTTCCACTTTCATCAAGAGGCTCTTCAGTTCTTCTTCACTTTCTGCCATAAGGGTGGTGTCATCTGCATATCTGAGGTTATTGAGGTTTCTGCCGGCAATCTTGATTCCACTTGTGCTTCATCCAGCCCAGCATTTCTCATGATGTACCCTGCATATAAGTTAAATAAGCAGGGTGACAACATACAGCCTTGACATACTCCTTTTCCTATCTGGAACCAGTCCGTTGTTCCATGTCCAGTTCTAACTGTTGCTTCTTGACCTGCATACAGGTTTCTCAAGAGGCAGGTCAGGTGGTCTGGTATTCACATCTCTTTAAGAATTCTCCACAGTCTGCTGTGATCCATACAAAGGCTTTGGCATAGTCAGTAAAGCAGAAATAGATGTTTTTCTGGAACTCTCTTGCTTCTCGGATGTTGGCAATTTGATTTCTGGTTCCTCTGCCTTTTCTAAATCCAGCTTGAACATCTGGAAGTTCTCAGTTCACGTACTGTTGAAGCCTGGCTTGGAGAATTTTGAGCATTACTTTGCTAGCGTGTGAAATGAGGGCAATTGTGTGGTAGTTTGAAGTTTCTTTGGCATTGGCTTTCTTTCGGGTTGGAATGAAAACTGACCTTTTCCACTCCTGTGGCCACTGCTGAGTTTTCCAAATTTGCTAGCATATTGAGTCCAGCACTTTCACAGCATCATCTTTCAGGATTTGAAATAGCTCAACTGAAATTCCATCACCTCTACTAGCTTTGTTAGTAGTGATGCTTCCTAAGGCCCACTTGACTTCACACTCCAGGGTGTCTGGCTCTAGGTGAGTGATCACACCATCGTGATTATCTGGGTCGTGAAGATCTTTTTTGTATAGTTCCTCTGTGTAATCTTACCACCTCTTCTTAATATCTTCTGCTTCTGTTATGTCCCTATCATATCTGTCCTTTATTGTGCCCATCTTTGCATAAAATGCTCCCTTGGTATCTCTAATTTTCTTGAAGAGATCTCTAGTCTTTCCCATTCTTTGTTTTTCTCTATTGCTTTACATTGATTGCTGAGGAAGGCTTTCTTATCTCTCCTTGCTATTCTTTGGAACTCTGCATTCATATGGGTATATCTTTCCTTTTCTCCTTTGCCTTTCATCTCTGTTCTATTCACAGCTATTTGTAAGGAAGGCCTCCTCAGACAACCATTTTGCCTTTTTACATTTCTTTTTCTTGCGGATGGTCTTCATCACTGCCTCCTGTACAATGTCACGAACCTCCGTCCATAGTTCTTCAGGCACTCTGTCTATCAGATCTAATTCCTTCAATCTCTTTCTCTCTCTCTCTCTATATATATATAATCTATATGTATATATATAACCTATATAATAACATATAATATATATGATATATATACATGATATACATGCTATATACAGTATATAAAATAAAATATACATTGTATATTATATGTATATAATACATAAATATATGTAATATATATACATATATTACATACATATTATATATTATATATCATATAGTATATATTATTTATTATATATCACATATTATTTATCATATAATAATATGAATATTTAATATGAATTGAATATGAATATTCATATTATATGAATATAATATTCATATATGAATAATATGAATTGAATATGAATATTAAATATATATATAATTTCATTTATATATATTTTCATAATATATTTTTATAATATATTTCATATTTTCATAAATATATAATTTCATTCCAATCCTCAATATATTACATATATTATTATATTGAATATTTGATATATTATAAATATATAATATATAATAATATATATCATAAAATCATATATTTATTTAATATATATTATACATTATAAGTATATATATTTATATAATTATATATAATATAATATAATATATATGTATATGTATACACATTATATGTAATACAAGTATATGTACATATATATAGTATATATGATATATATATTAAAAATATATATTATATACATTATATATTTATATATTATATATGTTTTATATTATATTCTATTTTTAATATAGAATATAATATATATTTGTAATATAGAATATAATATATATTTATATGTGTATTATACATTATATAAACATATATATTATATATTTACATGTGTATATATATATTATATATATAATTTTATATATTTATAAATATATATAAATATACAATATATATTATATTGTATATTTTATACATATATAAATGTATATTTTATACATATATTAAAACTATATATATATATATATATAATTCCTTCAATCAGTCACTTCCCCTGTATAGTGGGATTTGATTTAGGTCATACCTGAATGATGAAAAAAAGTTTGTGGGTATTTTTATGGTGATAGGATGGAAATGGATGGTAAATGAGCTGAATGGTGGATGAATGAATTGATGGCAGATAAATGAATGGCAAATGGGATGCAGGTGAATGAACCTGGGTGTTCAGTAGAATGGTGGTGGCTGGCTGGATGTGAATAGAGTGATGACCAGATATAAATGGATGGGTTGGTGGACAGGTGAGCACAGTGAATGAGTGCAGGGTGGGTGAATGGGTGGACGATGGGGGATGTGGAAAGATGATGGGATGACAGAGAGGGAGTGGGTGGGCAGATGGATGGGGCTTGGTAAACTGGACGGCGGGTTTATGGGTGACCGGGTGGATGGTGAAGTGATTGTTAGGGGACGGGCTGTGAATGAATGGCAAGATGAATGGGGTGATCGGTGGATGGTGGGAGACCAACGCATGATGCCTGATTGGTTATGGCTGATGGAAGGGAAAGGAATGGTGGGGCCCCTGGCTTCAGGATGCCCTGGTGGTTGATGAATAATATGCAAGGACGGGTCAAAGGGTAGACTGTGGAGGTGGGTGTGTAGGCGGAGTGAAGGGGTGAAGGGTAGCGACTCCCCCTGCCTGTCTCTAGGCCACCCTCACTTGCAGACCTGCTGTCCTGAGGGCTTTTCTCTCTGACTGGTCTCTGCTTCTCCCCGGCACGAGGTATTTCGTCCAAGGATGGAGCCCACCGCTGGGGGCATTCAGATCACTTTCTGCCACGGGACAGGGACTTCTCTGACTGGGAGGGAGGGAGCAAGCCCCCCAGCTGGTCCCACCCTTTCTCCTGGGTGGGATGGGCACTCAGGAGCTCAGCGCTGCAGGGTCTGCCTGACGGGTTGGCCCCCAGTCCAGCCTGGGATGCGGAAGGTGGGTCTTTGTGGTCCTGAGTTTGACTTTGGTCACCTGTCGGGCTGACGGGAAGCTCCACCCTCCACAGCAGTCAAGGCAGGCTTCCTGCAAGACGTGGGGCCAGACTGGAAGTATGAGGTCACAGCTGCAGTTCCGGGTCGGACTGAAAGGGGCAGCACAGGAGGAGCCGGGGCTGCTGGGCTTGGGCTAGGAGCGTCTGTTGCCCAACACGCCGTCCTGAGCGGCGGCAGGGCAGGGTCCAGATGTCGGAGGCCAGCCCGGAGACGTGCCCACGGCGAGGCAGCAGGCAGGCACCGGCCCTGACCTAGAGCCGCCACAGGGTCCCCGGGATGACCCAGCAGCAAGGCCGCGGCAAGGAGGGGCTGGACCCCAGGGCGGGTGACCCGTGGTCACCGGAAGCCTGCGGCTGCACAGGCCCCGGACACGTGCACGCACAGAGGTGCGCACGTGCTTTCCGATTGGTCAGCACTCCAACGGAAGTGAGAAAAAACGCACATCCGGAGGAGCTTCTTCCAGTAACTAGGCGGTTCACGCGCAGCTGCGTCGGGCACCGGCGGGTCCAGGGTCGCCGAGTCTGCCCGGCTCTGTCTTGGCTTGACTGCCCTCTGTGGTCACCTTCCCCAGGCAGAGCTGGAGCGCCCCCGCCCCGGCTAGGCCACAGCGCACCCTCGGAGGGTCCGGTTTCCGGCTGAGCGCCAGTCCCGTGGCTGCAGCAGCCACTGCAGCGCCCCTTGGCTGAGGCCACCGCGAGCCACTGCCCTGCTGCCCCCAGGGTGGGGGTGGCCCCCCTGCCTGCAGCCATGGACCGCAGGCTCCCCCCGCACCGCGACTCCGTGGGCACAGATCCACCCCCGGGCCAGTTCCCCAGCTCCTTCTCGGCATTTTTGTCCTTGACTAGCTGTGTGACCTTGGGCGGATTCCTGCACCTCTCTGGGCCTTAGTGTCCCTCTGGAGGGCCCGAGGCTCAGGCTTGCACGGTTCGGTTCCTGGATCCGGGGGGGAGGGGTGAGGACGACCCCCATCTGCAGGGCCCCCTTCTCTCAGGTGTCTGCACAGGGCCACCCCCCGACCCTGGCCACACACACACCCACTGTCAGCGTCTGTCACTCACCGCTGCCCCGTGGGGCTCCCGGGGCTTTGTCACACTGCCGGAAACCGCCTGGAACACCAGACCTCCAAAATATTCACGAGGGGGAGGGAAGGCTGGCCCTCCCCCGAGGCCGGCCAGGCACCTCCCAGGCCTTGCGGTCCGCTCAGTCCTGCCAGCAAGCCCTGGGAAACTCCTCCCTGTGGCCTGCAGCCTCCCTCTAACCTCTGGGCCTCTCGGTGGGCCGCTCCTTCATCCACACCTGGCTTGGCGCCAGGCCTGCAGGGGCAGGGCCTCTGTGAGGAGCGGCTAGCCAGCCGCACCTGGGTGGAAACAGCAGGTGCAAAGGGCCTGAGGCAGGAGCGTGCAGAGGTGGGCGGGGCTCCGCGTGCACGTGGGGGAGCGCGGGAGGGAGTGAACCAGGGTCTCCGCCCGGCTTGGAAGGGGCTGAGCTGGTCACCTGTCAGCCGGGGGCCCCGGTGGGCGGCTGGCGGCTCAGCCATGGCGGCGGGGGGGCCGGGGGGGGCAGGCTCAGACGGAGGCGCGGACGCTGGCTGTGCCCGGTGTGAGTGCTGTGGGCCGGTGGGTCAGCTGGCCCGTTTCCTCCCCTGCCTGCTTACAGCCCAGGGGGCGGGGGGCGTGTGGGGGCGCCCCGGGAAGGCCTAAGTCCGGCCAGCCCGCCCCTTCTCCACCTGCGGGCGCCGGGCAGACGACACCCAGGAGACTGCCCCCAGCGGGTCGCTGAGCCCCCCGCCTTGGGGAGGGTTCTGGCAAGGGTCGTTCAGGGGCCCGCACTGTCCCGCCTGCCCGCCCCCTCCAGCGGGGGTTACCTTGTCGCCTGACCCCGCGGCCTCTGTCTGGGGGGTGCGGTCCGTCAGGGGAAACACCACGGGCCGCTGGGCCCAGGGGAGCCACCCCGGGGACTGGCCGGGCCGCGAGAGGCCAGTGGACCCGACGGCCGAGTACAGGTGACCAGGCTCCAGACTCGGCAGGGGGTCGGGGGGCCCCGTGCCCGCCCGGGTCCCTCCAGCCCCCATGCCGTCGGTGGCGGGAGGACTAGCAGCTGAATGATGGAGCCTGTGTCCAGGCCGCCCACCCCGTCCAGTGGGCCAAGGTTGCCGCGAGGTGCTTCTGCCCAGGGGTGTGGGCCCCACTGAGGAGCGTGTCCCCCCCTCCCCCGCGCCCCGCGCCCCTGCCCTGGGTCTCGTGCGCCTCACGAATGTCTGGGAGCAGATGAAACAGCGGTGCCCGGAGCGGGGGGCCCTGCCCGCAGCCCTGAACCCCCGCCTGGGGCCAGCTGCCCTGCGGTCCTCAGATCCCGGGTCTCTGAGCTCTGCCCTCTGAGGCCCCGCCTGCGCTCCTGCGGCTGCTCAGGAACAAGGCTGGGTGCGGGGTTCGGCCCCCTCTCAGCTTCCCCTCAACCTCCAGTGTCTGATGGAGTGACCCAGGCTCCGGACGTGGCCCCCAGCCCGCCGGAGCTCTGCAGGGACATGGGCCGCGGGCCGCCGCCGGGGCAGCACTGATGCTGCGTGGAGGGGGATGCAGAGGCCATCAGTCCTCACCTGGAAGCACCCCCGTGAGGCCCCGGTGCCCCACAAGCCAGCCACGCGGAGACGGCAGAGCGCAGGGTGGGTTCGGGGGGCCACACGGCTGTGGGGTGATGGAGGAGCAGGGGTGGTGGGGAGGGCTGGGCGGAGCTGGGGCCTTTGCTCTGTGCCTGGGGTGCTGCAAGGCAGCCCCCACGCCTGCTGACTCAGGGGGAGGCTCGTGGGGGGAGCAGGACTTCCTGCGCCAGGGCTGGACCCCCGTGACCACCCGGGGAGGCTGGCCCGTGGTGCTGGGCCTGTGTGAGTGAGCTGAGAAAGAAACCGAGACTCCTCAATCAGGTTTATTTTCCTCTAATGAGACAGTTTCAGCATTTCAAAGTTGGGCATTCTACACTCTTACAAACTTCAGTTATTAGCATCAGGAACACAAAAACGTTGCAAGACCTCAAAACACAAATAAATACCAAATAAAACCACACACGATATACAGTAAACAAAAATATCAAACATAATAATGCTATCAGGAAGTCAGACATGTTGTTGACCCACAGTTAACAACATGATTATTGCTGGGCAATAACTTACACGGTCCTTTTGTGTTTTTTTTTCTCAGAAGAGCAGAAGAACACGGGACGTGATCACTGGTCACAATCACTTGGACTGTCAAGATGGGTCCTCACAGCGAGCGGTTGTACAGACGCAAATTTTTTTAAAATTTTTTTAAAACAGGCAGATTAAAAATACAGAGTCACACGAGAGATTGGCCTTCTTTGGTCTTTGTTTTGGGTAAGAGAACTGAATGCAGAGGTGTGCCATCAGAGAAAGAACCGATTCTCAAAAGTGTCTATGTGGATGTACACTTTCTTGACCACAGACTCTGTTAACTCTACAGGTAATTCTCATAGAAATCCTGGAAAATGATGCCAGCTTTTTGTGTTTACCAATTAAGTCGTTGAGTTTGCTGTGGAAGTTATCTTACTGGTCTAAGGGGACTGGGTGGGAACGGATCACCACTAACTGCAGGAGTGGTGCAGCCATCCTGGACTCCACCTCTTTAGCTGCGAGTTCACAGACAGACTAGACACAGCAGCAGCAGCAGAAATGAAATGCGAGCCCTGCTTCGGGCCACTCACTCGGGCCTATGCTGATGGGGCCGACCCCCCGCGCCCCGGCTCATCCAGGCCAGCAGAAAACAGCTCCACCCCCAGCTCCCCGGGGGCAACCAGCGCCGCCCGACCGCCAGCAGAGACGGCGGTCAGCTGGTCGGTGCCAGCTGCCTTGGCTGCAGCCCCGAGCTGACTCCGTCCGACCTGGACCCTCGGGCGGGGACATGATCTACTTTGGAAGAAACAGAGCTATCGAGATTTGCGAACAGAAGGCAGAACCATGGTCTTGCGCTGAGCAGCAGACGGTGACGGACCCCCCCGACCCAACATCAGGTCACAGAACAAAGGAGCGCCTGGATTCCCCCAGCCCTTCTCAGCGGCCCGGTCAGTGACGGTCTGGACTAGAAGTTACCAAGCGGGGTTTCCAGCTCTGCCTGAGCCCTTTCCAGCCCTGGTGGTCAGCACCAGCAGAGGGGTGGGTTTCGGAGGGCGGAGGTGTGGCTGAGCCCCACGAGGCTCCTGGTCCCCAGCCCGTGCCACAAGGACGGGCGGAGACACTGGGGCTAGAGCGGTCGGCGCCCAGCTTGGGGTGACGGTCGCCCCTCCGAGCGCGGGCGGGGAGGTGCAGCGGGCCTGGGTGGCTGGAGGTGTGTGCCCCTGGGGCACACTCGGGGGCCTGTGCCTGCTGTGTTTAAGGGTTCGGCCGGCTGCTCACAGGCTGCAGGCTGGATGCCAGGCCTGGCACGGGAGGCCATCCCCTCGACACCGAGTGCCGGGGGGTCGACGAGGACGCGGGCCCCCAGGCAGCTGGGGACCCTGTGGTAGACGAGCTGTCTGGAGACCGGCTGCCCCTTCCTAGCTAGGGTGGCCACGTGGGCCCCCTGCCGCCACCTGAGGGCCTGGTGGAGCCCACCTCCAGGATGGAGGGGGCGACTGGAGGGCAAGGGGGGCCGCCTGGCCAGGAGCTGCCTGCTCAGCTGGCAGCGGGGCTCCGGGGCTGGTGGGTGGACGGCGGCCCTCCTCGTCCACCTGCAGTGACTGTGCCGCCCTCCCGTGGGATGGGCCTTTGAACCATTCACAGGAGTCCCTGCTATCTCCGTGCCACTGATACACCTGGCCGACAAAACCTGTGACAGAGGCCCAGGCGGGTCTCCGTTTCCACGCCAGGCAACGGGCCGGGACGCAGGCGGGGCGACCCTGCGTGGGACTCACCGTGGTTCTTCTACAGCACTGGAACGGCTGGTTCCGTGGGGAACTTGTCACTGAGTTAATGTGAAAAACGCACCCACGTGCCGCGTCCCACACCCATCCCTTGTCACCAGGGCCCAATGGGGGGGAGGGGCGGAGGGCGCCCAACATCAGATGGAGCGTGAGAGGGCTGCCCCCGTGTGGCTGCGGGTTCCCGCTGACTCACCGCGGCCTGAAGCTCCCACCACGTCCCAGCGTCCGCCCCGGAACAGTGAGCTGGGTCCCACGGCTCCCGGGGTGGGGGTGAGGGGCATCTCCCACTAGACGGAGCTCCTGGAAAGCGCCCCCCCCGCTCCGGCCAGATGCTTCTGGGGTGCTGCCAACAGGCTCCCCACCCAGGGCGGGGAAAGAACTGTTTTATAACAGACCGAGATGCTGCTTATGTCAGTATTGTCCGTCCTTCTAGTGGAGCAGGAGGAAGTGGCAGGCGGTCCCCATCGGTCACCTCTGGCCTCCCGGAACACCCTCTGGAGGCCAGGTGGGGGCCTCCGGGCGGCCCCCCTCCCCCGGGGGTCCAGGCACCTTCGAGGGAGCGGGGGTCCCACAGCAGCTGCAGGAGCCCCTCCTCCGTGAGGACCCGGGGGCGGGACCGAGGACGCCAATCCGCCCTCAAAGCAATGCGGGGTGGGGGGGCGGGGCGGGGAGGGAAAGACACGGAGATGAAGACGACAGAGTGGTAACTGCCGGCGGGTGTGCGGGCGGGTGCTGGGAACCCATGAGGTCACTTATGGAAGCCTGGGGACGCGGTGGAGAGGAGGTGCTTCCAGCAGGCACTGGGGCGAAGGCACACCCAGGGCGGTCGGCAGCACCAGAGACGCGGGGCCGCCGGGCACCCCTGGCCGCCCCCGCGGCCGCCGGCAGCCCGCGGCAGGCAGTCTGGGGCGCGCGGCCCGGCTGGCCCGCCATGGGCGCGTCTTTTGGACGCGGGCACAGATGCGCGGCTCACACACGTTGGTTTCGCCTAAGAAGCACCCGTCACGTGTAGCACCCATCAGTATAAGAGCACCCATGGAGCGGGGTGCATAGCAGGGGCGCAGGGCAGGCCCGCTCTTCACAGTTGGACCATTGAGAGAAGGGAAACGGGGTGAGAGGCGCCCCAGGCGGGCATGGGCCGGACGACGGGCCCCGGGGCCGCCCTTCCTGCCAGAGGGTGGCCCTGGGACGCCTGTGGCCCAGCTCCACGGCCCGGGGTGGCGGTCTCTGGAATGCTCAGAGGGCCCCGCGGCGGGCGCGGGGGCGCCGGCGCCTGGGACACGGAGGCGCAGCTCCTGCCCGGCACTGCCTGAGCCCGTGGGCCCGAGATTTGGAATCTGGGATGACGAAGCGGCGGAGGCTCCTGGGGGCCCGGCGGACGGGGCTGTGGGAGGGCCCCCGAGCAGGCAAAGGTCTAGTTAGTGGTCAAGAGAGAGTCTGGCTGAACCGTCGCCTTCTGGAATCACGGGGAACACAAAGCTGGGGTGGAGAAGCAGCAAGTCACACCTAAGGCACGTGTACAGGACGCCACCATCTCTACGCAAAGGCTGGAGCGAGTGCAGCAGTTATGACTGGATGGGGAACACGTTTTCTGCTGTGGCCGCCGTCAGCGCGGAGTCGCCTGCCCACCCCCCCGACACTGGACACGGGAGTCGGTGTTGTCAGCAAGAGAGAGCGTGTCTGAACACATGGGGCAGAATTTTAAAAACCTACAGGATTTTGTTTAGAACTCCAAAGTTCAACTAATGCCCTATTTTAGGGTGAAAACAATTATAAATCTGAAAATGATGCACAGCATCCATGAGCAATTTTCCTTTCATAGTAATTTTGAAGTAGTGTCATTAACTACGACAGATATTGAAGGTTTACATTTCTAACGAGAAATAACAACAGATTGAATATTCTCTTTCCTATCACAAGTGATAACCAGTGTTTGATATTTTACATTTTCTTCCAAGAAATATCAGTCTATCAACGTTTTAAAATAAAATGTTTGCAGTAACAATTATCTTAGAACTTTAAATTAAAAAATGATTCTGAATTTAGAGACTTTCAAAAAAGACCTAGGTGTACTTCAGGGTCTTCTGACAAACAAATTATTAAAACAGAGACCAGATGAGGCCTTAAAAATAGACAGTATGCTGTATTTGAAACAAGGTTGCACTCTTGAATTTTAGAATGAATATATCAGAATTGCATTATTATTTCATAAATTCTTCTTAACATGCTGACATGTCCAGCTATCCCCAGGTGTGTGTGTGTGTGTTTGTGTGTGTGTGTGTGGTGTGTTCTTTTTTTGGTGTTCAAGTTTAAGGAAGAAAAAAAAATTCATGGTTCTTTTCTTTAGCATATATGTTTTCCACCTTAATTAACTAGATCTTTAAAAATGAAAACCTTCTCTGACAGCAGTATTTATCTCGTCGAAGGATAAATAATTCTCCAGAGTGAAGTGTTGCTAGTCTATTACAAAACGTGTTGGGTGTGTCCTCACGCGTGGCTCCTCCCGCCGGCCCGCAGCCGCCTTCTGCCGCTTCCTCCGTCCCCCAAGGTCCTTTTCTGAGCGCGAGGACCTCGGCGGAGACGGCCGGTTCAAACCCCCCGGAGGAGTTGCCTTCTGCTCGATCCGCCTCCCCGGGGACGCGTCAGGGGTCCGGCAGGTCCGAAGTATCCACTATGACTTTGATAAAAATGGTGTCGTCTTTGATGTACGTCCCGTTCTCCAGCACGGTCTGGGCCACGAAGACAGGGCACCCGGAGGCGATGTTCATCTCCCCGGTGGGCTTCTTGAAGCTGCTGCTGTTCGGGTCCGGCTTGAACGCGTCCCCCAGGTGCCGCCGCGAGGACCCCTGGTCCATCAGCATGAGCGTCACTTTCTGCTTGAAGGGCCAGGGCAGCAGCGCGTCGTACTCGCCGCGCATGATGACGAAGAAGAGCGACAGGTGCGTGCCCTTGCCCATGCCGTCCCCGTTCAGGTAGACCCTGGCGCACATCTTGTAGCCGAAGTAGCCCGTGTAGAAGGGCTGGCTGTACAGCGACAGCGTCTTGCCCATCACGGCCTCCTGCTTCCGCCGCTTGTAGTCGCGGATCTTCCAGATGAGCACGCCGTTGTAGCTGGCGGTCTCCAGGACCTGGAAGCGCAGGTCCATGTCGGCCAGGCGGATGTCGTGCACGCTCAGCATCTGGTCGTGCCGGCTCAGCTGCGACTCCAGCAGGCCTGGCGGGAGACACGGCGGGCGCGCGCACGTGACCCACGGAGGCCGGCCCGCGGGGGGGGGGGGGGCAGAGACGCACGCCCCAGACCCCCAGCCTCAGCCTGCGGGGCGGGGACACCCCGGAGCACCGGCCTGCTGCCCCCGGCTCCCCAGCTTGGGGCGATCCCCCTGGAATTGAAGCTGCTCCGCTCTCCGCACCGCGTCCTTGGCCGGCTTAATCCGGCCCCACGTGCATCCCCGTAACCGCGCTCCTCCCAGTTAATCCTGCTCAGGCGGTTTTAGGATGCTCCCTCAGCAACCCCCCTCCCTGCCCCAACGGCCTGGCGGCTTCTAGGCATCAGCCACGCTGCCGGGCTGGCCGGGTCTCCCGCCACCTGCTGGTTGCCGTCTGTCCCCTGGCCTTCCTGAGCAGCCCCGCACCTCCACCCGCAGGCCCGCTCCGCCGGCGTCCGCCCTTGCCCCCCGCGCCTGGCGCAGGAAGCTGGTCACCCCGCAGGCCCGCCCCGCTCTCCCGCACAGTCGGCCCCAGCACCAGCCTGGGACCCGCGGGCTCACCTGTGTTGCGCGCTGCCTGCCCCGCGCTCTTGTCCACGCTCTCCAGCTCGGTCACCCGATTCTGGAGGGACTCCACGCTGCTCTTCATGCTGTCCGCCTCCTCCCAGTTCTGCCGGAAGGGCCGGATCTCCTTGTCGAGCTCCTTCAGTTTCTCTGCTTGGCTGTCGATGACTCGCTTCCAAATCAAAGTGTCAGAAAGGCAGAACACGGTTAGGACCTGCTGTGAGCACCGCGCCTCTGCAGACCCCTGCCAGCCCCCACAGGGTGCCTCCGCTCAGGCCCATGGGCCCTCAGGGACCCAGGCCCTAGGCCCAACTGCAGGGCACGCAACCCCCATGTCCCTCTCTCCCAGCGTCTTAGCTGGGTCTGTGAGGGCCTCTGTCCCATGAAAGGTCAACTGACCAGCAGGGGTGGAACTGTGAGCCTCCAGGGCCGGAGGGGCCGCTGTCTCTGCAGCTGCTGGGAGCACCAGAACTCCTGGGTCCCCGCACTGCCCCTGCTGCAGAGAGAACCCTCCCCCCAGCAGGACAGAACCCCGGTGGGTGGTGGGTCCTCGGGCCCCGGGTGAAGCCAAGAGGCCGGTGCCCATGGGGGGAGGGGGTCTCTCCCTCGATGCGCTCGGTGCCCAGTGCCCTGTGCCTCCGTGGCAGAGGAGCTCTGCTCACAAACACGTGGCTGTCGACAGTGAGGCTTGATTTAAATCACACAGAAACCCCCTTTTCCAGAAGCACATGACCAGCACACCTGTAGCCATCACTGGAGGGGGACCTGGGGCTGAACTGGGGGGTCATCGGCAGGTCTGGCCCGCCCACTTGTAGATGAAGCCAGGACCTGAAGGGTTTTCACCTCGAAAACAATCTGCATTTTTGAAACAGAGCACCTGAAGGGGGGCAGCTTAGCCCCTGGAGCTGTGGGGCAAGGGGGCCACCCCCGAGGTCGCGGGCTGAGCAGGGGGAGCCCCGGGGGCCTGCCGAGATCACTTCTCCTTTTGGGGCCCTATTTTTAAACCCCGAGGTTTCAGCACCTTTGCTGGCTCTTAATAGCCGTGAAGGAACAAACGTGTAAGCATGGGTTACTTTTCCGGGTAAAAGTACAGCGTTAATCTTCCTCTTCTTTCCAAGAAACCCTGATATCAGCTAACATCTAAAAAGGGAGGATGACTTCTCTAAAGAACACGTCTTTCCACACTGCAACCACTTCATTTTAAACACACAAGGCGAGAGGCACGGCTGGCTCACAAAGTCTGTTTTCTGGGGACAGTGCTGTTGACACGTGGGAACACTCACAGCCACGATGAATGTCTGACTGCTCCCCACCCACTCAAGTGACAAAGCAACCACCCAGGCTGACGTGGGCGCTCATGAGGCCGGAGGGCGCTGACAGAAACCTAGATGGTCAGCACGGCTCCAAGGGGGCCCGCGGGGCGGCTGGAGCCCGGGGTGAGCGCGGGGCGGAGCGGGGTGGCCGAGGCCAGCTGCTCCTCACGTCCGAGCCCCCCATCGGGGACCACGCGGGACAGCGGCCTGAGGCCACGAGGTGCTCTGCGGACAGAAGCGACCGCGACGCCCCCACTACACACCAGGGGCGAAGAGTCAGCGGGCGGAGCCGGGCAGGAGGGGACACGGGACCGCAGGCACACGTGTGTGCGTGCACACATACACACACATGGGCCCCAGCAGGAGGGGACATGGGATCCACAGGCACACGCACATGCGTGAACACACACATATAGACAAGGCCCACCCACGACCTAGAAGGCGCTCCTCTCACAGCAAGGGGAATGCGCGCACACACACACACACACACACACACGCCCCACCTACAGCAAGGGGAATGTGAACACACACACGCCCCACCTACAGCAAGGGGAATGTGAACACACACACGCCCCACCTACAGCAAGGGGAACGTGAACACACACACGCCCCACCTACAGCAAGGGGAACGTGAACACACACACGCCCCACCTACAGCAAGGGGAACGTGAACACACACACACCCCACCTACAGCAAGGGGAACGTGAACACACACACGCCCCACCTACAGCAAGGGGAATGTGAACACACACACACACGCCCCACCTACAGCAAGGGGAATGTGCACACACACACACACACACACGCTCCACCTACAGCAAGGGGAATGTGCACACACACACGCCCCACCTACAGCAAGGGGAACGTGAACACACACACGCCCCACCTACAGCAAGGGGAACGTGAACACACACACGCCCCACCTACAGCAAGGGGAATGTGCACACACACACACACACCCCACCTACAGCAAGGGGAACGTGAACACACACACGCCCCACCTACAGCAAGGGGAATGTGCACACACACACACACACACCCCACCTACAGCAAGGGGAATGTGCACACACACACGCCCCACCTACAGCAAGGGGAACGTGAACACACACACGCCCCACCTACAGCAAGGGGAATGTGCACACACACACACACACCCCACCTACAGCAAGGGGAATGTGCACACACACACGCCCCACCTACAGCAAGGGGAACGTGAACACACACACGCCCCACCTACAGCAAGGGGAACGTGAACACACACACGCCCCACCGACAGCAAGGGGAACGTGAACACACACACGCCCCACCTACAGCAAGGGGAATGTGAACACACACACGCCCCACCTACAGCAAGGGGAATGTGAACACACACACACCCCACCTACAGCAAGGGGAATGTGAACACACACACGCCCCACCTACAGCAAGGGGAACGTGAACACACACACGCCCCACCTACAGCAAGGGGAACGTGAACACACACACGCCCCACCGACAGCAAGGGGAACGTGAACACACACACGCCCCACCTACAGCAAGGGGAATGTGAACACACACACACCCCACCTACAGCAAGGGGAATGTGCACACACACACACACACACACACACGCCCCACCTACAGCAAGGGGAATGTGAACACACACACGCCCCACCTACAGCAAGGGGAATGTGAACACACACACGCCCCACCTACAGCAAGGGGAATGTGAACACACACACGCCCCACCTACAGCAAGGGGAATGTGCACACACACACACACGCACACGCCCCACCCACAGCAAGGGGAACGTGAACACACACACGCCCCACCGACAGCAAGGGGAACGTGAACACACACACACCCCACCTACAGCAAGGGGAATGTGAACACACACACGCCCCACCGACAGCAAGGGGAACGTGAACACACACACACACCCCACCTACAGCAAGGGGAATGTGAACACACACACGCCCCACCTACAGCAAGGGGAACGTGAACACACACACGCCCCACCTACAGCAAGGGGAACGTGAACACACACACACCCCACCTACAGCAAGGGGAACGTGAACACACACACACACGCACACCCCACCTACAGCAAGGGGAATGTGCACACACACACGCCCCACCTACAGCAAGGGGAACGTGAACACACACACGCCCCACCTACAGCAAGGGGAACGTGAACACACACACGCCCCACCTACAGCAAGGGGAACGTGAACACACACACGCCCCACCTACAGCAAGGGGAACGTGAACACACACACGCCCCACCTACAGCAAGGGGAATGTGCACACACACACGCCCCACCTACAGCAAGGGGAATGTGCACACACACACGCCCCACCTACAGCAAGGGGAACGTGAACACACACACGCCCCACCTACAGCAAGGGGAATGTGAACACACACACACCCCACCTACAGCAAGGGGAACGTGAACACACACACGCCCCACCTACAGCAAGGGGAACGTGAACACACACACACCCCACCTACAGCAAGGGGAATGTGCACACACACACACACGCACACGCCCCACCCACAGCAAGGGGAACGCGCGGTTGTCAGGCAGCCCCTTGGCTGGGTGGAGGCTGTGGGTCAGGGCAGCACGCGGACCTAGCCCCGCCCTCCCTGGAGGATGCAGCGAACGCCTCATGGTTGACGAGCCGCCTCTGCCCAGCCGCCGCAGGGTCTCTATAAACACAGACCTTAAATGCAGGTGAGGGTTCTACTAGAGAAAAGGGCTCAGGAGCTGAGACACGTGCACAGACCGCTCACAACATATGTACACCCTCGTCAGGAGACCTGCTCACAGGGCGCCAGCCCCTCCGTCGCGCGCTCGGGCCCCTTGGTGCTTACATCGCCGCCAGTCACTCGGCTGACGTGGGTGGGTTCTGGGCTCAGCAAGGGGCCCAGGGACAGGGTGGGACCCGCTGACTGGGGGACCACCGCACCATCCAACTGTTTAAGGAGAAAGGGACTTCCCCGGCAGTCCAGTGGTTAAGACCGTGCGCTTCCAGTGCCAGGGCACAGGTTCAACCCCTGTCAGGGAGCCAAGATCCCACGTGCCGCGTGGCATGCAAGAAAACAAAAGAGAAACGTTCTTCACAAGTAAAGTATTAAGAAACTACCCTTCCCAGGATGGGAACACACACACTCTTTGGTTCCACTTCTATAAGCCCCTCTGCCTGCCTGGCCCGGGGCTGTCAGGACGCTGCCCTCCGTGTGGACTCCTTTCAGGCCTGCCCGCAGGATTCAGACGGGGAGGACATGATGCAGAGAGCTACAGGCCTATCACCAGCAGGTGGTCCGAGGCACAGGCTGGGGAAAGGCTTCCTGGAGGAGGGGGCGTCTACCCTGCCGTCCGAGGAGGAGCCAGAGTCGGGACAGGAGGCGGGGAGAACGTCCAGCCCGCCGCGGAGAGAGCGGCTAGGCGGCCACGCTCAATGGCCGCCAGGCAGGCAGCGTCCTGAGCTGTGGTCCAGCCAGTGACCCTCCCCCGGCGGCTGGAAGGCTCTGAGGTGAAGACTGAGGTGCAGGGCTGAGCCAGGCTCTGTGGAAACGGTGGGGGAGTGCATCCACGATCTCATTATGGACTCTCTCTCTCTTTTTCTTTTTGGTTATAAATGAACCTACTGCTTCATACATACAATGGAATACTACATAGCCATAAAAAGTGAAATAATGCCAGATGGCATGATGAAAGTAGATGAAAATAGAGATTAACAGGTGAAGTCAGAAAGAGACAGATATCATACGATATCACTTATATGTGGAATCTAAAATCAGACATAAATGAACTCTTCTACAAAGCAGAAAGAGTCCAACATACACAGAGACAGACCAATGGGTTGCCAAAGGCGACAGGGTTGAGGGAGGGATGGATGGGGGCTGGGGTTAGCCAATGAGAACTACTGTATGTAGAACGGATAAACAGGGTCCTGCTATATAGCACAGGGAACGATATGCAATACCCTGTGATAAATCATAATGGAAAAGAATGCTAACAAAAAAGAACGTATATGTATATTTATGTTCCTTCACTGTTCACCTGAATCTGTCACAACATTGTTAACTGGCTATACCCCAATACGAAAGAAAAAGTTAGACAAAGGCAGAATGTATATATACATCAAAAGCATCTAGTCACAGCTATGGTCTTTCCAGTCGTCATGTATGGATGTGAGAGTTGGACCGTAAAAAAGGCTGAGTGCTAGAGAATTTATGCTTTCCAATGGTGGTGCTGGGAAAGACTCTTGAGAGTCCCTTGGACTGTAAGAAGATCAAACCAGTCAATCCTAAAGGAAATCAACCCTGAACATTCACTGGAAGGGCTGATGCTTAAGCTAAAGTTTCAATACTGTGGCCACCTGACGCCAAGAGCTGACTCATTGGAAAAGACCCTGATGCTGGGAAAGATTGAAGGCAGGAGATGGGGGCGACAGAGGATGAGATGGCTGGATGGCATCACTGACTAAATGGACATGAGTTTGAGCAAGGTCCGGGAGATGGCGAAGGACAGGGAAGTCTGGGTGCTGCAGTCCATGGGGCTGCAAAGAGTCGGACAGGACTGAGCGGCTGAACGACGACATATGTATGTATGACTGAATCACCCTGCAATACAGCGGTAGCTAACACAACATTGTAAATCAACTACACTTCAATAGAAAAACTTTGGAAACCATTACATTAAAATAAGAACTAAATTTAAAGAAAAACAAACCCCTGCCTACTCATCCTTCCTTCAGTTGCTGACAGGCTTAACATCATTTCAAACACTACGTCACCTCCTCGGCCCTCCGGCGCACCTCCGCCAGCCTGCGCACGCGGGCCCTGCTCACGGGACGCCGGCCTCGGTCCCGGCGTGCTGAGCAGCGCCTCCGGGCTAGCGGCGGCACGCGGGGGGCCTCCTGCAGGAGCCCTGATGCTGCTTCACGTGGCATTGCGCTTTTCTGGCTTGATTCAATACCTGCGCCTGGCACCTTTTCTACTATAACCTAATGTTTCGTTGTGCTTTTTCTCGTCTCTGGACAACCACCAAGTTTAATACAAATGAAATTAATTTAAAAAGTCCCTATGCAATTCAAAGCATTATAACTAACCTCGACAATAAGATGGGAGGCAAGATGATCTCAAAGATGCTGTGACTCTGAGCTATTGGAAATATTGTATCTTCCAGGTAATTTAGGGAAACCCTGGGCACACGCGCTGGAAGACCGTTCTGGCCACGCAGGAGTGATTCTCGCCTGGAGTGTGTGATACACACAGGAACTATGACCCTGAAGGCACACCCGAGTCGCCGATGTGAGGACAGTGTCTGGAAGAATAACCTACAGCAAGTACCTGATGGAAGCCCGAGTGCGTTACAGAGACAAGGAGCCACAATCTAATCGGGCGTGTTTAGGCGTGGGCTTCCGTGTTTGGGGTGGAGGTACCTTTGGGTCACTATGGTGAGGTAAAGTGATGTGAGTACCTGTGTCATTGGAAGATTCAGAACAGAACAGTTTGGCTTCAGTTCACTTTAGGAAGTGAAACTACACAGTTACTCAGGAACAACATGAAATCTTAAATAATATTCATAAAAAGCTAATTTTAAAAAACCTAGGCTTTGGTCTTATTTCACCAACAATGAAGCAAAGGCACATGAGAGAGGGGATGGGGCTGGGCCTCCAGGAACAGGCAGGAGGGGTACCTGCAGCCTTCCAGGCCAGCTGCGGACCCAGGCGCCCCGTGGACCCAGGCTGCCCTGTGAACCTCGGTCACCCGTGAACCCAGGCTGCCCCACAAACCCAGGCTGCCCCGAGAACCCAAGCCACTCACGAACCCAGGCCAGCTGCGAACCGAGGTCACCCATGAACCCAGGGCGCCTCACGAACCTAGGTCACCCGTGAACCCAGGGCGCCCCACGAACCCGTGCCTTCCTGTGAACTGAGGCCACCCCGCGAACCCAGGCCACGTCCCCAAGTTTCACTTAAGCAAGAGAAACAAGCTGGCCTGTGGACCAAGGTCAGGGCTTTGGCTCGGACGTCTCCCTGCAAAAGTCCTGGTGGAGAACACGGATGCATTCCCTCCAACCCAGCCACCGTCTTACACTTCTTACCTGTAAATGCAGTATTTTGGATTCATTATTTCGAAGCATTTCCTTCTGTCTCTCAATTTCAATTTCGAAGCTACATATCTGGTTGTGCAAACTCTGTATGCTCTTGTTTTTTTCTACACTTTCGTTCTGCAGCAAGGAAACCTGAAAAAAGAAAGCCTCCAATTAAGCAAACACCATGGTCTTAACATGAATTAACAACTCTAACACAAGTAATGAAATGTTGGCAATACAGGCCTCTGTCCGCTCACTGGAAGGAGTTCCAGGAACAAGCCCCTCCCCATGGGAAAGGGGGTCCTGGCTGTTCAACAGGGACACGAACCGCAGTTCTCAGAACCTTTCCTAGGAGTCAAGTAAGATGGGCTGAGTGCCTTTCAGAATAAGCAGGACGCTTTCTAAAGATTTTGCTGAAAACAAATAAATCTTTTATCAGAGTGGCTTTCACACTCTGATGAGGAAACAGTGGGAAACCCCTCCCTGCACCTCACCTCCTCGCTATGTACCATGAACACATGAGCCTATTCCTAAAAACAGGATCACAAAACCAATCCTGTCCTAATCAACTATAACGTACCTGGCACTTTCTATTTTATTCTATTTTACTTTTAAAAATGCTAGTTGCAACCCACTAAATTATTTCACAGCCACCAGTGGGCCACTCGCCACCCTGTGAGAAGCTCTCTGCAGAGTGAGGGAGCAGGAAGGGGAGGGTCTCACATGTGCCGCGGGGAGTCCTCGGGGCAGCCTGCCACCTCACAGAGAGGGGATGCAGATGGTGGAAGGGGGTTCCGGGGGACGGGGGTGTCAGGGGAACTGGGGGCACCAGGGGATGGGGGTTCTGGGGGATGGGGTGTTGAAGGAGCTGGGGGTGCCAGGGGATGGGGGTTCTGGGGGACAGAGGTGTTTGGGGAGCTGGGGGTGCCAGGGGATGGGGGTTCTGGGGGACGGGGGTGTCGGGGGAACTGGGGGTGCCAGAGGATGGGGGTTCTGGGGGACAGGAGTGTTGGGGGAACTGGGGGCATCAGGGGATGGGGGTTCGGGGGGACGGGGGTGTCGGGGGAAGTGGGGGTGCCAGGGGATGGTGGTGTTGGGGGGATGGAAGGGGCACCAGGGGATGGGATGCCGGGAGACCACGGCGGTCCAGAAAGGGCCTGCTGGGGGCAGGTCCAAGCCCACCTTTGACATTTTCAAAGTTCCTTTCTGAAAAATAATCAGCTCCCAAGAACCAATTTACGCAGGACTTAAAAGCCCTGGGGTGAGGAATTCAAGGACGACTCTATAAGGCCTCTTCTCACAATGCTTCCACAAGGGGCACTCTGGATGGCCCTGGGGGCTCAGTGGTTAAAGAACCCACCTGCCAAGCAGGAGACTCCAGGGCACTTCAATCCTCGGAAAGGCTCCCTCTGCCAAAGGCCATCTCCACCCACAAGCCCTGCACCCCCCCCCCACATCGCCCTCCCCTGCCCAGAAGATGGTGCGTTCCACCGAGGCTCCTCTCGGAGGTGCCCCCTAATACTGCCAGCACCTGAGGACCACCCGGCCACGCGACAGCTCACGGGCATCTCAAGTGACTTCTGGATTCCTGACTTCGTCCCTCTGAGGAACCACCAGCCCAAAGTTAGCGTCCTGCCTGGAGGCAATACCTTTCGGGTGCTGTCTCAGTCTGTTTTATTTATAACAAACGTATTTACAAAAGAATACAAAACCTGCAATATATATTTCAACTCCTCTAGGGTTTCACTCAGCACAAACGCACTCTCTTTCCTAAACTATGCTGTCTCACTGGTCCTCGGCCTCCCACACAGGACCAGCCTGCAGCATCCAGCCTGGGGCATGGGTGGCTGGCAGCGGTACTTTGCTTTTTCTAAAGTTACAACTCCTTCATTCCCATCCGCTGGAGATGGACACAGTGCCTGGGCTCTGGCCTCCCACTGCAGTGGCTCTCATGCTGCTGAGCACCGGCTCCAGGGCGCGCAGGCTGAGCTGCTCCGTGGCACGTGGGATCTTCCCGACCCAGGGATTGAACCTGTTTCCCCTGCACTGACCGCAGATTCCCACCCACTGAGCCCCCAGGGGAGTCTGCCGCATCACACTCTTGATGTCTTTATAGAGGGATTGCCCTTAAACTTAGTTTCCTTTATTTACATATTTTAATCAAGGATGCCAGCCCCTGGGTGCCAGCAGACCCCCGCTTTCACCCGCCCACCAGGTGACACTGCAGGCAGAGGGAAGCCCACCGGCAGCTGTGTTTCCCAGAACCCACGCAGCAGACCAAGCAGGGTCCCCCCGAGACCCTCCTCCCCGGGCACACCCTCCACCCCCGCCTGTCGGGGGCACCCTAAGACTTCCTTGTGACTTAAGCTTTCCTAAAATGTAGGATGGGTGTTTTCAGGTCCGGACTTTATAAAACAGTTTTGTTGTTCTTTTTTTTTTAGTTGGACTGCATGTAATAATTGGTCTTTCCGAATCAACTCAAATACTCTATTTTCTACCCTAGATGAACAAGATAACTCAAGATCCAACTGAATAGTTCTATGATGAGAAACAAATTCCCACTTGAAGAAAACACAAACATCTCCATTGTCCAGGTTTGCTCTTGGGCCCAGAGAAGAGATGCCAGCTTCTCACGGACACAGGAAGGATGCTCAGGGCGGAGGCCTGGCTGTCCCTAGTGGGGGGTGGGCTCAGGGAGGGGGTCACCCCTGAGCAAAGCCACGGGAGCAGACGTTTCAAATCTGCCCTCCCCCGCCGGCTGTGCAAGGGGGAGGACCGCCGGGGAGGGGGTGTGGGCCGTGTAGCCGGGTCCCGGGGTTTCCAACGGTGCCAAGAGGATGCCCTCAGGGTGCTGGGGTGGCAGGGCAGGAGGGCGCAGGACAGGATGACCCCCATCTCCCCCTCCTGCATCCCGGGAGCCCTCCTGACAGCCCCGCCTACAACCAAGGGGGTGAGCACACCCCCAGCCCACGGTTATGTAACCAGCACAGCTGGGACAAAACCAATACACTTTACAGGAAAGGGAGAACCTTTTAGATAAATGAGAAGCTGTATCTGTGAGAGACCAAAAGCCCTGCGATCTACGTCTATAGTTTGAAAACGCAGAAACGCCTTCTTCAAAAAGAGGAGAAAAAAGGATTCATAGGTAAACCGTCGCTGAACTCAGAGCAAATATGTGCTCATGGGAAAGTTATAAATCATTCATGTGACACAGATTCTATTTCACGGTCAAACAGAAGGCTCCTCCTGCCCCACGCGTGTGTGCACACAGCACCCAAAGCCTTTCTCAGCTCCAGCTTGAGCATTTATACTAAAAAATATTTAATGTAATATTTAATAAACATCTTTTGATTTAAAACTTTACACTCCTTCAAGCACATTTACATTTTAAATTGCTTGGGTTTAACACTCAAAACAAGATATTCAAATCTTTACAAACCTTTAGAAAGCAAACATCAACTCCCCGTGCTGCCGAAACTCATTCCAGCTCCCTCCCATCACACGTTCTCAACACATGTTTGTTGAATACCAAACTAAGTTCTTATTTTTGTATACAAGCCACAAGCCACAGTGGGAGATCTATAACCTTTTTCTCTGTTAAGCCTTGGAGGTTTTCATCCTTTCTTTGGGAAAGCAGGCCTGGAAATGTGAGCACCACAGAACAATCCCCCCCACCCCCACCGCCCGAAGTAGTGTTCTGTGGGCAGGCGCATGCTAATAAGGAGGGGAGTGCAGACCCCATAGCGGGGCTTTGAGGAGACGCCCAGGAGAGCAGGTGTGTCTGGGGAGGGGCTGTGTGGCCCCCCAGACTTCCACAATCAACTGTAACCCTGGTATCCCTGGTCGGGGAAGTAAGATCCCATATGCTGTGGGGCAGCTAAGCCCGTGCACTGTAGTGAAGACCCGGCACAGCCAAAAACAAAAACGGACAACAAAACAGTAACACTGGTGATGTGGACACGTCCTTTCCTCCTGTCTCTTAGAGGGTCACACACATGACACCGGTACCCTTCCAGACTGGGGCTGGCAGACTTTCTGTAAACAACCAGAGAGTAGTACTCGGGGGCTGTGCGGTCCACACGGTCTCCGCATCAACGCGGCCGTCCTGGTCTGAAAGCAGCCGTGGGCAATAGGGAAGTGAGTGCGCGTGGCCCCGTTTCAATAAAGCTTTATTTACAAAAAGAGGGTTGGGGGGTGGACACTGGAAGCGACAATCCCTGTTCTAACTCAATACTAAGAGAATCACCATGTGAGTTTTTTAAAAAGCACTTTATACACACTTGGCAACTAAAAAACAAAGAGCAAGCTGGCAAAACCACACACCTGCATTTATAAACTCAAGATCGCTTGAGAAGAATTTACTTTTTTGACACTTCATGCTGTTTCTTTTATCCAAAACCCATTACTAAATAAAAAGAAGGCTTTCTTCTTCACACAACAGGAAGAAGTTGCAGAAGCCAGCAGAGGCTGGGAACGGCGGGGCATACCTTCTTCTCCAGGGAGTTGCTCCACTCCTTCAGCAGGTTGACATGCTGCACCGCGGAGCTGGCCTCGTGGGCCTTGATCTGCTGGTTTGTCCCCTGAGAACAAAGAGGAGGCACGGTCAGCCGACCTCCCTAGTTTAGAGGCTCCGACCCTCAGACGACCTCACGCCAGCACCGCACATGAAGGGGGGACTGAAGCGGGGAAGGCTCACAGGGCATCTCCAGCCTCCAAGGGCTGCGCTCAGGGACCCCTGATCTACCACGTGCAGGTGAGGGGGCTGCGCCGAGAGGGACCGCGCGGCTCAAGGACGAGCACTGCGATTCCGCACCCACTGCCTCGAGGCCGTGTGCCTCACCGACCCCTCAATTTACCTACGCTTCAGACCTCCAACATTGAGAAACTACACTTCAGACATATCCCTTTTGTTCCTTAGTAAGTTTTCTGCACTAAAATATAAATGGAAAACGTTTAGACATCTGCAAGTCGTAGCTAGATGGTGCTACAATAATCTAGTGAATGTGTAGTCAAAGTAGGATTCTAAGTAATCTATTAAGATATTAACTTACTAGTGAAATACTAGTATCAGAAAATGCACTGTCCCTATCTATTCTAAGTATACTTAGAAAGTTACGTACAGAACATAAACAATCTACAGAGTACATAAGATGTAGACCATCTCAGAGTCAATAATGAGCATGTGAAATAGTACTTCACATATCTAAGAAAATAAATGGTATAAGAATGTAATTTGTTTTTGATCCTGGAAAATTTAAAAGCCATGGAAAGCATTTTGATGATCTCCAAAACATATACTCTGTACATAGAATATTCATATATATATGTTCATACAAGTATTGCTATATATCAACATATATATATATACATACACAGAATGAATGATATATAAGTACATACGACATAACAGCGGTGAGGGCTGTCTCCTTAAGAGACGAGCAGAGGGAAAGCTACCTTCATCCTCACTCCCAGGCTTTTTACTTTCTAAGAAAATGCTGAGATGCCAATATCTCTGCACTGATTCCATAATAATGTATTGATAATACATAAAAATCAAATATGAAGTGCTTTAACTGAAGTATATACTGCCCTTTGATAGTTCTAAAATCAAGATATACATTTAAGTGAAAACTAGTTCAAATTCACTAGCAATCTCAGGTGTGTTAAAAAAAAAATCACTTTCTAAGAAAATGCTGAGATGCTAATATCCCTGTACTGACTTCACAATAATGTATTGGTAATACATAAAAATCAAATATAAAATGCTTCAACTGGAGTATATACTGACCTTTGATAGTTCTAAAATCAAGATACACATTTAAATGAAAACTAGTTCAAATCCACCAGCAATCTCAGGTGTGTTAAAAAAACAAAAAAACCAGGAACAGATTTCTCACGGCACAGGCGTGGCAGTGGAAGAGCCTCCTCTCCGCCCGGCAATCCGGGAGGTGTGGCATGTACACGGGACACATTACGGACACACGCGTGTGCAACCCTCACCGCGGTGCACTGGTGCACACGCTGCTGAAACCATGTCCGCGGTGCCACAGGCGGTCTAGAACCCCACCCCACGTCGGTCCTGCCGGGTTGAATGGGATCCTTCTGCTGAGGCATTAACTCCCCCGCAGCACAGGCGTCCACCTGAAGGCTCACGACACCCCCGGCCTGAGAAGCGGTCCCCACGGCTGCCGCACCCGGCTTGTCACCCGTGTGAAGCTGGCGACTCGGTGCCGTAACAAAACGGGAAGCCAGAGCTTGCATGTTAAAATGTCAACACAGTTAACTTTCTCTCATGGAGGAATGTCAGCGACTGGGAAGGACGAATGTTGGATACTGACCTGAAAAATGCAGCCATAGCGCTTAAAACTACAGGTGCTGGGGGCATTGACACACTCTGACAAGTGTGCACTCAACTGCAACGGGAAAGAGACGTGAGTTGTGGCACAAACGTTTGCATGAAAATGTTCAAACATATCAAGGGCACAGGTAGCATCTGGGTTCCACTATTATGAACGGGGCTTGTCGGCCACAGGTGTGTTTATACCACCTGCTTCCTACACTTCTACCCAGTAAATATACAGCATCATCACGTGTATACACATATATACACCAATATACAGAAATACATTTACTGTAACATTTCTTACACTTGCGGCTTTTTTTAGAACAACTTTTGTGACATGCTGTCTGCAGAATTTTAAAAAGGAAAAAAAAACATAAACTGAAAAGCACATTTAAAGACTATAAACAAAAAAATTGCATGAAACACAAAAAAATAGAAAGCATTCCGATGTAGCTGGGCCACACACCTCGTATACAGTACACAGAAGTAGGGTCTCTCTCCAGGGAAGCGCACACAGGCACCCCCAGCCCCCCATGCTCATGACAACTGCAGAGGGGACTCTCCTTCTGAAAAGACTCTCCTCCCTCAGTTTGGCCAGAAATTCATGTGGCTTTTCAGAGACCCCTGAGTCATCTTAACAACATGGATCTTAACATGCTCCACTCCACTTCACGGAGGACAACTACGAGGGACGGGGCGGAGCTTGTCCGGCCCGGAGGAAGCCCGTGCTCCGCTTCAGCGTCGGCTAACTGTCAAACACACACTGCTCAGGGTGCCCCTCAGGAGAGGAGGAAATGGAAACATCTGCATTTTAGAGACGTGGCGTTTTGCATTAGGCTAATACAATTTTAAAGATAATCTCTTTCTTTATTGGAAACTCAAGGGACAGATCTTTACAGAAAACGATCAGACCCTGAATCAGCAGAGCGGTTTGTGAGCGCGGTGCACGGGGCCCGGGAGCGTGTCCTCCCGGGAGCCAGCGCTTGTAGGACTTGCTCTGGTGGGTGCAGGTGGGTTCGATGCCTTCTCTTCTGTTTTCTGGGACAAAGTCCCCTCCCGCCAGGTCCGTACTCAGGACGACAGGGAGAGGCTCATAGCATGGCCAGGCTGCTGGCCGTGCCAGTTACAGGATAGGCCCGAGGGGCCCACCTGCCTGCTGCCAAGGCCAACCCGGAAGAAGGGCCGGGCCGGGGCGGGGTGGTGGCGGCTGCACCTGCAGGAAGCAGCCAGGAGGCATGTGGCAGGTGACAGGTACAGAAATTCAACAGGCAGCTGTGTGTGCAGGGACGTCAGTTTGGAAATCGTAAAACATTTTTTTTCACTGCCATCAGTACAGTTGTAAATCCAACCAGTGAACACGTCTAATGTTAAAATTGGGGACATATCGAGTTTAGCGCTATTTTCTACAACTATAAGCTCAGGGTTGTACTTCCCCTAAATTGGCTTCATCATCATCAGTCTCAGAGACCTACAGAATTTAGGGGAGCTCGGGGCTAGAGCAAGAACCATCCATAAAATGGCACCTTTCACCGGAAACCCGAGATCAATGCAGGTTTAAAGATTTTTAAAAATAAAGATAACTTAAAGGCAAATGGAGACAGTTTTGTTCCTAATATAGATAGCCCTGCGTGAGTCAACACTGAGGAAAATACATGGAATGCTGGAAGTTATTTCCTCAGCAGCCTCTTCGTAGGTTCACTTTAACAGAGGGACTTCCCAGCCGTGGAGACAGTGCCCTCGCTGTTCTCTGAGGCATGGCCCGGGGCCCGGGGACCAACGTCACACCTGGCGAGACCAGCCCCTGCCCAGCAGGGACGTCCGGGACGGGGCACCTCGGTGAGAGGGGCTCCGGAGTCCTCCCGCGCCCGTGTCCCTGGCCTCAGGGTCAGGAGAGACCGACCTCCCCGACCCCCACAGTGTCCCGGTGTCAAATCCCAGGCGGCTGAGAAGGGCTGAGGTGAGCAGGCTCCTCAGGTCAGAGCGCCCAGGCCCGAGGGCGCTGGGCGTGGGGACCAGGGCCGCAGGCACCCCGAAGCCCACGGGCGCCCCCACGGCTCCCAGAATAGCAGCTGGATATACCCTGGTCAGACAAGGCGACCGCAGAGTCCACCTGCCTCAGGGACAGTCCAGGTCTGCCAGTCCGCCGTCCAGGCGCCTCCCCACTGCCTGCCACCCGCCACCCTCTCACCCCAGGGCAGACCGCACACAGCCTGTGTGGCCGAAACAGCTCATGAGCATCTCTCAGTTAACTGATCTTCCTGAGCTGCTCATAGAGTCATTCCTATTCTACAGATTTAAACCTAAAAAGGGTCGCCCCTGCTCGCACTACAAATATTCCCATTTTCTCAGTTCTTACTGATATTTTTGCTCTGAATTCACCACTCTGTAGCTTTTAACTGCTTGTTTCTGAAATATCTGATTTCCGAGAATAGCATGAGTTTTTTCATCGTCCTACGCTATCACCACCATGATCTGTGACGACCTTGGGGCCTCGGCGTCAAGGGGGAAATGGGGACCCGAAGGACCCCCAGCTCCTCCAGGGGCCCAGCCACACCCCTCACCTCGCTCCTCAGAAGGGTCTGGACGCTGCACTTGTGTGGGCAGGACACCACCACGCAGGGACACTCCGTGTCTTCGTGTTTCTGGAGGAGAAAGAGAAACTGTTGCCAACTCGGAAACACACGACCCGCCTTCCTTCCGAAGCCGCCGGCGTCCCCACGAGGCCCCAAGGGAAGCTCTCTGTCCACAGTCATGTCCTCGGGCCCCAAGGCTCCCATCACACCTGGATGGGTTGCTCTGTTACAGAAGCCTGAGTGCCGAGAAGGCAGGCACTCACCAGAGCGCCCCACAGCTGACTGGTCGGAGCGACTCACGAGGGGCCACTCTAGGACAGCGCTCCCCCGGCCACGGGCCCCGCCCCAGCCCGCCTGTGCCCTCCACCTGCGTGCCCTCCAGCCGCGTCCCCGGCATCGGCCGGACGCCGCCCCGCCACCTATGCCTGGCAAGCTCGCTCACACGGGGGTGGATGCTGGGGCCCAGCCTCTGATGGCTGGGGCGGACACTTCCCCTCTGGCTTCTCAGCCTGGAGCCTGGAAATGATGCTTCTCCAGAGCCTGAACACAGTGTGATCCCCAGGAATTTAAATGACTGTGCTGAGAGCATGCCTGGATTTCCTTTAATGCAAGGGCAACATAGGTATGTTCCAGTGAAGCCCTTCTCTGGACAGCACAGATTTCAACACAGAGCCTGGGTGATGGCCATTGCCGAACTCAGTGCCACGGGCACCTGCTGGCACCCATCTGTTACACCTGCCACCAGCAAAACACAGGCCAGAGCTCCCGAGGCCAGCAAGCCCGAGCGGGCCTGGAGACAGCACCTCGAGACACGTGACAGAGGCCGCACAGGCAGATCCAGAGCTGCCATGAAACACGACTGTGGGGCCAGGCTTCAGAGGGCAGCACTCGGCAGGAGGAGAGATGGTGGGCTCCCCTCAGGCCCAAGGACACTCTGGTTCTGCTGGCATGCTGCATCGGGCAGCCCTAGGCACGTGCCGTCTGACCGGCAGGAGTGCGGGCCAAGGACATGGCGCCCACAGGGACGCTTCTCTGGCCCAGAGGCCAGTCGTCCTGCCGCCTGCAGTCCCCGGTCTGGCTCAGCCTGGCAGGCGGGCCGTGTGGACAGGACCCCTCTGCTCCCGAGTGTGGTCCCGGAGGCCCCCAGAGCCTCCAGCACCTGCAGTGGGCAAGCCCATGGCTGTCTCGAGCTCATCAGAAATCTCTTGGCTGGACTGAGCCTGACCAGCACCTCCCGCGAGGGGACCCCCTCACCCTAGGAGTTCCCTGGTGCTGAGTCAAGGCTTCACGCGTCTTTCAGTGGGACGCCTCGGCCAGACAGCATCATCCATAGGCGGGGAGTGACCAGTCCTCCCTCAGGGGGCAGTGGTAAGGATGGAGTCAGTCGCGGGCCTGGAGAACGCACGTGGCCAGTGCTCCAGATGCCATGCCTCCCTCCCAAAGCTGCCCGTGACCCCAGCCTCATTCACCGGGCCGGGCCTGCCCTGGCCTTGGGTCAGCCTGGCCCAGGACAGCGAGAAGCGGGGATGGACAGACCATCACCCCGTGGCAGGGGTGCGGAGAGAGCGCCTGGGGCTGGGGTCACAGGGGCAGCACTGAGCCGACGCAGGGGAGGGGCTGTGCGCTGAGGAGGCAGGCAGGGGGCCGTGGGGGGAGAGGCTGGGGCCTGCACGCCAGGCCTGTGAGGAGCTTCACGTGCGCTGCAGACCTGAGCAAGGACGATCAAAACAGGCTTTCCTGGCTATCGGAGGGTAAGCGATGGGACTTCAGGGGTTTTGCCAGTTCTGTCAAACCTTCCCATCTCCAACAGTGATGGGTGAAAAACGCAATGGTGTGACTTGCAATTCTTCGATGTGTAGCTATTAGCACGCTCTTTATCTTAAGCATTTCTATTTTCTGTGACTTGCCATTTATAGCTTTGCCCACTGCAGTGGGTCGAACAGTGACCCCGGGGGATACCCCCCGGACCTCAGAATGTGACCTTGTTTGGAAAGAGGGTCTCTGCAGATGTAATGAGTTAAGAGGTGACCCTTGGCCACCCTTTTAATTCTTGACTTTTCACAAATTAACAGAACTGCTCAAAGAGAATGATACTCTATAATCTCTGGGCTAAATGGAAGAGTTTTTTTTCTGATGCTTTATGCTAACAGATTAAAAAAACAAACTCAAAAAGACCTGACACGCCAATACCATGGTTTAAAGATAGAAAAGAACTGCTCATAGGAACTTGAGTGTCTCTGTGCTTTATCAGTCTACACTTTATCAACACTTGATGTACTTGTCACACCACAGAATGCAGGATGAGGAGGAAAGTCAGGATGACCTGGGGCTTCGGGCCCAAGTTAAACAACTGCGCTTTTTAAAAACAGACTTAAGGCCTGAGAGGATGAGACTGTAGGAGAGTTGAAAGATTAAGACTTGGGAGTCGAATTCTGCCACTGCCGACAAGATGGGGGCCCTTTCCTGGCAGGGGAGGAAGTACGGGTGTGGCTGCCTGCTGGCGCCGGGACCCCGGGGCCCAGAGCGGGGTGCACCAGCCTGACGCCCAAGCAGGTGTGCTCCCCACAGTGATCACAAGAGGAGAGAAAGTAAGATCTGCCCCGAGATGCATTGCAGGGTCCATACCCTGAGGACACGCCAGGACATCTCCATCACTGAAGGGCAGGAAGATTTATGAGGAATATTTACTCGGACAACTCAGGTCCCAAACTTGTAAGCACTGCTTTGCACCTCTGCACCTGCTGTCTCTGTCTCCTCTTCGCAGTCAACACATTTAAGACCCCACATCAGGTCAGATGCCACTTCCTCTCCACAGCCTCATGGACCCTGTCCGGCCAGGTGAACCGGCCCTTCCCACACCAGCATTTACACAGTTGTGTAACTGGCTGTCTCCCCCACCAGACGGTGCAGTGAAGGGGAGAGGCTGTGATTTGTTCTCTTGTGTGTCCTGGGCCACTAGCTTGGGGTCTGGTGGCCCGTGGGTATTCAACAAGCATTTCACGACTCCACGAGCAATGCTGTTATTCCAAAATCCACCTCTTCGCAGGCTTGACCGAAGCTCAGAGTCGGCTACTGACAAGCTGTTTAACTCACATGCTCTACAATTCTTTCTCAAGTGAAAATTAATTTCTGAATTCTATTCTGCAAATAAAGGTAATTGATTTTTGCAAGAAGCCAAGTATAACTTTGATAGCAACATAGTGATATGTGTAAGGTCAGGACGATTGCTCATTGGGTACATGTTGCCTTCACTCGAATTTAATTACTGAAGAAATTATTCAATTATGAAAAATACTACTGCTATTTTCCAAAGGGGAGGGCACTTAAAGGTTATTAATAACCAGAAACAACAATCATACAGGAAACAGACTTCACGATGGAAGAAAGTCACAGGCCCAGAAAAGTTAAACAAAGAAGGTAAAGCGGAGGTTACAGTGATTACTCTCACTTCATACAGAAAAACAAAGACAACCGTTTCTAAATCGGGGTCAGTTTGTGCTCCCGAACATCTGCTAGGAATGAGATGTGGTCCTCAGGCCTGGCTGCCTGTCCACGGTCCCTCTGTCTGTCGACCCATCAGTCACTGGCCTGCTGGGTTCAGAAGCCAAGCCCCGCCCCTGGCTCCACCCCCAGCAGCACCGCCCACCTGCCCCACCACGCCCCCTGTCTCCCTCTGAGACGTCACCCTCGGGGGAATCACAATTGGGGCCCTCCCGGGCTGGCCGCCCCTCCACTGGATGACCACTCCCTCCTCCCCAGAGCTTGCTCTCACCCTCTGAGCCACACCTAAGCATCCCCTGCTCTAGTTATAAGCGCTGGGCATCCGCTCAACTCACACTCCACTCACACTCCATGCTGACCACGTCTGCCTCTCGCTCAGAACTGCCCAGACCCCCACCTCTAGTCTGCTCCCATCAACTTCCCACCTCACCCCTGCCCTGTCCAAGGCAAGCCCTGAAATCCAGCTGCCGAGTTCACTCCATCTCAGAGCCAGAGCTGCCCGTGGCTGCTCCCTCTGCCCTGACGCTCTTCCTGCATCGTCCCAACAGCCTCGGAGGGGCCTGCCCTCACCACCCCACCTCCCATCTTTATCGTACTGATGACCTCTTCCCACTGGAAGATGAGGTCACCCTGAACCCCCAGCCCCGAGAACAGTGCCCAGCACACAGTAGGTATGCAGTAAATATGTACTCAACAAGCAAATATTCGACAGTGTCCACATTGCTGACTCTTTTGGACGCTTGTCCTCCATTCCAACACCTGCTTCTCTTTAATTTACACATAAGTGATCTGATTCTAACATGCGCACAATATAAAACCGTGCGGAAACAAGGGAGGCACGAAAAAATGTTAACTTCTCCTCTCTCTCCAAGAGAGACAGCTGTACTTCAATGCTGCGGGATAAATCACCCTGCTGGAGTGACGGTTATAGTCTCAGAGCCGTAGAATGGTTAAGTGATCCAACAAGATTTTGAGGCTATTCCCTGGGACAAGTGGAAAATTCTACCTTTTTTTGAGTAATCAGTCTTCATGCTTTTTTTTTTTGACACCCCAAATAACAGTCAATCAAGGCAATGGCAAATGCTAATTGCATAAATCAAAATGGGCAAAATAAATACAGCTTAGCTCTGAAATAAAGTCAGATGAAAACTGCTAGTTATGCCTATCTTTTCTCTTTATTTCTGAGAACAGTCATTTGACCAGCTACTGTGTGGACAAGCGGCATCTGGATGGAGCGCAAGGCGGGAGCAAGAGAACACCGCACCTGCAACGTGATCATCGGGACCTGGTTCTTGCAGTGGCTGCACGTGGCCTCGCGGTATTTGCAGGCCTTCTCCACGTGGTCGCGCAGGTCTTTCCTCAGGACTTTCTCTTTGCAGTCTGCACGGACACATGAAAGCTCCTCAAACTGGCAGTCATTCTTCAGATGAACCTGGAAGGCAGACAGTTCATTTGGAGCTCTTCATCGGCAGACCTCCAGTCTGAAATACCAACGCTAGCCTCTGTGCAGTCAAATCCTACACAAGCGTCTCCATCTGCTGCTCCACCAGTTCCTCTCAGAGGAGACTGAGGAACATATCAAGAGGTGCTGAACTTCATATTCCACTGAGTGATTACTCAAACCATACTGCTTTTGAAGAACTCAGTCAATTAGCCTTTCCTCCTGGATAAATTGTTATCCACCAAGGACTTCGTTTTGTTCTAATTCAAATATCCTTCCAGGATTAAATATGATAGTAATCAAAAAAAAAGTTACATGGAATTTTATGGTTATTAAAAGGAGAAGGTTTAAACGGGCCTTCTATAATTAACATTCAATTCAGATTTCTTTCTACTCTAGATGCGGTAGGGGGCTCAGAAACCAATGGACACTCCCGTCTGCGATGCCATAAAGATAACACTTGCGCCCAAGCAGCTCTGCCTGCTCCCCTACGTGGCTGTGTCTGAGAGATGGACGCAAACATGGTCTCAGGGGCTCCGCCGTGCTGGCCGGGGACCGGTGTTTCTGGACATCTCGCCGCACTCACCAGCAGGTGCCCCAGGGCCAGCTGCTCTGCACAGCCCCGGCCCTCGTTCCGACAGAATATCTGGAGGGCCAGAATCTCCCTCTTGCAGCAATTATCCTTAAACACCTGAAATTGAAAGATAGCTATTTTAGAGGATTAAGATTTCTTAATCTCCACATGCTGCTACTTTAGACAAGGCAAAACCACTCTAAAAAGTCATGAGCACATCCCTGAAGAGGGCTCAGAAAGCACGAAGGGCCGTTTTAATGTCTAAGTGAGGAGAATGAAGGAGCCATCCCCCCCAAGAGACACAGTTTACATGATACAACCTTAACTACCAGCTTTTAATGGATAAACCCAAAGAAAGCAAATTATACTGAACAACTGAAGATCCCTGGAGCATCCAAACGTTTTAGATGGACTCTGACATTCTCAAGACAAGCCCACACCAGGACCGAGTTCACACTTGGATCCTGGATACTCCCAGGCTCCAACCTTGCTGGAAGTGGAACCTCCCATGGAGGAATGGGGCGGTGGGAGAGGCCGCTATAGCTCGAGGCCTTGCTAGATCCTTGCTGGGGGAACAGAGAAACCACCAGAAAAGACAATGAGCTGCAGGCGGTTTGTACAACATTTATCTTGGTTCCTGCTCTGAAAGCTGTATCACTTGTAACTAACTCATTTTTCACCAAAAAGAAGGCATTAGCTTGCTATTTAAGAAACTTTTAAAAACATGTTGCAAAGATATAGTTAATCCAACAATGAAAATGTTCCCCTTTGAAAATGAAAACCTTTAATTTTCTTTTTCCCTTAGAAAACAAATACTCTCCCTCCTTCTAACAATACAAGTTACACCATCCAAGTACTCAGACACTTCTAAGAAACTCCCACGCACTAATGCTCTGTGAACAGCAGAAAACCAGAGAGCTCAACAGACCTTTCTTGACTTCACAAGCCAAGAAATAGAATCAACAGCTGCTAAGAGTTAAAAATAAATTAATCTGGAGCCAAATCTAATCTTAGGTAAACATGACTTTTTTTTAAAAGGCCATAATTTAAGATGTTGAAGTCAACAGAACAGGTATTTTTAACCAGTAAGAAATCATGTGATCACAGAAAGTGATCCTTCTGTGCCATTAAGTTTCTTTTCTCTTCTTTGGGCCGCCCCTCATGGCTTGTGGGATCTTAGTTCTCTGACCAGGGACTGAACCCGGGTCCATGTCTGCAGAAGCACGGAGCCTTAACTGCTGGATCACCAGGGAATTCCCTAAGTTTCTTAAATCACTTGAGTTTAACTTTGGTTCCCTAGTGGCTCAGATGGTAAAGAATCTGCCTGCAATGCAGAAGACCCAAGTTGGATCTCTGGGCTGGGAAGATCCCCTGGAGAAGGGAATGGCAATCCACTCCAGTATTCTTGCCTGAAGACTTCCACAGACAGAGAAGCCTGGTGGGCAGCAGTCCATGGGGTCACAAAGAGTCTGACACAACTGAGTGACTAACATAACTTCATAACTTAAGGAGGAAAAAACACGGATTGAAAACATAAGAACAATAAAAGTACAGAACTTCAGGGCTGAGAAAGAGCTTGCACCACTTCTGCAACCACCCCATTTTACAGATGGGGAAGTGGAGGCCCTGGGGCAGTGCCAACCTCAGTGACCTGCCCAGCGGCTGAGGTCAGTCTCCCACGGCCCAACCAGACCAACAGTTCCCCATGAGGATTCCTGGCTTATTCAGTCTCACTCACGATTCTTCATCAAATTCCAGAATTGTTTTTCAGCTATCAATGCCACTGAAAAATAGGGATAACAATTCTGAATGTTGAAACGAGGCACTAAAAAGTTGATCTCAGCCTGTCGTTTCAACCTCCGCTCTCAGTCACATTGGTTTGCTGTTATTTAGTTGCTCAGCTGTGTCTGACTCTTGTGACCCCATGGACTGTAGCCCACCAGGCTCCTTTGTCCATAGGCACTTCCCAGGCCAAGGATACCATGGTGGGTTGCCATTTCCTCCTCCACGGGGTCTTCCTGACCCAAGGATCGAAACCACGTCTCCTGTACTGGCAGGGGGGTGCTTCACCACTGAGCTACTGGGGCAGCTTGTCCCATTGGTTAGATACACGCTAACAGGTTGCTGTGTTAAGACAAGGGGTAGAGCTGCGTGACCTGTGTTTCTTCCAAACAATCCCCTCCCTACTGCTGGGCAGGTAAATGCTGAGGAGGCACAGGTATGCGGATTTCAGACAATTCTGTCTCTGACCTGTTTGGAGCAGGTGACGCTGGGGCCCACCCTGGCAGCCCTCGGGCCCCCATCACCAGCAAGCCCCACGCTCACCAGTGCCGCTGGACAGCAAAGGCCACGGGAAAGCCCGAGTGAGAACTTCACTGTACAATTTAATGGTTAGGTTCATTACTCAGAATATCAGAATCACACATTTTTATTGATCTTTTAAGTACTTCAAGAACGAGTGGTTTCAAACGAGAAGTGTGCCCAGGAGGGCTTGGCAAGATGCAGAGGACCACACAGTCGGTGAGAAGGGCCCGGGCCCCTGGGTGCTGGACTGCAGGGCCCTCACGAGCTCTGAGGCACCCTCGGCCACGCAGGGGAGGGGAGGGCTGAAAGCACACGTGTCTAATGACTTCAAGACGCTGTGTGGGGGCAGGGAGAGAGCACATCTGGTGGGGCCCGCAGACCAGCACCGTCGGAAGGCTGAGTGCAGCCATCTGGGAGGAGGGCCCGAGATGACGGCGCACATCCCCCACCGGGGTCTTGGAAGGTGAAATCGTGACCGACCCGGGGAGCAGCCAGGCCCGGGGGCTGAAGCGCCGGCCCAGCGTGTTTGCCGGGTGTGTCGGGGTGCTCGACCCTGCTCCGCCAGCAGTCAGAGCCAAGGAAACTCAAGAGCCAGCATGCGAGACGCAAGCCTCAGGGCAGGCACCCCCAGCGCAACACGGTGACCAAACAGCTTATGAAAAACCAGGAATACCTTGTCTTTGATGATGACTTCTTGACAAGCAGTACATTTCGGGCTGGAGGAGCTGAGGGGAGAGACACAGTAAATGTGTTAGAGGGCGAGCACCTTCCCTGGGAGCACTGAGAACGCTTTGGGGTTGTGTCTGCTGTGCAGAGCTCGGCGCAGCTTCAGAATGCCAGGATGAGTTTGGCTTAAATACGGTCTAAATGGGAGAAAAGGGCTAAGATTCTTTTTTAGTAGTGATTTTTCATAAGGAAGTTTTTTAGAAGAACAGCTTAGATCAGTCCCTTTTGGAAAGTCCCTTTCAATTAAAAGTGAAATTTCATTTCAGAAACCAAAAGCAGCTCCCCGCGGAGGGGCTCTACGGCGTGAGTGTCCCCAGCTCCCAGGAGGGCCTCTGAACAGTGCTGGATCCACAGGCTGTCTCCTTCACAGCTGCTGAAAAGCTGATGGGAGTTCCACGGACTTGAGTCCTGTGGGAATCGAAAGCTGAGCCTGTCTCCAGAGACCACAAGTCTCCTACATGATTCTTGTCCCCCAACTCAGGACACGAGCCACTGCTCCCTAGCTGCCCTTTTTTGGACTTGATTCGTTCACCCCCATCCTGTGCTGGAAACCACCTCCGAGAGATTAAAAATAAAAAACTAATTTTGAGTGCTCCTTCCTTCCAGGGCCCCCGCCCTCAACAGCCTGAGGGCACCTGGCGTCCAGGCCTGGGGGCACGCCAGAGGCTCCAGGACCAGCAGGCAAGTGGGTGAGGGGACCCGAATAACAGGCTTTAAAATGACAGCTCGTTCATCCAGACTTCACCAGAATGAAGCCTGGAGCCTGTGCTCACCTGTTTTAATCATGGGACTCATGAGTTCAGAGTCCTTAGGCGCCGCTCCGCCGTGGGCGGGATCCCCTGACACCTGCCAAATGCGGAGCAGGAGGAGCGCCAGGAGCAGAGGAGGACACTAAAAGAGACCCTGTCCCGGCCTGCCCCGGCCCACAGGGGCCGCCCCGCAGGGAGAGCGGGCGCCCTGGGGCTGGGCGCCGTCACGAAGCTCGTTCCAGAGCTGAGTCCTCAGTCTGGGGGAACAAGACGTGAGCTCAGCCGCACGTCCCCAGAGGGGGCCTGGGGAGGGAGGCTGCCTTCCGGCTCCCACCCGCCAGCGGGGCCCAGGCTGAGCGCGGTGCCCAGCACCCCGCCGGGCAAGAGCTGCGGGATGAACCCGCTCACTCTGCTGTACAACCCCAGCCTCCCTGACGCGGGGGGTTTGAGTGGCGTCAGTTCACAACGACAGGCCTGCGAGGGCTGCTGCAGCTCCTTGACACTCAGCTCCAGGGCGTCCTGTCCTTACCGAGGCCCTGCCCCCCACATCCCGAACCCCTTGCACATCCCCTATCCTCGCCCCGAAGGGCACCACCACCGGTGGTGGACGGGGTGGCTCCTCCCCAGAACGTGAGCGCCTCCAGCAAAACCGGGCCCCAGGGGAGAGGCCTGGCGCCCCGAGTCTGTGGCACCCACCTGAGCAGGGCGCCCATGCAGGTCTCACAGAAGCGGTGCCCGCACTCGGTCTGCTTGGGGCTGCAAAGCACCAGGCGGCACTTCTCACACTTGTACTTGTCCTCCACGGCCTTCACGAAGCGCTCCTTGTAGCCGCCCTGCTCGGGGGCCAGCGCGGCCGGCCCGGCTCCGCGCTCGGCGTGCAGCTTCAGCGGGGGGTTGGCGGGCAGGACACCGGCCGCGTCCAGCTTCTTACTGGGCTCCATCCTAGGAGAAGGGGGTCCATCAGAGCGGGGACGCCGGGCGGTGGGGCCGAGGCTCCCTGCGGGCCTCCCACCCCAGCACCCAGGTCCCCATGCGGGGACCTGCTGCGAGGCGCAGACTGCATTGTTAAGGCTCTTTCATTTAAAACGCAGATGAGGCTCTGCATCACTTCACATTCTACAGACCGTTCTGATGGTGCGGCTCCTGTCACCCAGCGGCCACCTCCCCTGGGCGGGCTGCCCAGCCCCATTCTCGAGCCTGCCCCGCAGCCTCGGAGGCCGCCCTGGGTGTGCGGGACCCAGTGCCTGGGACTGGATGCCGGCGGGGACTCTGGGACTGGCCAACTGCATGGTGATGCGTGTCTGGTCCCCACCTTCGAGGCCCCGTCCCGGCAAAGTAGGAGGTGCCTGGAGACACAATGGAGCTCCATTCAAAACTCACCGGTCTCTCAAGACCAGCTGTGCTCCTGCTCAATCCATCTATTTCTGCTACTGACACAAATCAGGGCCAAATGCCTTCTCCTTATGAGGTCCTAGGCATCCACCCACCCACCCCCCCGGCCCCCCTCAGCCCAAGGCCCCCGGCCAGCCAGGCCAGGCCGGACGCGGGTTCTGCAGGAATGGGGCACGCTGCACCCCTGGGCCCAGGGCACCTGGGTGGGCCGGGGGCAGAGGCCACGCTGCCCGAGCCTCACTCCTCACGTCACCTCTTCCAGCCCCTGAACAGGGCCAAAGGGAGGCGTACCCATTGCCGAGACGTGCAGGAACCACGCAGGAGGCAGTGCCCATGACAGGCACATGACCCGTGTTCCAGCCACACGGGGGTTACTTTTAACAAAACACACACTACTGTGCAAAGCGCGGGAGCCTCCTGTGACGTCTATTTGTGACACCAAAAAAAAAAAAAAAAGATTTCAAAGTGACCCAAAAAGACCAGCAACCCTTTGCTCACCAATTCACTGACCAGAATCCTGTTTGTCAAGATGCTAAGTAGGAAGGTGCCTGTCTGGGAAACGGGTCAACCAGGAGTCAGTCTGCTGCCACGGGTCCCCCGCCCTGCCCTCCTGCAAATGCTGACCCCAGCTTCGCCGCCCTCCTCTCCACACGCCTCCCGCCTTCTCACAGAACCCACCCTGGTCAGCCCACTCACTGCCCACCCCCCGCGGTCCACCCTCCCAAGACTGCTGCCTATGGTTTATTTATTGCCTCACTCCCTGAGGCAGGGCATGGGTTTGGATCTGCTTTGTTGAACAAACCCTGGGCACCTGGAATCACTGGAGCCCGAGGTAAAAGGTTCTCATTACACATCTGCTGAGTTAACAGAGGGAAAGGTGAGGTCTGGGCCACTCACAGCAAACTGTATTTCTGTGAAGCCAGAAAAAAGAAAGAAAAACTTCAGTTTTCAGAACTGATCTCATAGCTTCATGCCTTGAAAACCTTTGCTTAGATCAGACGCTACTTGCAACTGTGGTTTAGTATTTTATCCTATAATGCCTGAGGAACGTGTGTTCCATAGATAAACAGTTCTCAGTGAGACACGTTTGACTCTTTGGTTGTGAATTCCTATTTCAAATGAGACAACTCAGGATGAAGCTAATGACGAACAATAACTGTTGGTTTACCTATAACTAGGTAGAGGTCACATGTCCTCTGTACAGACAAGTGAAGAACACAGGTTTGGATCCTTGGTTTTTACAGGCTGCTTAAGACAAGTGAACAGTATGAAAAGGCAAAACGATAGGATACTGAAAGATGAACTCCCCAGGTCGGTAGGTGCCCAATATGCTACTGGAGATCAGTGAAGAAATTACTCCAGAAATGAAGCCAAAGCAAAAACAACAAACAGTTGTGGATGTGACTGGTGATAGAAGCAAGGTCCGATGCTGTAAAGAGCAATATTGCATAGGAACCTGGAATGTTAGGTCCATGACTCAAGGCAAATTCAAAGTGGTCAAACAGGAGATGGCAAGAGTGAATGTCGACATTCTAGGAATCAGCAAACTGAAATGGACTGGAATGGGTGAATTTAATTCAGATGACCATTATATCTACTACCGTGGGCAGGAATCCCTTAAAAGAAATGGAGTAGCCATCATGGTCAACAAAAGAGTCTGAAATGCAGTACTTGGATGCAATCTCAAAAACGACAGAATGATCTCTCTTCATTTCCGAGGCAAACCATTCAATATCACAATAATCCAAGCCTATGCACCAATCAGTAACGCTGAAGAAGCTGAAGTTGAATGGTTCGATGAAGACCTACAAGACCTTTTAGAACTAACACCTAAAAAAGATGTCCTTTTCATTATAGGGGCCCGGAATGCAAAAGTAGAAAGTCAAGACACACTTGGAATAACAGGCAAATCTGGCCTTGGAGTACAGAATGAAGCAGGGCAAAGGCTCATTGAGTCTTGCCGAGAGAACACACTGGTCATAGCAAATACCCTCTTCCAACAACACAAGAGAAGACTCTACACATGGACATCACCAGATGGACAACACTGAAATCAGACTGATTATATTCTTTGCAGCCAAAGATGGAGAAGTTCTATACAGTCAGCAAAAACAAGACCGGGAGCTGACTCTCAGATCATGAACTCCTTATTGCCAAATTCAGACTTAAATTTAAGAAAGCAGGGAAAACCACTAGACCATTCAGGTATGACCTAAATCAAATCCCTTATGACTATACAGTGGAAGTGAGAAATAGATTTAAGGGACTAGATCTGATAGACAGAGAGCCTGATGAACTATGGACGGAGGTTCGTGACACTGTACAGGAGACAGGGATCAACACCATCCCCATGGAAAAGAAATGCAAAAAAGCAAAATGGCTGTCTGAGGAGGCCTTACAAATAGCTGTGAAAAGAAGAAAAGCAAAAAGCAAAGGAGAAAAGGAAAGCTATTCCCATTTGATTGCAGCGTTCCAAAGAATAGCCAGGAGAGATTAAGAAAGCCTTCCTCAGAGATCAATGCAAAGAAATAGAGGAAAACAACAGAATGGGAAAGACAACAGATCTCTTCAAGAAAATTAGAGATACCAAGGTAACATTTCATGCAAAGATGGGTTCGATAAAGGACAGAAATGGTATGGACCTAACAGAAGCAGAAGATATTAAGAGGAGGTGGCAAGAATACACAGACGAACTATACAAAAAAGATCTTCACGACCCAGATAATCACAATGGTGTTATCACTCACCTAGAGCCAGACATCCTGGAATGTGAAGTCAAGTGGGCCTTAGAAAGCATCACTACGAACAAAGCTAGTAGAGGTGATGGAATTCCAGTTGAGCTATTTCAAATCCTGAAAGATGATGCTGTGAAAGTGCTGGACTCAATATGCTAGCAAATTTGGAAAACTCAGCAGGGGCCACAGGACTGGAAATGATCACTTTTCATTCCAATCCCAAAGAAAGGCAATGCCAAAGAATGTTCAAGCTACTGCACAATTGCACTCATCTCACACGCTAGTAAAGTAATGCTCAAAATTCTCCAAGCCAGGCTTCAACAGTATGTGAACCGTGAACTTCCAGATGTTCAAGCTGGTTTTAGAAAAGGCAGAGGAACCAGAGATCAAATTGCCAACATCCGCTGGATCACTGAAAAAACAAGAGAGTTCCAGAAAAACATATATTTCTATTTTATTGACTACGCCAAAGCCTTTGACTGTGTGGATCACAATAAACTGTGGGAAATTCTGAAAGAGATAGGAATATCAGACCACCTGACCTGACTCTTGAGAAACCTGTATGCAGGTCAGGAAGCAACAGTTAGAACTGGACATGGAAAAACAGACTGGTTCCAGATAGGAAAAGGAGTATGTCAAGGCTGTATATTGTCACCCTGCTTATTTAACTTTTCTGCAGAGTACATCATGAGAAACACTGGGCTGGAAGAAGCACAAGCTGGAATCAAGAAATATCAATTACCTCAGATATGCAGATGACATCACCCTTATGGCAGAAAGTGAAAAGGAACTAAAAAGCCTTTTGATGAAAGTGAAAGAGGAGAGTGAAAAAGTTGGCTTAAAGCTCAACATTCAGAAAACTAAGATCATGGCATCTGGTCCTATCACTTCATGGCAAATAGATGGGGAAACAGTGGAAACAGTGTCAGACTTTATTTTTTTGGGCTCCAAAATCACTGCAGATGGTGACTGCTGCCATGAAATTAAAAGACGTTTACTCCTTGGAAGGAACGTTATGACCAACCTAGATAGCATATTATAAAAGCAGAGACATTACTTTGCCAACAAAGGCCCGTCTAGTCAAGGCTATGGTTTTTCCAGTGGTCATGTATGGATGTGAGAGTTGGACTGTGAAGAAAGCTGAGCACAGAAGAATTGACGCTTTTGAACTGTGGTGTTGAAGAAGACTCTTGAGAGTCCCTTGGACTGCAAGGAGATCCAACCAGTCCATCCTAAAGGAGATCAGTCCTGGGTGTTCATTGGAAGGACTGATGCTGAAGCTGAAACTCCAATACTTTGGCCACCTGATGCCAAGAGTTGACTCGGAAAAGACCCTGATGCTGGGAGGGATTGGGGGCAGGAGGAGAAAGGGACGACAGAGAATGAGATGGCTGGATGGCATCACTGACTTGATGGACATGGGTTTGAGTAAACTCCGGGAGTTGGTGATGGACAGGGAGGCCTGGCGTGCTACGATTCATGGGGTCACAAAGAGTTAGGCACGACTGAGCAACTGAACTGAACTGAAGACAAGTGCACACACGCCCAGAATCACAAGCACATGAGGAGAAGCTCCTTGCAGCCTGTCCTGAAAGGCAGAGTGCAGGCCTGTCAGGACTCCCCTGGAATGTGGGGTGCTGACCGGGCACCTGTGCCACACACCGTAAGGGCCCCCTCAAAACCCTGCCCAGGGCCCCCCCCACCCCATGCACGGCCCATTCCTGAGCTGAGCTGCTGGCTGGGTAACGAGCTTCCAGGGATGGAGGGGAAAGAATGCGCCTGGGCAGCACAGACGGGAAAAGCATCGGCCCTCC